TGAAAATTGCCTTAAACTTGAATTAGACCTTAAAATGAGAACTCGATCAAACCTTTAACGAATTTTTACGAATAGTCTTGTTGGGCAGCGGGAACTTGGACATTTAGAGTTTATCTGTTTAGCGTATTCTTTCAATGATTCGACCAGGGTCGCATTTTTCAGTCTACGTAGATTCCAACTGTAGATCGGCACCATGTAAAACATCTTTTGGGAAAAATAATTTCAATCTTAAGGACAATAAAATAGATTGAAATTGTTCAGCATAAGACCAAGTATGCAGGGCTTAAAGTAAGAACCAACTCTTACATCTGTTGATGAATTGGAAGGTAATTTCTGTGCTTGACAGCTCAGCAAATGCTACCTATTCTCAAGAAGTAGTCCTGAAACACCTTAATTGCTTAGGATTTTGTTAGAAGACGGCTTTCAACAAAACGAGGAGAAGTTTTCACCAGACTTTCAGGTAACACAGAAAAAACAACGAAATACTACATATCCTAAAAACACAACAAACTGCATTCATTGCTTTAACAAGTAAATGTCTAGAAACTCCCTACACTCTTTGAGCTGATAAGCAATAGCAATCAAAGGAAACTTCTTTTTCAAACAGCACTGTTCATTTTATTTGATATTTACATATACTATCGAGGGTAAATACAGCTGCTCGCTAACACTACGGAAAACCTAACACACGAAGGCTTAATTATAGTTACGGAGACATCCAGTAAGCTAATACTCAACTCCATAATAGAAACAAAGTCTACATTAAGAACAGTTTGTTCAGACCTCTTAATATCAATGCTTATAGTCGAGGAAAACTATACAAACTTTCAACTGATAAAACGCTAACGAATACTGAATACGCGTAAGCCTGTAGTTTACAGAGACATCCGGTTAGCCAAATTCAACCCACATAACAGTAACAAAGCCTACATTTCCTACAGTTTGTTAAGACCTCTTAATATCAATGTACACAGTCGAGGATAACTATACAAACTTTCAACTGATGAAACACTACTGAAAATGAAATACGCGTAGGCGTAATAGTTACAGAGACATCTAGTAAGTTAATACTTAACGTTCACAATAGTAACAAAGCCAACATTTGGTTCAGTTTGTTAAGACCTCCTAATATCAACGTATGCTGTCGATAATAAATACAGCAACTAGTAAATACAAACTCTGATTAAAAAGTACAGAACACTCAACGACCGTAAGCTTGATATAGTTGCAGAAACATCTGGTTGGCTGATACTAAACCTTCATAATTGTAACAAAGCGCACATTTGCTTCAGTTCTGATAAATCCTCCGAAAAAAAACTTATAGTACATGTATTGTAAAACATAAACGTCAATTACTCAAGTAATCTCTCCCTCCCTTTCTCGAGAAGGAAGAGAGAGAACCCTGGAAACGAGATCGATGGTGAGTTCCTGTCATCAACGGATATTAATCTATTTCTTGTTTCCACTTTCGGCTGATACTTGCATGCAGTAGTATAAATTGTGGTCGTAAAGTTGACTTTATAAGTGCTAAGTTGTGGTTAACTTTTCTAACGACTAACGGTTAACATTTGCCAATTTTTAAGCAAAAGGGCTTAGTAGTTTTTTCGTTTTTTAAGCCCGTCGGTATCGGCGGGTCATTGAGAAGCTTTCAAAGACTTCAAGTACGCCTTCATAACTTACTGAAACGACCCTAGTAAACGTGGTCCTGACATCTCCGAAAAACTCCCCTTCATTAACTATTCCTTCCACGAAATCCCTTGCAGCTAGATCTTTTCCAACTGCATTGGTCGCTTTCCTTTCAGCTGTAGGAAAAATTCTTTTAAAACCATATTCACAAGCCTCTTTTACACTTTGTCCCGCTACATCCTTCACAGTGGTCAATGCAGCGAAAGTAAAAAGGCATAATACTCCATAGAGCAAGTTTATTACTCCTCTAACCATATCACCATCATAGAAATTCTTCGCCACTGCAGCGAAATTTAGTGCAGTTCGTAATCCAGACAGCATATGATCCGCAGCCGCTCGTAAAATAATCCAGCCAATAAACTTTAATGTATATTTAGTCCACGATTCGTTTGACATTTTTGCGGAAGTTTGCTGCGAAAAAATATGTTAGAGTCATGAATACTCTGAAATTGTGAATAAGTGGGATGAAAACCTGGATGGTTCTTGTGATGGGTTTGAGATGTCCAGCTGCATACAGGTCTTAACCAAATAGAAAACTCATGGGTCAATTAAATACAGCTGGAGGTAACACTATTTAGGATGCCATCTTTTTAGTAAAGCCAGTCATGTATCGGGTAAGCTCGGAACGCGCCTGCCTCATCAGTCATGTCATCCGCGCCTAAATTTTACGTGTTTATGTAGGGTTATTTTAAGGCAGAGAATTTACTGAGGTTTTTATTTGTACCTTATTGTTACTCATAGGAACGTAATTTCGCGAAAGCGGAGCGGGCGTACTTCGTGTAACCTCAAAGAGGTTGGGGTTTTTTGATCGCTCGAGATCTGGACGCGATCATAGCGCTCGAGCTATAAGACTGTCAAAAAGCTAAACAAACATGGCGGCTCGATGCAATCGCACCACTGTTGCTTAAAAGGTATATTCAAATGTTAAAAAAAAAATAAAACGAAACAGTTTCTATGTAAATGGCTCAGTCCTAGCCAAATCCATTTCGCATCAAATAGCTAGTTCTTGTTAAAATCTGTCAGAGGTAATCGAATATATTCAAAAAAATGAAAACTTAGAGGATATTGGCAAAACCGTTTCATCAACTTCGAGTTTTTAACGATTAAAAAGGTCAGGCAGTATTATTATCTTGTGGCAAAGAATGAATACATCTCACCGAGGGGAAGTACAGATCTTGCGGTTTTTAGGCCAAAAATTGCAATATATCAGCCTGTCCTTGGTAACGCCATTAATGTAAAATTGACACCAAAAAGAGAGCCTCACTATACTATATTTACAATGATTTTCGAGACCAGTTTTTTTCTTCGCAATAACTTTCTAGTAGTAGTTGTCACTGCCTGTTTATTTACGAAGTTTAGCTCGACATTTCCTGCTAAAAGTAAATTCTTGCTGTGCGTCTTTAGGGACTTGTTGGGGTGCATGTTATACAAGCTAAGTCCGCATTTTGAATTATACAATTTATTTTGCGCGTACGATTACTTATCTAAAGTTCTAAATATGTCGTAAATTTTCTTGTTAAAGCTTTTTATGCGAATCTTTACCGAACGTCTTAGTCTTGCATCTCATACGATCGAAGTTTTCTGCGAAATCAACTGACTGATCAAATTTCCAAATTTTCAAAGTTGCTGCGAAAAATCAACTAGGTGTAAAGACCACCGTCTCCATCCCACGATGCAAAATTCATATGCCTGATTGACTTGCCAAAAAAAGGTTGAAAATTGAATAAGCCCCCAGCCTTGAATGAGCACTCACTCTTAAGATTATGTTGCCGTTGTCCCCATTGCTTACATATTTCAAGGAAAAGTTTTATTCTTTATTGGGAAACTTATTTTATCAAGTATGAAAACACATTAATTGACAGGAAATTTAAGTTTCCCTACTGCCTGGTTTGAATGTTCAAACATTTAACCTTGAAAATTGTTAGAGTGTGTCAAAATGGCACAAGCAATTTTATATTATTATTTTTTGCCTCCTGTAATGAAGTGTAGTGTTAATTACACGATGGAATACTTATTACTCAATATATCTTAGTTCCAGTGACGGTAATGGTGTTAATGACATACAAAAACCCCACAGGAGACATTATTACATTTGAACTTTGCCTTAAAACTGTGCTCCCCCCCCCCCCTTCCTTTCTCTCTCCCCTCCTGAAGGCAATTAGAATTTGTTTCAGATTACCTTTTAAAGTATTTTAAAATTACCTTAAAATTGAATTAAACTTCAAAATGGGAATTCCACCAGGCTTTCTTAGCACAATTACTATTTTACGAATATTTTTATTAGATAGCGTTAATTTGGAGTTTGCAACGCTTCGATCGGACTCGCAATTTTTTCAGTCTCTGTAGGCTTTAACTGTAGATCGGCGGTATGTTAGACCTTTTTTTGGGTAAAATAATTTCACCTGAGATGATTTCAGAAAATGATTTTGCAAAATTCTGAGAGTCCAAGGCTGAAATAAGAGCCAACTCTTAAATATATGAGATACTTGGGCAATTAGTTTACAACTGTGTTTGACGGTTCGGTAAATATCACCACAAAATTGCAAGTCATTGCCAGATCATGTAATTGTTCAGAAAACAACTTACATTGTCAGGAGCCGTCGAGTTTGTTGCCTTACTTTAAAATAACATAACCAAAAGACTTCCTTTAGAACACACAAAAGGTGCATATATTATTGTAACCATTCAATCTCAAAGTACTCTACAATTTCAGCTGATAAGCAAAAGAACAACTTTGACAAAACACTTCAGAACATTGAATACGCGTAAGCTTGATAGTTACAGAAACATCCTGTTGGCCAGTACTCAACCTTCATAGCAGTAACAAAGCCTGCATTTGGTTCACTTTGTTAAGACCACCTAATATCAATGTATACAGTCGAGGATAACTATACAAACTTTCAACTGATAAAACACTACATAACGCTGAAAACGCCCAGGCTTGTAGTTTACAGAGACATCCGGTTAGCTTATACACAAATTTCGTAGCAGTAACTAAGCCTAAATTTGGTTCCTTTTGTTAAGACCTCCTAATGTCAATGTATACAGTCGGGGATAACCATACAAACTTACAACTGACAAAACACTACAAAACACTGAATACGCGCAGGCCTGTTGTTTAGAGAGATATCTGGTTGGCTTATAATCAACCTTCATAACAGTAACTAAGCCTACATTTGGTTCATTTTGTTAACATCTCTTAATATCAACGTAAACAGACGGGGATAACCGGCATACAAACTTTTAACTGACAAAACACTGAATACGCGCAGGCCTGTAGTTTAGAGAGACATCCGGTTGGCTTATATTCAACCTTCATAACAGTAACTAAGCCTACATTCGGTTCAGTTTGTTAAGACCTCCTAATATCAACGTATACTGTCGATCAAGAACAAATACAACTGCTAGCAAGCACAAACTTTGATAAAACACTACAAAACACTACACAACCATAAGCTTGATAGTTACAGAAACATCTGGTTGGCTATTACTCAACCCTAATAATCGTAACAAAGCACACCTTTGCTTCAGTTCGGATAAATCCTCCGGAAAAAAAACACTAGTGCATAGATTGTGAAACTTGAACTAAGCGATGACTCACTCTAACCCCTTAGTCTCAGTCTGGCACCTGTAACAAAGCTTACATTTGGTTCAGTTTGTTAAGAACTCCTAATAATCAACGCATACTGTCGAGAATAAATACAGCTTCCAGCAAATACAAACACTAAACCGTTAACTTGATAGTTACAGAAACATTCGGTTGACCAATACTCAACTTTCATAACTGTCACAAAGTGTACATTTAGTTCAGTTCTGATAAATCATTCGAAAACAAACTAATAGTAGACAGTATAGAGTATAAAGACCATTATTTAAAATCTACAACAGTGGTAATAGATAGGTAAATTTTCCGCTGCTGTTAATCTTATTGGGAACCTTTGGTAGAAAACAAAGGCGATATCTCTCAGAGTACAGATGATCGGACAACCTCGTTCCTAGGGTCCTCTCCCTCCCTTCCTTTCTCGAGGGAGGAAGAGAGAGGACCCTGGGAACGAGATTGATATTCACGTTCCAGCAATCGACAGATGGTGATCCATTTTCTTGTTTCTACTTGCGGCTGATAGTAATTTTTCAGCAATATAAAATGTAGTCGTAAAATTGACTTTATAGGAGCTACGTCGCGGTTTGCGGATCAAAAGAAAGTTCGTTTAAATTGTTCAAAATTGCCATTTGCAATCCAAGATTTCCTTCCCTGGTCTATACAAGTAATGTTTTCGTTTGATTTTATTAATTAACGGCACTTTATTCTAGTGTTTCTCTAACGTTTAGAGACCCAAACACTAGGCTTAATCCTGCACCAAGATAATTACCATTACAGCAATCGTTCGCCACTTCAGCGAAATCTACTAGAAACCCCAATCCAGGCATCGCACCATTTAAAGATAATCTTAAAACAAGCTTGAAAATCAACGATTTTAGCGGCATTTTTCTTGAAGGTTACTGCTAAAAAAAATGCAAAGTAAATAGTCAGACATACTCTGGAATGGCGACGGCTAAGTAACTAAATGGGATGGAAAACTGGATGGCCCTTGAGATGGGTTTGAGATGTCCTCTGAGCTGCATACAGGTCTTAACCAAATATAAATCTCACGGGTCAGTTAAATACTAGAAGTACCACTTTTTAGGATGCCATCTTTTCAGTAAAGCTAGTCAAGTATTGGGGTAGGCTCGGAACGCGCCTACCTCATCAGACATATCATCCGCGCCGAGATGCTAATTACGTGTCAATTTTAGGTTATTTTAAGGGCTGTAACTTACTGAGGGTTTTCGTGTATCTTAGGGCCTTTCCGCCCCAGCGGACAAAACTAGAATTGTCCCGACAAAATCATAGGACAAATTTTTGTTTCCTCTGTTGTACCTACATTAAAAATTTCAAAGCCGTTAAATTCCGTCAGCGCCTTTTCAGATCGTAAGACCGGCCAACATAGTTACCAAAGATTCCACCTCCATTTTCCAGAATTTATCTTAAGTCAGACATGGTTTGATGCTACTCTGGTTTAAGGATTTAACGAATGTAACCGAAAAGTTACAATTCATAGACCCAACGTTTCCTATCGCACTTGAATCCAGTAGAACTGTTTATTTTTGAATTAAATTTAAATTTGCCCTTTCTAGAATTAAATGCGTACAGAGGGGAACAAGGGAAGTTAGAGACAAGTGTCTATCGTAAACCTACCCACACCGACAAATACCTCGCTTTCGATTGTCACCACCGTATTTGCCATAAAAAGTCTGTAGCCAAAACTTTTCTCTAGAGGACTGACTGGCACCCTTAAATCGTGATGATGGCGGCTTACTTCCTGACGCCTATTTGCACCTCGTCAGAAAAAAGGGCAGCTAATTTGTGAGCTTATAGAAGGACCTCTTGTTGGAGCGTTTAGATCACCCCTAATGAAAGCTCTAGACAGGAGTGTCGAAACGTTTGGTCTATGAATTGTAACTTCTCGGTTCCATGAATTAAATCTTTAAACCAGAGAAGCATCAAACCACGTCTGATTGTCCACCTGGTTCCCATGTGAAATTTAATATATTTTATCCTAAGTCGTTTTAACACTTTTGGAATCCCCAATTTTGCATTTGTCGTAAATCCTACCATCAGTGTGGTAACTGAATTGGGTACAGTTTGTCGAAAGATTGCAGTAATTGTCCTTCGTTGCGAATCTCGCAGATTTTACGACTTTAACTTGGGATGAATTTCGGTAATTGGAGTTTTAATCCATTGGCGAATAGCGACCAGTCGTATGAGCAGATCAGGCAATGGAATGTGCCACCTTATGAATACCAACGACGTGCCCGGCGTCTCCGCCTTCTATAGTGTTCAATCATCAAAAGAGATGCTTGGTGTCTAAGAAATTGATGTCTTAATACTAGGCTCATCATAAGCATGATTTCTTCTGCCATTGGAGCGAAATTAAAGGCAAGAAACACGCCACAAGTTGAAGCATTTAAACATGTTTCATTATCCCGCCAAGACGTTTGATGTTTTAGCGCACACAACTAACTTGAATAAATTATAAAGAAATACAATATCGGTGTTATTTTTGGTTACCAACCGAATTTGACAGCTTTTTGACAGCTTCGACATTTTTAGTGCAGATGCAACAGAGGAGACAAAAATTTATTATGACAAAATTTGTCCTTGAATTTGGCGGGGCAATTCTAGTTTTGTCTGTCAGTACGGATAGGCTCTATGTTACTTATTTTCGCCGGAACTTAATCAGTTTCGCGCAAATGGAGCGGTGTATTTCGTGGGACTTTGATACGCGATTTGGCCAAAAATGTATACTGAATGGAACTAAATTTTGCGAAAATTGTCAAAATTCTGATCTGCATCGGCACAACTGATTTTAATTTTTTGCAAAAAAATAGTTTCCAGACAAACTGAACCGAAGCATATTTTATCAAAAATACAACTAAAACAGTTTGACATACTTTCAGGGTTCTCCCTAGTTTTCAGCACAACAAGTAAGGGACCTTTTCAAATCAGTAAAGCACATTTGCAGCTTCAGGCGGCTGGTCATTCTCAACTTTGTCATTTCCTAAAGCATACAGTACATTGCGCCTGTCAAAAATTTTCCATCGAAAAATTCATAATTTGAACGATACACCTCTAGGTTCAGAGGTTGAACAAAACAAAGTAAAATTTTTTTTAAAAGCATTGTATTCAGTGATGACTATGCCCTTTCCAAACTACTTATAACGTAAACTGGTCTCCCTTCGATTTCGGGTGATATCTTTGGCGTCACTTACATGGCATATCGCTGGAAAATCAGAATCACATCGACCAGCTGAATTCGTGTTCTAATCGTCTCAGATTCAGAACTTTTACGCTGTCGAGAGATTTTATTTTCAAGGCCTCTTTCAAACCGCTGTCTGAAACACATTTCAAGTAGAATTTAATTATGACGACTAGCTTTGTCCCCACGTGTTCGTTATACAGCCGGCAATTTAGAGCTGTCAACGCGGTTATTTCTGGCAATTGGCTGCTTTTCCATCGCTAATACGTAACCTTTGTTTTGTTTACAATGAAGAATGCGATAGACACCCGAGCGTCCTCGCCATACGTAGTAGATGAAACTCTAATTCTTTTATCTTCAGGAACATAACGAAAGAGGAAACTTTTTTAAGTCTCAAGAATTTAAATACCAACAAAGCCATTGGTTTTGACATGATACCTTCACACGCTTTGAAAATAGTGGCACAAGAACTCGCAGACCCACTGACAACAATTTTTAATCAATGTATCACAGAGAAGACATGGCTAAATATCTGGAAAAAGGGAGAATGGATCCCAGTTTTCCAGAAAGAGGACCCCCTGGAGAAGACCAACTATAGACCCATAACTGCATTGACAGTGGTTGACAAAATATTTGAGCAGCTTCTAAGTAAACAGATGTCAAAATATTTTGAAACGATTTTTGACCCCTTCATGTCAGCGTACCGTAAAATGTACAGCTGTGAGACCGCATTGGTTCGTTTGGTCGAAGACTGGAAACATGCAATTGACCACGGTAAATCTGTCGGCGTACTATCAACCGATATGAGTAAGGCCTTTGATACGATGCATCCCACCTTGCTGCTGGCTAAACTAAAGGCTTACGGCTTCTCGAAAGGGGCCTTATCACTGATGCGCTCATTCTTTGAAGAACGCAAAGGAAGAACTAAAGGATCAATATTTGTTTCTGGGCAACCGAGCTAACTAAATTAGGAACTGCGGTTAGTGAATGGAAAGAAATAAATATGGGCTGTCCCCAAAGGATCCAATTTGGGCCTGTTACTCTGGAATATCTACCAGAATGACCTCTTTTACTTAAGTCGTGCGTCTAGTCTATCAATGTACGCCGACGACCATCAGCTTTATTAGGCGCACAGTAATGTCAAGAACTTAATGGACACAATTAGGAGCGAAGGGAACCAAATGTCATCATGGTTCCAGGAAAATCACTTGGTGGGGGACACAAGCAAATACCAAGCCATGGTAATCGGCAAGAAACACGAGCCTTCCCTAACATCTGTCGACATCAATGGCCACTCTATCAATACCACTGAATAACTTACTGGGCGTCACCAAGATATTACCGCATCTGACTTATTGTAACCTTGTCTGGCACTTTTGTAAAGCAACGGACAAAAAGAAACTAAAGAGAGTAAATGAAAGTGGACTTAGGGCGGTTTTTTGTGACTGGAACCTCGCATACGAAGACTTAGTTAAACGTGCCAATTTGTTCTCTCTATAACAACATGCAATTGCAAGATATCGCCATTTTCATGTACAAAGTCAAGCATAGGCTGCTGCCTTCGAACGTCGTAGATTTATTCAGGGGCACTCCATCTGGGTGCAACCTCAGAAAATCAGATTTTCATATCTCCAGAATCTATTCTGTCCACTATGGCAAACATTACCTAAGATATCTCGGACCATATCTGTGGTCAAAACTTGGACAGACATATGCTAACTCTGACATAATTCGTCTCAAACATCCGCAGAAAAGACCTCGCAAACCTAGTTTCAAATTACGTCTTTACAGGGAATTGTCCGAAGTGTGTTTAGAATTATAGACATATTTAAAGTTTGTATATAGTTATATAGGTAGAAATTATTATATTTTAGTCCGTATTTTAAAATGTAAATGAAATTCTATGCATGTATATATATCGTAACAAGTGATAATTAATTTTACCTTAACTTAACTCAACTTAACTTAATTTGGTAGTAATTTTATTGGGAGTGTCCCCGATTAGTCGGCCTCCGGGCTGACTAGAAGTCTTAGACACTTAAATAAAGTTTATTGATTGATATTGTGGGAAAAGGCCTTGATGGAGGATTCTCAGCTGAGTTATTAATGTATACTATTTATTTCTATAGCGGAAAACTTTTCGGTCTTCGAGCTGGCGAACACAGACTACTTAGGTTCTGCAAGTTTTTCTATAATGTTTCATGACGGCCTGAATGATTTGAAGGAGAAGCCTCGTTTTATAAAACACAAGTGCCATGAGGTTGGTCATCAGCATGATGGATGTTTGGCTGCAGTGTATTCAGTTTATATCAATAAGGTGCAATGTTTTGCTGCAAGTCCTCAGAGTTTTTATTTTCGGCCGCAGGGGATAATAGCAGGAACGTTCTTTCCTAATATATTTTTGCATTTGATACCACATTTGACTAGTCAGATGATATATTAGCCAATATTCCAATGCCAGCGAATACGTCAACAATTGATATCAAAAACTTTTGTGCCAATTCAGTATTTAACAACTGCACCCATCAACTTTGTGACGAGAAAAAGTAATATTTAAGGGCATGTAAAACGTTTAGATTTGATGTAGAAATCTTTATGAAAATTAATCCTGTTGATAATTCTACTAATTCATAATTCATCAACACCTGCCTTTCCTCACTATAATTTCAAACCCTCCCCGCGCTTTCATACAGTGCATTTATATTGGGGTTTACTGAGGTAAACATGTGATTCAGATACTGCCTATTGGTTGGTGCATAACTTGTTAATGAATTTCACAAAAATAAATAAAAAACTCTCAAATTCTCGGAAATGTTATCGTGCTCACCACTGATCTCCGTTTCTTTTTCTGTCTCTCTCGCGCTATTTCTCTCTTTCCGAAAAAAAACCATTGTAGGTTAGCTTTTTATTTATTTCTAGATAAACCAATGGAGTTAAACGAAAATTATAGACATGAAACTCGACTTGAGAAAGAAAAAACAGTTTTGCATTGTGTTTTTGTTTCAAGTTTCAAAGGTAAACAAGGAAAACGATACCCAAACCTGTGAAAAGACCCTCATAAGGTTTACTTTGTAAAAAGCTGTCCTCCTTAGTAATCTGTTGATTATGTTCTGTTGATTTGCCCATATGGGCATAAAAGTTAGATTATATAAACGTGTAAGAGCAAGAAATCGATCGAGTCGTCAAGAAACTAAACTCCCTAAATTTATAAAATTTAAGAGGAACACAAGCAAAAAATTTAAGGAGCACACTATCTTGGTAGAATATGTCTTGAAACCACCTTAATATTTCTGCTTCAAATAAAACTACGATCGTAAGAGACATTTGCACGCCATGCAAATTATAAACAAATAAAAATTCTCAAATTCGCGGAAATGTTATCGTGCTTACCAGTGATCTCCTTTTCTTCCTCTGTCTCTTTTCTGTCTCTCGCTCTGTTTCTCTCTCTCTTTAAAAGAAAACAAAGTAGGTTAGCTTTTACCTCTTTCTCGATACACATAGACTGGTGGAGTTAAACGAAAATTATAGATATGAAACTCGACTTGAGAAAGAAAAAACAGTTTTGCATTGTGTCTTTGTTTCGAAAGTAAACAAGGAAACGATACCCAAACCTGTGAAAAGAAAGCTTGAAATTATCAAGCTTTCCAAAAAAACACAAACAGAATCGGTGATCAGGTTAAGTGTTAGTATTTTTAGGGTATCCTCGATAAATCAGCGATGCATCTCTTGCTTCAAAAACAACACGATCGAAAGAGACATTTGCATGCCATGCAACATTTAAATAATTAAAAATTGTCAAATTCTCGGAAATGTTATTGTGCTCATAACTGATCTCTGTTCTTTTCTCTGTCTTTCGGTATCTCTCCCTGTCTCTTGCACTGTTTCTCTCTATCGAAAAAAACAACTTTAAGTTTACTTCTTTCCCCTTTCCCGATCTATCAGTGGAGGTTAACGAAAATTAGAGATGCGAAACGCGACTTGAGAAAATAAACAGCTTTGTGTCTCAGGTTTCTTGGAAAACTACAAGCTTATACTCAACCTTCATAACAATAACTAAGCCTACTTTTGGTTCAGTTTGTTAAGAGCTCTTAATATCAACGTATACCGTCGAGAATAAATAAAACTGCTAGCAGATACAAACTTTGATAAAAACACTACAGAACACTAAACAACCATAAGCTTAACAGTTACAGAAACATCCGCTTTGCTAATACTCAACCTTCATTATTGTAACAAAGCGCACATTTGGTTAAGTTCTTATAAATCATCCGAAAACAAGCTAAAAGTACATAGATTGTGAAACTAAAACTTAGCGATGACTTACTCTGACCCCTTAGTCTTAAGCTCGGTAAAGAAATAGAAAAGTCCTCATTTTTTCTTTGTCTTACGCTCGTGACAAGACGAAAAAAACATCTTTCTCTATTTCTTTACTGAGCTCAAAACTTACCGTTTCTCTTATTTCTATCTACAAACATTACGCTATCGACATTGCTGATCTTAGCAGTATGTAGGACGTGTGTCATATGAACTTCGTAGTAGATCTCGCTCACCGTGGAGTCTCTGTGACTCAGTGGTAGAGCATCGGAGCGCGGAATCCGAAAATCTGAGGTTCGATTCCTCATGGGGACTCAGAACTTTTCTTTGTCCCACGCTCGTGACAATACGAAAAACATCTGTCTCTATTTCTTTACCGAGCTCAAAGCTTACCATCTCTCTTATTTCTATCTACAAAACTAGAATTGTCCCGACAAAATCATAACACAAATTTTGTTTCGTCTGTTGTATCTGCATTAAAAATTTGAAAGCCGTCTAATTCCGTCAGCGCCTGATCAGATCATAAGACCGGCCAACACAGTTGCCAAAGGATTCCACCTCCAGATTCCAGAATTTATCCTAAGTCGTTTAATACTTTTGGAATCTCGAGTTTTGCAGCAAAAGACAATTTTTGCCTTTCTAGTAAACTGATTTCAGTTCAATTACATACGCTTGTCGTACCTTATACGACAAATGATTAACCAGTTTATTACGGTTTTGTTTATGTAGTCGACTTTGCCAAATTTTTACCGGCGACAAATTTTGTCAGCGGCGCGTTTGAAGATTTGTTCGCTTCACGCAAATGGAACAGGCGTATTTCGTAGGACTTTCATACGCGATTTGGCCAAAAATGTAAGTTGAATGTAACTAAATTTTGCGAAAATTGTTAAAATTCTGATCTGCATTGGCACAGCTGATTTAAATTTTTCCGTTGAAATAGTCTCTAGAGAAACATAACTAAAGCATATTATTAGTAAAAATACAGTTAAAAACAGTTTGACATGCTTTGCGCTCAGGCCTTAAAACCGGGCGGAAAAACTCGGTCCGTAACTTACAGTACATTCCTCGCACTTGGCTTATATGACGCACGTATTCGAAGTTTGGGTGCGTGATGGGTTCGGTGATTCTTTCTGGTTATAAAACCTTGTGCGCTGAGCCAAAAGGCAGCTGCCATGGGTAATTGCTACACCTCTATTCACGGAAACGTTATCTTGCTTACCACTTTAAAAAAAATTGTAGATCGCTTTTTACCGGGCAAGTTTAACAAAAAGTCGAATGTCAGAGACATGGTTTAAGAAAGTAGACAAATTTTCTTGGTGTGCTGTTGATTATATAACCAAACAAAATCTAGTGAAACTGTATAGGAGATGCCTTGGCTATATGGTGCTCGTCTCCTAAGTTTTGTAAATAATTACTGCCGACAGGTTTTTGATCAAACTAAAAACACAATATGTGTGCTTCAAGTTTTCTTCTTGGTCTTGTGGAACCTAAGGCTTTTGTTCATCTTTCAGGGTTTTGAAATCATGATTGGATTTGTCTATTTCATCTATCTAAAGACGCAAAAATAAAGCCAAACCGCCGGCACTGTCGCCCCCGACTCAGTTAGATATCAAAATTAGATTTACATATCTTTGTTGTGATAGTGGCCTTATTTGTATGAAAGTTCGAGAGGATCTGAATAATTCAGTCGTCATCGGAGGCTATTTTAACTGCTATTTTAATTTCAACGCAGGCTTATGAACTTGACAAGTTTAGTTTTGACTTTTATCATGATCGTCAATCTAAAAAATGAATTTTCTAATGTCCTCCAACCATGATCTACAAGATGTTCGCAATAAGTCTCTTCGGCTCCTACATCAACAACTTCGTTTGCAAGTTTATTTTGAGGGTCATTTTTCTACTTCCTCCGACGAACGGCTAACGCTCAAAACGTCAGCTTTTAAACTCTTTACGATGGCCAATTTACGTTATTAATTCAGTTCATAATACCAAATTACAACTGAAATTTTGCTTTCTAACCCTTTCTCAATGTACCAGTGAAATTCAATATAAAATAAAAGACTATAGTGTCTACTATTTGCCGTGTAAAATATGCTCGAACCTGTCAGAAGGAACTTCGTTCGAGCTTTAGAACCAACAAAATTGGATGAGAAGTGAAAAAGAGAACTAAAACAAGCATGTTAGTCAAGCCTATTTGTTGAACATTTTCAAAGCGTTTTAGCATCGATTCCTCGCCCTGCCGACATCATGATTACGCACCACGAATTAGCGAGTTACGACTTTTTGGACCGCGAAGCAAACGTGAAACCTACACAGTAATCAGAGCAACTTTTGAATGATCTAAGCTGACATGGTTGCGTTATCGAAACAGATAAGAATTTTAGCGTAAAAGTTACTATCTTTCTCTTTCTAGATGTAATTTTTACCTTCAATTTATCTCCTTCCGCGTTTTGGGTGAAGTCAACTCGGGGCATAAAATGAAAATGGCGTCTGAACAAAACTGCTTCTCGGAAATCACGTGAGTAAAAGTTCCCTTTTATGGCCTTATTATATTGAGCTCTGCCAAATAAAGCCATGGAAGGCCCGATGACCAACCACAGCACAGGAAAGGAGCTTTCACTGTCACCCACGCTCCTTTCCCAAGAACAGCAGTTACTGAGACTTTGTTTAGGTTGAAATCGAGATATGGAAATAACATTGAAAGGGAAAGGTCGAGCCCTTGACTTTTGGCCTGCTCAAATGTAATCCGTTTCAGCCTTCTATTTTATCGTAATCATGCTTTCTTATAGCGTGTCTGCGTTTCTGTTCATCAGTTACAGAATGGCCTCCCCCTTTACCTATCTAAGCGTTCTTTCTTGCCTAAGGAGTCTGGAAACAACCGCACGCACGCAGTCCCGCCTCCCTCCCCTTCCCTCCTGTAGGAGGCCACTTGAGGTTGTTTCAGGTTATCTTTTGAAATACTTGAAAATTGCCTTGAAATTATGAGTAAAATTGCCTTGAGCAATTTCGTAAAAAGGCACCTCAAACGGCTCATGAAGGCGAAAAAATACCACAAATGAGTAAGTTAACATTTCATTTAACTTTATTGAGATATTCAGACCGAGATGTAAATTAGATATGCAATGTTCAGAGCTTTATTCATAACTCTCATAGATTTTATTTGTCTCATGTCAACAACTATTAACCACAAACACATAGTGTGGTCTGCCTGTGTGATCAGCAATGTTTATATCATCATGTTTGTACGCAGAATAAGAAAGATGGCAAATTTTGAGCTTGGTAAAGAAATAATGAAAGATTTTATTTACTGTTGTTATTAGCATGGGACCAAGAAAAAAATCTGAGTCCCCATTAGGAATCAAACATCAGAACTTTGGTTATACACTCTGTTGCTCTGCCAATTGCCATCCTTCTTAGGTGCTGAACATGAATGCTAGGCTATAAGTAGTTGAAGTTAAGAAACATGGAAGATTATTGCTCTTTTGTTTTGATAAAATCTAATTGCAAACTAGCAAACAGGACTGGGATTAATGTTTGCTTGAAGTCAATACCCCTATGACCTTCTGACTGCTTTTAATTAATATTTTTTTATTGAAGTTAACATTTGCCGGACTTATTTGATTAAGTTCCCAACTTCGAATAAGCTCCCACCCCGTAAAAAGGAAAATTCAATAGGCACCCAGCCACCCTCCCACACCCCCCCTCCCCAAAATTAAAAAAGGTAATAAACTTAAGTGCACAAGAGGATCATTAGTTATTATTTCCCTTCTTTAAACTCTCTGTATATGGTACATTTTTAGTTTTGTTATAAATCATTTTTTGTTGTAAAATGAAATTACTACTTGTAAAAAATTTTCAACTTTGTTGGGACTTTTTGCCCTTTTACAATTAAAATTTATACCCGATACTAATGTAACGGAATATCAGCCTTGAGCTTTTTGCAACGCTTCGATCAGGTTTGCATTTTTTCAATGGGTTCAACTGTAGCTTGGTGCCATGTTAGACATTTTTTGGGTGAGTCTTTGAGTGATCTCAACCTCAGACGGCGGATAACTGACGGAGAGAAAGCTCTTCTTGCCGCCAGTCACGCGCGATAAGAACCGTTCAAATATTAAGTAATTTTCATTACGTTTGTCACGTGAGAGACACAGTTCAAATCAGTCTACAACAACAGTGATCTTCAGTCAATCGTCTTGGGATCTTTGGTAGAAAAACGGCTATATCTTGCCTAATTTTTTTAAGAAAATCGCTGTTGGCAAACCAAGATAAGCATTATTTATCTGTAAGTCTTCACAAGAAAGGTACCACCCACCCAGCTATCCTTATTGGCTTAACTCTCCCTTGGCTGCAAAAAAGGCAGCATCTCTAGGAAATTCTTCAGACACATATTTCTTTAACTCTCTCTCAGCTTATTCCCTGACTCTGTTATTCGCAAATTCACATGCAAAACCGTTTTACGCCTCCCTTGAGGTAGTTTTCGAGAGCTTGCTCGTTAGCTTCCCGGGCAAGGTTCTCATCAACGATTGCGGAAGGTCTCAATGGGGTGATTGCTTTTACTACTCAAAAAAAAAAAACCTAACGATTAAATTTTCAGCCATTTTACGTCTAACGGTTATTAGACTCTTCAGAAAATGACAGATCGCAGATAGGAAAGTTTTTCCTGTTAACTTTTCTTACGACTAAAGGTTAACATTTGTCAATTTTTACACCAAGGGGTTAATTTTTTTCGTTTTTCAGCTACCAATGAGATTGACGGGTCATTATTGTTACTCATTGGAGAGAAATTCCGTGAAAATGGAACGGGCGTATTTCGTGGAACTTCAAGGAAGCTCCATAGGGTTTTTGTTTCCTGAATATTTGGACGCAATCATGACGCTCGAGCTTTAAAGGCCTATTTCCAACGCGGTCGTTTGGTTTTGTTATGAACCACCGCTTTTGTTTAAATAGCGCCTCTGATTGGTCAGTTATTTTTTCCTAGTCACGTTGTGTCAAAATAACTCCTGCGTTTTCTCCGATGAGTTTGATGAGCTTGTCAAAATAATTCTGTTTAAAACAGTTCTATACGTTTTAATCCGGTATGGAATCAGATGAATCCATTGATTTAGTAGATTCCGAGGCAGTAAACGCATATGGATAGGTTGTTGCTAAAGAAGAACACGAAAATCCTTGCGAGTATTCCGAGGAAGGTGAAAATGTTGATCCACCACGTTTTCATTCATACATCAATTTTTTTTTTAAATGAAATTTGTCAGCCTTGTTAAATAAACCAAAGGTTAAGTTGAAGTCTCCTGCCCGTTGAGAGGAGCTTGCGCTTGAAAGAGTGGTCGAGGTTGTTGTCCACGCAAAGCAGCAAATAGGAATTGAAACGCAAACTGTCCGTGTCGCTGACGTTCCTGCAATAAAGTGACTAAACGACCAGTAGCCGGACACGGTCTTAAAAATCCAATTTCTATTGGAAAATATTTTATCTTTATTTAGAATCCTCGAGCGCTTCTAGAAAGTGAAAAAATTCGAACGTTGTCCTTTTCGCTGACTCTGTTCACAGAGTACGAAGAAGTTAGTCCAAGCGTGACATTTAAAATAATTTCTTCGGATTCTACCGGACAAAATTCAAAATAATGTAAGGAAGCTGTAAAATGTCGAACGGCGAATGTATTTACTGTAAAACAGTTGGCTATATGTCTAGGATGACTCTTGAGAAAGACGATTTTAGAAGGTTTTCAGTAGTCTGGGAATTTCGTGCTACAGGAAATTTGGTCGAGGCGCGCGTTGCATCAAGGGTGAAAGTGGGCTTTTAAGAATGTCAACAAGCAAAACAAACATGGCGAATCAATGCGATCGCACGATTGTTATCTAAAACGGTGTATTTTAATGTTAAAAAATATTATAAATCAATACATTTTTATGAAGTTGGCTAAATCCTAGCCACATACAGTTCGCATTAAAGTCTGTCGGAGCTAAACAAATATATTTAGAAAAATAAAAACTTAGAGAATATTGGCAAGAACCGTCTCATCAACCTCGAATTTTTTAAGTTTTAAAAGGTCAGGCAATATTACTATCTTGTAGCAAAGAATGAATACATCTCACCATGAGAAAGTAAAGATCTTAAGGTATTTAGGCCAAAAGTTGAAATATATCTGCCTGTAATTGGTAAAGTCATTTATTTAATATTGACACACAAAAGAAAGCCTTACTGTATTATATTTTACTATGATTTTCGAGACCGGCCTTTTCCTTCGCAATAACCTTCTAATAGTAGTTGTCTTGCATGTTTATTTTACAAACTTTGACTCGAAAATTCCTGCTTAAAGTAAATTCTTGCTGCGCGTTTTCTGGGACTTGTTGGGGTGAATGATACACAAGCGAAGTCCGCATTTTGAATTGCAAAATTTGTTTCGCGCGCACGATTGCTTATCTTAAGTTCTAAAACATGTCGAAAATTTTCTTGTTAAAGCTTTTTATTTTCACCGAACGCCTTAGCCTTGCATCTCATGCGATCGAAATTCTCTGCGAAATCGATTGACCGATCAAATTTTCAAATTTTCAAATTTTCAAACAGGTGTAAAGACCACCTTCTCCATCCCATGATGCAAAATTCATTTGTCTGATTTTTCCACTTTACTAAGGTTAGAACCGTGGATTTCGTCAAACGTTGCTTTAAAATTTCTCGGTCATTTCTCACAACATGTGAGTATCATTGCCGAATTATATCACCTCAACAACGATGAGTTTGACTTAATCGCTTACGTTGTCAGTTCTATCTCGGAAAGCGTCTAGTATTCAAGTTTATGATGGCATCGAACTCCAGAGGTCACTATCCTGTAAAAGATTTCTTATTTCAAGCATTGACCTTTTTGTTTAAAGACCCTTATAAGGATTACTTTGTAAAAAGCTGTCTTCCTTAGAAATCTGTTGTGATCGTGTTCTGTCGATTTGCCCATATGTGCATAAAGATTAGCTTATATAGACGTTTAAGTACAAGAGATCGATCGAGTCGTTAAGAAATCAAACTCCTCTTAAATTTATAAAATTTAAGAGGAGCACGAGCCAAAATTGGTAGTACTTAATACTTAATACCTTAATACTTCTGCTTCAAATAAAACTGCGATCATAAGAGACATTTGCATGCCTAGGTAATTAAACAATTAAAAATTCTCAAATTCTCGGAAATGCTATTGCGCTCACCCTTGATCTCTTTTTCTTCCTCTGTCTCTCGCACTGTTTCTCTCTCTCTTTAAAAGAAAACAATCGTAGGTTAGCTTTTACCTCTTTCTCGATACACATAGACTGGTGGAGTTAAACGAAAATTATAGATATGAAACTTGACTTGAGAAAGAAAATACAGTTGTGCATTGTACGTCTTTGTTTCAAAAGTAAACAAGGAAAACGATACCCAAACCTGTGAAAAGAAAACATGAAATTATCAAGTTCTTAAAAAAAAACAGAAACAGAATTAATAATTAAGTCTAAGCATTTAAGCAGAAGTCCTAGAATATCCTCGACAAATCAGCGATGCATCTTCTGCCTCAAAAAATAACACGATCGTACGAAACATTTGTATGCCATGCAATATATGTAATTAAAAATTCTCAAATTCTCGGAAATGTTATCGTGCTCACCACTGATCTCCTTTTCTTCCTCTGTCTGTCTGTCTGTCTCTCTCTCTGTCTCTCGCACTGTTTCTATCTCTGTCTCTAAAAGAAAACACTTGTAGGTTTTACATCTTTCTCGATATATCAGTGGAGTTTAACGAAAATTATAGAAATGAAACTCGACTTGAGAAATGAAAACCAATTGTCATCGTATGTCTTTGTGTCAAAGGAAAACATAGAAAACCATACTGAAACTTGTGAAAAGGAAGCTTGAAATTATTAAGCTTTCAAAGAAAACAGGAACAGAATTTAGAGAAAGATGTTTTTTTGTCTTGTCACGAGCGTGGGACAAAGAAAAAAAATTCTGAGTCCCCATGAGGATCGAACCTTAGACGTTCGGATTCCGCGCTTCGATGCTTTACCATTGAGCCACATTACGAAGTTCATATGACACGCGTCCTGCCTAGAATCAGCAATGTCGATAGCGTAATGTTTGTAGATAGAAATAAGAGAGATGGTAATTTGTTATCAAGTAAAGATTCCTAATAGGAATTCCTAAGTTATACTCAATAAATTAGCGATGCCCCTTCAACTTAAAAGAACATTATGATGAATACTGTGAACATAAGAGACAGTGCATGTCATGCGATATATAAATGATAAAAATTCCCGGAAATGTTATCGTGCTCACCACTGATCCCTCTTCCTTCCGCTGTCTTTCCGTATCTCTCTGTCTTTCACTCTATTTCTCTCTCTCGGAAAGAAAGCAACTTTAAATGAACTTTTTACCTTTTTCTCGATGTATCAGTGGAAGTGAACGAAAATTAGAGATACGAAACGCGACTTGAGAAAATAAACAGCTTTGTGTGTTAAGTTTCTTGGAAAACCAAACCGAAACCTATGGAAAGGAAGCTTGAAATTATCAAGCTTTTCAAAAAAATAACACGAAATTGGCGATCAATTTAAGAAAACAGCCAAATAATGTAGGCTGAAAATGTTTAGCGCGTGTTGTACTTTGATTCTTTACCAAATCTATACGCAAGCACCACGAATTTGCGTTTCACAGTTTTCACAGTCATCAGAACAACCTTAAAGAATCCTTACCTTTACTCGAATCCAAACTGATATGGTTATAACAGGCTAATTTAGTGTTATCACTGGATCCTTTTATCGTGATTGGAAAGGAACTAAAAAGGTTCTACCGCCCAGCCGTTCGGCTGTCATTCGTGAATAGAAAACTTCACAGACGAGACAACGACCGCGACAGACTGGTGATTAGGAAAAAAAGAAATTGGTTTATGTTAACTCGTCCCCAGACTTCTGCGTACTTACAGGTAATTAAGTGTTAACAACCGAGTTGAAAACGTAACTTGTCCACCGTAAAGAGTTAAAATGCTGACGTTTCGAGTGTTAGCTCGTTGATACCGTGGAGACTAAGAGTGCCGATTTGAAAGATAAATTTTTGCTCTAGAGTTTTGCGGCTTTCCGAACTGCCCAGATGTAGGGAAAAGCCGCAAACTTCCATATGCTGTTTAGAATGATTAGGGAGATTAAGGTGTCTGACGACTGGTTTGGATGCGTCCAATGCATAACTTTTTGCAATAAGTGCACGTGAAGAGGTGCACGTGAAGTGATCAGTGATTTAATGGTTGTCTTGGGTCCCGAAATTTTCTCTACGTTATGAATGAAAGGACAAGTTTTGCATTGTAAGCGAGCGCATTTGAAAGCGTCCAACAAATTTATCGACATTCAGCACTACAAACGGCTGAAAAGGAAAATACTGATCGCATCCATTCACTCTCACATTTCACCTTCACAACCGCACAGTTAAATCCAGTATTCTTAAAAAATTGAAATTACTTCAGAACGATTCAGAGACTGGTATTATCTTTTCGTAACCTCCACTAATTCCATTCAAACGTGACAAAAACATAGTAGGAAGAAATTTTCTTACTATACTTGTCGAAAATGGTGAAAATTGAATAAGCTCCTAACCTCGAATAAGCACCCACTCTTAAGATACACCCAGGACATTTATTCAAATAAATACGGTATTGAGTATCAAATAACCATGTTACTGCCATGGAAACCACAGCATATTGGATTGGTCATATCAAGGTTTGATCTGATACTTGTAAATGCAGTGTTATTCTAAGCTTTGTATCTGGAGCAGTTAGACATTCTAATTGGAAATTTTAAGAAATATTCTCCGACTTAACTTTGACAAAAGTAACTATGGGTTCTTTGGGTGTGGTTTTGAGATTATGTTGCCGTTGTCCCCGTTGCTTTCATATTTCAAGGAAACGTTTTACTCTTTATTGTGAAACTTATTTTTTCAAGTATGAAAACCCAGTAATTGACAGGAAATTTAAGTTTCCCTACTGCCTGGTTTGAATTTTCAAACATTTAGTCTTGAAAATTGCTGGAGTGTGTCAAAATGGTACAAGCAATTTTGTATTGAAGTGTAGTGTTAATTATACGATGGAATACTTATTACTTATTATATGTTTTTTACAATACGGGTAATGGTGTTAATGACATACAAAAACTCCATAGGAGACATTATTACATTTAAACTTCGCCTTAAAACTGTGAAGCAGCACAATAGATCTGTTTTTGATCGAGTGGAAACTTCCTCCGTTTCGAGCTTAGTGCATTACACTTTGTTAGGTCGTTTTGTGCTTTTACGCTTTAAAGTTAATACCTATTGCTAATATAACGGAATATCAGTCTTGAGCTTTTAGTGTGTGGCCTATGTCAATGCACAGTTGGCTTTTTGGTAGGCAAAGACGAAGACGTATGAGTCTTGCTTATACGCAGCTTCGAAACACCCGCACATACCCGCTCCCAGACCCCTCTCCCCTCCCCCTCCCCTCCTAGAGGAGGCAGTTGAAATTTGTTTCAGGTTTCCTTTTAAAGCATGTGAAAATTACCTTGAAATTGAATTAAATAGGCAGCTTCGAAACACTCGCACATACCCGCTCCCAGACCCCCCTCCCCTCCAGCGGCAACTTGTAGTTTGCAACGCCTCGATCAGGCTCCCATTTTTCACAGTCTCTGTAGACTTCAACTGTAGATCGGTGCTCTGTTATTCATTTTTTGGGAACAATAATTTAACTCCCGAGGAAGATTTCAGATAAAGTTTTTGCAAAAGTCTAAGGAGCCAAGGCTGAGATAAAAGCCAGCACTTAAATCTGTGAGTTACTTGGGCATGTAGTTTACAGCTGTGCTTGACGGTTCGGTAAATATCACTATAAAATTGCAAGTTTTTTCCAGGGAGTTGTTCCAAAAACAACTTACATTGTCAGGAGTCGTCGAGTTTTTGCCTTACTTTAAAATGACATAGTAAAAAGACCAAAATACTTCCTCTAGAACACACAGAAAATGCATATACTATTTTAACAAGTTAATCTCTAAATACTCAGCTGATAAGCAAAAGAACAACTTTAATAAAACGCTACAGAACACTGAATACGCGTAAGCTTGTTAGTTACAGAAACATACGGTTGGCCAGTACTCAACCTTCATAGCAGTAACAAGGCGTACATTTGTTACAGTTTGTTAAGACCTCTTTATATCAATGTATACAGTCGAGGACAACTATACAAACTTTCTACTGATAAAACACAACAGATCACTGAACACGTGCAAGCTTGTGGTTTACCGAGACATCCGGCTAGCTTATACTCAACTTTCATAACAGTAACGAAGCTTACGTTTGGTTCAGTTTGTTAAGACCTCTTAATATCAACGTAAACTGATAAAACACTTCACTACAGAACACTAAACAACCGTAAGCTTAATATAGTTACAGGAACATCTGGTTGGTTAATACTCCACCTTCATAATTGTAACAAAGCGCACATTTGCTTCAGTTCTGATAAAGTCCTCCGGAAAAAAAAAACTTGTAGTGCATATATTGTAAAACATAAACGTCAAGAACTCAAATAATCTCGACCTCAGACGGCGGATAACTGACAGCGAGAAGAGAAAGCTCTCCTTGCCGCCAGTCATGCGCAACAAGGGGCAAGATCCTCAATAACGATTGTGGAGGGTCTCAATGGGGTGGTTGCTTTTACGACTAACGGTTAAAATTTTAGCCATTTTACGGGCAGCGGTTAATTTGACGCTTTAGAAAATGACAGATCATAGTTAGGAAAAATTTTTACGGTTAACTTTTCTAACGGCCAACAGTTAAAATTTGTCAATTTTTACGCCAAAGGATAAAACGGTTTTTTCGTTTTTCAGCTACCGTCGAGATCGATGGGTTATTGAGAAGCTTTCGGCAATGAACACACCTACGCCTTCAGAAGTCACTAAAACCGCGACTTTCCTTACTCTGGTAAACGTGGTCATATCTCCGGAAAGCACCTCTTCAACTGCCAAATTCCTTGCAACTAGATCGTTTCCAACTTCATTGGTCGTTCTCCTTTCAGCCGTCGGCGCAAAAATTATTTTAGCAACATAAACAACAGCCTCTTTTACACCTTGTCCCACTAGATCCTCTGCAGCGGTCAATGCATCAACATCAACAGTAACAAGGCACACAACTCCATACAGAAAGTTTATTACTCCTTTAACATTATCACCATCATAGAAATGCTTCATCGCTGCAGCGAAATTTAGTACAGTTCGTGATCCAGACAGCATATATCCTGAAACTGCTCTCACAGCAATCCAGCAAATAAAATCTATTGTATAGGCAGTCCACGATTCGATCGACATTTTTATGGAAGGTTGCTGCGAAAAATACATAAGGTAAAGAGTCATGAATACTCTGAAATAGTGACAGTTAAGTGACTAAACGGGATAAAAATATATATCGGCCTTTCACTGGTAACATCGTTTATTTACAATTGACACCCAAAAGAAAGCCTTACTATACTATATTTACAATGATTTTCGAGACCAAGGTCTTTTTCTATGCAATTAATTTTTTCTAGCAGCTGTCACTGCATATTTATTTACGAACTTTAACTCGGCATTTCCTGTTAAAAGTTTTTTCTTGCTACGAGTTTTTTGGGACCTGTTGGGATGAATGATACACCAGCCAAGTCCGCATTTTGAATTATACATATATTTTGTCAAATAAAGATTGAGGATTTAAGAGGAATTCCCAAGTTGTACTCAATAAATTATGATGCCCCTCCAACTTAAAGGAACATCATAATGAAAACTGTGATCATAAGAGACATTTCATGTCATGCGATACATAGATAACTCAAAATTCTCGGAAATGCTGTCGTGCTCAACGCTGATCTCTGTTTCTTCCTCTGTCTTTTGGTATCTCTCTCCGTCTCTCACTCTATTTCTCTCTCTCGAAAAGAAACATCTGTAAGTTAACTTATTACCCCTTTCTCGATATATCAGTGGAAGTTACCGAAAATTAGGGATACGAAACGCGACTTGAGGAAATACATAGTTCTGTGTCTCAGGTTTCTTGGAGAACCATATTGAAACCTGTGGAAGGGAAGCTCGACATTATCAAGCTTTCCAAAAAAATTAAAGGGAATTGGCGATCACTTTTAAAAAACTGCTAAACAAGGGAATTTGGCATGTTGGCTGAAAATGTTTAGCACGTGTTGTACTTCGATTCTTTACCAAATCTTTACGCACTCACCACGAACTTGTTTTTCGCAGTTTTCTAGAACGAGTGGCAATCACCAAACCAGCAATGTCATTAGAACAACCTTAAAAGAATCCTTACCTTTATACGAATCAAAGCTGATAATTATAACAGGGTAATTTAGTATTATCGACTGAGTTGATAACGTAAATTGACCACCGTAAAGAGTTAAAAAAAGCTGACGTTGCGAGCGTTAGCCATTCGTTAGAACGATTGGAGGAATCGTGGGTTGTGTGTGGGTTTATTTGCAGAAAATGGAGCTACGCTATTGGTGGGAATATGGTGACGAGAAAACAAAAGAATGAAAAGCGCTCGTTGATACAGTGGGGACTAAGAGTGCCAATTTGAAAGATAAATTTTTGTTCTGGAGTTTTGCGGCTTTCCGAGCTGCCTAGATGTAAGGAAAGGCTGCAAACAGCCATATGCTACTTAGCATGATTAGGGAAATTAAAGTGTCTAGCCACTGGTTTGGATACATCCTTGTCATTTCTTTCTAGAAAGTGTTCTCGGAATCGGTCGCCAGTCGTCCTCCTGTTTCACCAATGTATAACTTTTTTCAATAAGTGCAAGTTGTGCAGTAGATGCATGACATTGGCGGAGATGCGCGTGAAGTGATCAGTGATCTTAATGGATCTCTTGGGTCCCGAAATTTCCTCTACGTTATGAATGAAAGGACAAGTTTTGCATCGTAAGCGAGCGCATTTGAAAGTGCCCAACAAATTGATCGACAGTAAGCAGAACACTAAACAACCGTAAGCTTGATAGTTACAGAAACAACTGGTTGACTAATACTCAACCATCATAATTGTTCTTTCGTTTTTCAGCTACAGTCAAGATTGAGATCATTGAGACGTTTTTCATGACTAATTTTTCTCACCCTGGTAAATGTGTTTCTATTTTACTTTACTCATAAACTAGAGTGGGTGTGCAGCTCGAACTAGGAGCCCGAGTGTTTAAAGCCCAAGCGTACAAAGGTACAGAAAACAGTAAACAACTAGTTACAACTGAATCACTTACCGGGCTAAAAGCATTTTGTCTGCCGCCGCGTGATACGAAAACCCCCCAAAAAACCCAGTGGGAAAAATGCATTGTATCCTTCATCCAAATGCAGGTGCACCAACCCCTGGGGGTTAGAGGTAAAACGGGCTAAATTATATGCAAGGAAAATTTTTAATATAAAGCTGAGATGAATACATCACAAACGTCAAACCTTAAAGACGCCCTACAACAAAAGACGCAATTAACACCACGGCGTCTCACGTGCTTACATTCCGATAAGAAAATATTTACATTCTCTGTCACTAAGTCTCTACAGAAGCAAAGGGAGGGGTACTCAAGATCACATATAGGGTCAATGCTAGAATGCCCCTGCTCCAAGCTCAGAAGTTGACAGTAATAACACTTCGGTTCAATTGCTTCATCAGCCATTTCTTTCGCCAAATCCCTTGCAACTAGACCTTTTCCAGTTTCATTGGTCAACGCAATTCTTTTAGCACCATGTACAACAGCCTCTTTTATACTTTGTCCCGCTACATCCTTTACTACGCTCAATGCACCAACAGTACCATAGCATTTTTCTTTGTAATAATTTTCTTATAGTAGTTGTCACTGCATGTTAATTTACGAACTTTAACTTCCCGCTAAGAGTAAATTCCTGTTGTGCGTTTTTTGGGACTTGTTAGGGTGCATGATGTACAAGCGAAGTCTGCTCTTTGAATTATACAATTAATTTTGCGCGCAAGATTGCTTATCTAAAGTTCTAAATATGTCGTAAATTTTCTTGTGAAAGCTTTTTATGCAAATCTTCACAGAACGTCTTAGTCTTGCATCTCATGCGATCGAAATTTTCCGCTAAATCGATCGACCGATCAAATTTCCAAATTTTTAAATTTTCTCCGAAAAATCAAACAGGTGTAAAGACCACCGTAAAGACCATATTGTGTTCTGTCGATTTGCCTATACAGTGCAAGAGTTAACTTATATAGACGTGAAAGTACAAGAGATCGATCGAGTCGTCAAGAAATTAAACTCCAAGAGCACAAGCCAATATTTAAGGAGCACACTATCTTGGTAGAATATGTCTTGAAACCTCCTTAATACTTCTGCTTCAAATAAAACTACGATCGTAAGATACATTTGCACGCCATGCAATATATAATCAATTAAAAACTTTCAAATTCTCGGAAATGTTATCGTGCTCACCACTGATCTCCTTTTCTTCCCCTGTCTCTCGTTCTGTGTGTCTCTCTCTCTAAAAGAAAACAAGTTTAAGTTAGCTTTTTACCTCTTCCTTGATATGAGGAGTTAAACGAAAATTATAGATATGAAACTCGACTTGAGAAAGAAAAAAACAATGGTTCATTGTATGTCTTTGTTTCAAAGGTTTAGTGGTTAACAAGGAAAACGACACTGAAACCTGAGAAAAGGAAGCTTGAAATTATTTAGCTTTCTGAAAAAACAGAAACAGAATTGGTGATCAGGTCAAGTCTTAGCATTTAAGCAGAAGTCCTAGGATATCCTCGATAAATCAGCGATGCATCTTCTGTTTCAAAAACAGCACGATCGTAAGAGACATTTGCATGCCATACAATATATAAGTAATTAATAATTCTCAAATTCTCGGAAATGTTATCGTGCTCACTACTGATCTCCCTTTCTCTCTCTCTCTCTCTCTCTCTCTCTCTCTCTCTCTCTCTCTCTCTCTCTCTCTCTCTCACTCGAAAAAAAACAACAACTTTAAGTTAACATTTTACCCCTTTCTCGATCTATCAGTGAAATTTAACGAAAATTAGAGATGCGAAACGCGACTTGAGAAGATAAACAGCTTTGTGTCTTAGGTTTCTTGGAAAATCAAAGTGAAACCTGTGGAAAAGACCCTTGACATCTTCAAGCTTTCCAAAAAATAATACGGAATTGGCGATCAATTTAAAAACACTAAGCAAGGCAATTCTGGAAGTTGGCTGAAAATGTTGAGTACGTTTTGTACTTCGATTCTTTACCAAATCTATCCGCACGCACCACAAACTTGCGTCTCAAAGTATTCTGGAACGAGCAATCGCCAAACCGGTAACGTCATCAGAATAACCCCAATAGAATCCTCACCTTTATGCGAATCCAAGCTGATATGGTTATAACGAATAATTTAGTATTATAAACTGAGTTGATAACGTAAACTGGCCACCGTAAAGAGTTAGCCCTTCGTCAGAACGATTGGAGGAATTGTGGGTTGTGTGTGGGTTTATATGCAGAAAATGAAGCTGCACTATTGGTGGGAATATGGTGACGAGAAAACAAGAATAAATCACTTGGATGTAAAGCGCTCGTTGACATAGTGGAGACTAAGGGTGCCAATTTGAAAAAAAAAATTTTTGTTCTTGAGTTTTGCGGCTTTTCGAACTGCCTAGATGTAAGGAAAGGCTGCAAACAGCCATATGCCGCTTAGCATGATTAGGGAAATTAAAGTGTCTAGCCACTGGTTTGGATGCGTCCTTGTCATTTCTTTCTAGTCGCGAAAGTGTTCTCGGAATCGGTCGCCAGTCGTCTTCCTGTTTCACCAATGTACAACTTTTTGCAATAAGCGCAAGTTATGCAGTTGATGCATGACATTGGCGGAGGTGCGCGTGAAGCGATCAGCGATCTTTATGGTTGTTTTGGGTCCCAAAGTTTTCTCTACGTTATGAATGAAAGGACAAATTTTGCATCGTAAGCGAGCGTATTTGAAAGTGCCCAACAAATTGATCGAAAGTCAGCACTACAAACGGTGGAGAAAGATAATTATGATCGCATTCCATTTACTCCGGCATTTCACCTTCACAACTACGCAGTTAAATCCAATATTCTTAAAAACTTTAAATTACTTAATTCAGGACGATTCAGAGACTGTTACTATCTTTTCGTAACCTGCACTAATTTCAATCAAACGTGACAAAAGCATGGCATGAAAAAAATTTACTTAACGCTTGCCGAAAATGGCGAAAAGTGAATCAGCCCCCAGCCTCGAACAAACACCCACCCTTAAGATCCAAAAATTTAATGAGCACCCAGGACATTTATTTAAATAAATACGGTATTCAGTATCAAATGACCATATCACTACCATGGAATCCACAGCATATTGGATTGGTCGTATCAAGGTTTGATCTTACACTTCTAAATGTAATGTTATTCTAAGTTTTGTATCTGGAGCAGTTAGACATTCTGATTGAAAATTTTTAAGAAATGTTCTCTAAATTAACTTCGACAAAAGTAACTGTGAGTTCTGTGGGTGTGGTTTTGGGATTATGCTGACGTTGTCTCCATTGCTTCCATATTTCAAAGAAAGGTTTTATTCTTTGTTACAATAAAGTTCGGATATAACGCGCGCTGTCATTGGTTGCAAGAGCGTGCTCTATGAGAGTAAAGAGCATAGAACTGAGCTAAAGCTGTCACGCCATCTGCCAAATTGTACTGTGTTCGACCTTTTCCGGGACTTCTCTTTAGCCTTTTTTCGTTGATTGAAAGTGAAATTTCGGAACAAGCGAGCCGGCAAGTAGCAACAGGAGAACCAAACAAAGGTTTGTAAACATGCCAGGCACCGTAATTTACGTAATGATGACGTGAGCGGAGACGAAAATCCTCAAAAAGAAAATGAAATGGACAGTCCGATCGAGTTTGGAAAGTTTTCACGCTCAGTTAGATCGCAAGCTTACGTAAGGTAATAAAAATCAAACACAGCTAACACTCGTAAAGTATAAAGTGTCGTGTTAAAAAAAAAAACAGAGCAAAACAGGAATGGTGAAAAATATAGCCAAACTGGCATAACTTTTAAAATTCATACTAATCATGATGGTGTCAGAGCGACTGCGATCATGCTGAGGTCCATCGCGGCTGGATCATCATAGCGATCTCTGGTCATCAGAGTGAAGCAAGCCTCAGAACTGACATCGGCCGCCCTTCGAGTGAAAAACAAGGAGCTTGTTCTGATGTCCTTTCCGATGCGTTGAGTGGAAGGCCACGACAGTCACTGCAGACCGAGTTTTACGGCGCTGTCATACCGAGCAATCTTCACGTTCCGGTGACTTATTTTATCAAGTATTAAATGCCAATGATTGGCAGGAAATTTAAATTTGCTACTGCCTGGATTGAATTTTCAAACATTTAGTCCTTAAAATTGCTAGAGTGTGTCAAAATGGTAGTAATAATTTTATATTATTCTTTTCTGCCCCCTTAAATGAAGTGTAGTGTTACTTACACGATGGAATACTTATTACTCAATGTATCTTAGTTACAATAAGGGTAGTGGGGTTAATGACATACAAAAACCCCACAAGAGTCTTAGTACACCTAAACTTTGCCTTAAAACTGTGAAGTAGTTTTAAATCAGAGTGGAAACTTCCTCCGTTTCAAGTTTAGTACATTAAAATGTGTTGGGACTCTGCGCTTTTACACTTGAAAGAGTTAATACCCGATGCTAATGTAACGGCATATCAACCTTGAGCTTTTAGTGTGTGGCTTATGTCAATGCACAGTTGGCTTTTAAGCAGGCAAAGACGAAGACGTATGACATATTTCTTATGCGCTGCTTCGAAACACTTGCACATACCTGCTCCCTTCCCCCCCCTCTCCCCTTACCCTCCCCTCCTGGAGGTAATTAGCATTTGTTTCAGATTACCTTTAAAAGTATACGAAAATTACCTTGAAACTGAATTAAACTTTAAAATGGAAATTCCATTAGGCTTTCTGTGCACAATGATTATTTTACGAATATTCTGGTTGGGCAGCGGTGACTTGGAGTTTGCAACGCTTCGATCAGACTCGCAATGTTTCCGGTCCCCGAAGGCTTCAACATGTACAGTAGATCGGCGGTATGTTGGACACTTTTTGGGTGAAGTAATTTCACTCTTGAGGAAGATTTCAGAAAATGGTTCTGCAAAAGTCTAAGAAACCAAGGCTGAAACAAGAGTCAACTCTTAAATTTGTGAGTTACTTGGGTATGTAGTTTACAGCTGTACTTGACGCTTTGGCAAACATCACCACATAATTGCGAGTTTTTCTCAGGGAGTTGTTCAGAAAAAAACTTAAGTCGTCAGGAATCGTCGAGTTTGTTACCTTGCTTTAAAATATCATAACAGAAAGACCAAAAGACTTCCCTTTATAGCCGCAAACGCTAATCACTCGTATTTCAAACTTTAAAACATTATAAGAAAATAACAAAATCACAAACACGCGAAAGACCGTATGAGAAAAGACTTAAACAAGGACCTTACAAGATGAAGAACACACTGTGAAAAAATGAAACCCAGAGCTAGATATTATTTTAACAAAATAAACAAATTACGCGCGAACAACATATATACGATTTCAAATATAACAAGTACAAAACTGGTAACTGACTGAGGACAGTTTGAAAATAAAAAACACGAAACAGAACTAACAAAAAAGAATACGCGCGCCTACACCCTCAGAACAACCATTGATATATGATTTTAGGTTATTTTTATATTCAACCAAAAAGCAAGTTTATATTCAACCTTCATAACTTGATAGTTACAGAAACATCCGGTTTATATTTAACCTTCATAAAGTTTGTTAAGACAGTTTGTTAAGACCTCTATATCAATGTATACAGTCGAGGATAACTATGCGAACTTTCAACTGATAAAACACTACATAACACTGAAAACGCGCAGGCTTGTGGTTTACAGAGACATCCAGTAAGCTAATACTCAACCTTCATAACAGTAACAAAGCCTACATTTGGTTCAGTTTGTTAAGTATTCTGTCGAGAATAAATACAACTGCTAGCAAATACAAAGTTTGATAAAACACTACAGAACACTAAACACCCGTAAGCTTGATAGTTACAGAAACATCTGGTTGACTAATACTCAACAATCATAATTGTTCTTTCGTTTTTAAGCTACAGTCAAGATTGAGATCATTGAGACGTTTTTCATGACTAATTTTTCTCACCCTGGTAAATGTTTCTATTTTACTTTACTCATAAACTAGAGTGGATGTGCAGCTCGAACTATGAGCCCGAGTGTTTAAAGCTCAAGCGTACAAAGGTACAGAAAACAGTAAACAACTAGTTACAACTGAATCACTTACCGGGCTAAAAGCATTTTGTGTGCCGCCGCGTGATACGAAAACCCCCCAAAAAACCCAGTGGGAAAAATGCATTGTATCCTTCATCCAAATGCAGGTGCACCAACCCCTGGGGGTTAGAGGTAAAACGGGCTAAATTATATGCAAGGAAAATTTTTAATATAAAGCTGAGATGAATACATCACAAACGTCAAACCTTAAAGACGCCCTACAACAAAAGACGCAATTAACACCACGGCGTCTCACGTGCTTACATACCGATAAGAAAATATTTACATTCTCTGTCACTGCCACCATCCAGTGGCGGATCCAGACCTTTAGCTAAGGGAGGGGGTGCACTTATTTTTACAGACAGTCACGTTTACTTTTAAACAATTTCTTCAAGTCTCTACAGAAGCTAAGGTAATAACACTTCGCTTCAATTGCATCTTTTCTTTCGCCAAATCACTTGCAACTAGACCTTTTCTAGCTTCATTGGTCAACGCAATTCTTTTAGTACCATGAACAACAGCCTCTTTTATACTTTGTCCCGCTACATCCTTTACAACGCTCAATGTACCAAAAGTACCATAGCATACAACTCCATAAAGCAAGTTTATTACTCCTCCAACGATATCACCATGATAGAAATTCTTCACCACTTCAACGAAATTTAATACATTTCGTAATCCAGATTTCATATAGTCTGCAGCAGCTCTCAAAGCAATCCAGCCAATAAACTTAATTGTATATACAGTCCACGATTCGTTCGACATCTTTGCGGAAAGTTGCTGCAAAAAATATATAAGGTAAAGTGTCATGCATAGTCTGAAATAGTGACGGTTAAGTGACTAAATGGGACGTAAAACTGGATGGCTCTTAAGATGGGTTTTAGATGTCCTCTGAGCTACATGCAGGTCTTAACCAAATAGAAAATTCATGGGTCAGTTGAATACGATGCCATTTTTTCAATAGAGCCAGACACGTATTGGGGTAAGCTCGGATCGCGCCTGCCTCGTCAGCCATATCATTCGCGCCTAATTTGTTATGTGTTAATGTTGGGTCATTTTTAGGGCAAGTAATGTACTGAGCTTTTACGTGTACCTTATTGTTACTCTTGGTAACGTAATGTCGCGATCGCACTATTGCTATCTAAAAAGGTGTATTTTAATGTTTAAAAAAACAAACTTTATAAAACAGTACAGTTTATATGTAATTGGCTCTGTCCTAGTCACAAACAAATTCGCATTAAATAGCTTGTTTTTGCGCAAATCTGTCGGGGCTAATCAAATATATTCAGAAAAACAAAAACTTAGAAAATATCGGCAAAACCGCCTGATCAAACTCGAGTTTTTAACGTTTTAAAAGGTAGAAAAGGGTGAATATATTTCACCTTGGGAAGTAAAGATCTTAAGGTATTTAGGCCAAAAATTGAGATATATCTGAAATATATATTTGCCTGTCATTGGTAACGTCATTCATTTAAAATTGACTCACAAACGAAAGCCTCATTGTACTTTCTTTACATTGATTTTCATGACCAGCCTTTTTCTTTGAAATAATTTTCTTATAGTAGTTGTCACTGCATGTTAATTTACGAACTTTAACTTCCCGCTAAGAGTAAATTCTTGTTGTGCGTTTTTTGGGACTTGTTAGGGTGCATGATGTACAAGCGAAGTCTGCTCTTTGAATTATACAATTAATTTTGCGCGCAAGATTGCTTATCTAAAGTTCTAAATATGTCGTAAATTTTCTTGTGAAAGCTTTTTATGCAAATCTTCACAGAACGTCTTAGTCTTGCATCTCATGCGATCGAAATTTTCCGCTAAATCGATTGACCGATCAAATTTCCAAATTTTTAAATTTTCTGCGAAAAATCAAACAGTTGTAAAGAAAAATTCATCCGCCTGATTTTCCTACTTTACTGAAATTAGAACCGTGGATTTCGTCAAACGTTGCTTTAAAAATGTCTCGGTCTCGTATCATTGAATTATGTCACCTCAACAACGATGTAGTTGAATTAATCGCCTGCGTAGTCAGTTTTATCTTAGAAAGCGTTCAAGATTCAACTTCCTGTGGTCTTTCTCCTGTAAAAGATTTCTTCTTTCAAGCATCAACCTTTTTTAAAAAGACTCTTCTACTCTTCTAAGGATTACTTTGTAAAAAGCTGTCTTCCCTGGAAATCTGTTGTGATTGCGTTCGGTTGATTTGTCCATATGTACATAAAAGTTAGCTAATATAGACGTGTAAGTACAAGAGATCGATCGAGTCGTTAAGAAATTAAACTCCTCTTAAATTTTATAAATTTCTATGAGCCAAAATTTAAGGAGCACATTATCTTGGTTGAATATGTCTTCAAACCTCCCTAATAAATCAGCGATGCATCTTCTGCCTCAAATAAAACTACGATCGTAAGAGACATTTGCGTGCCACGCAATATATAAACAAAAATTCTCAAATTCTCAGAAATGTTATCTGCTCACTACTGATCTCCCTCTCTTTCTCTCTCTCTCTCTCTCCCAGTCTCTCGCTCTTTTTCTCTCTCTCTCTAAAAGAAAGTAAGTTTATGTTTTTTTTTACCTCTTCTTTTCATATACTAGTAGAGTTAAACGAGAATTTTAGATATGAAACTCGACTTGAGAAAAAAAAAGTTTCATTGTATGTCTTTGTTTCAAAGGTTCAGCTGTTCACATGGAAAACGATATTCAAACCTATGAAAAGGAAGCTTGAAATTATCAAGCTGTCCAAAAAAGACAAACAGAATTGGTGATCAGGTCTTAGCATTGAAGCAGAAGTCCCAGGATATCCTCAATAAATCAGCGATGCATCTTATACTTCAAATAACAACACGACCATAAGAGACATTTGCATGCCATGCAATCTATAAGTAATTAATAATTCACATATTCTCGGAAATGTTATCGTGCTCCCCCGCTCTCCCTGTCTCTCGCTCCGTTTCTCTCTCTCTCTAAAAGAAAGTAAGTTTAACTTAGCTTTTCTACCTCTTCTATGATATACTGGTGGAATTAAACGAGAATTTTAGTTCTGAAACTCGACTTGAGAGAAAAAAAATTTTTCATCGTATGTCTTTGTTTCAAAGGTTCAGCTGTTAAAAAAACGATATTCAAACCTATGAAAAGGAAGCTTGAAATTATCAAGCTTTCCAAAAAAGATAAACAGAATTGGTGATCAGGTTAAAACTTAGCATTTAAGCAGAAGTCCTAGGATATCCTCAATAAATCAGCAATGCATCTTCCACTTCAAATAACAACGCGATCATAAGAGACATTTGGATGCCATGCAATATGCAAATGATTAAAAGAATCCTCAAATTCTCGGAAATGTTATCGTGCTCACCACTGATCTCCCTCCCTTCCTCTGTCTCCCTCTCTATATATATATATATCACTCTCTCTAGAAAAAAACAACTTTAAGTTAACTTTTTGCCCCTTTCCCGATCTATCAGTGGAATTAAACGAAAATTAGAGATGCGAAACGCGACTTGAGAAAATAAACAGCTTTGTGTCTCAGGTAACTTAGCAAACCAAACCGAAACCTGTGGAAAGGAAGCTTGATATTATCAAGCTTTCCAAAAAATTAAAACGGAATTGGCGATCAATTTAAAAACACTAAGCGGGGGAATTTAGCATGTTGGCTGAAAATGTTAAGTACGTTTCGTACTTCGATTCTTTACCAAATTTATCCGCACGCACCACGAACTTGCGTCTCACAGTTTTCTGGAACGAGTAGCAATCACCAAACCGGTAACGTCATCAGAATAACCCTAATAGAATCCTCACCTTTATACGAATCCAAGCTGATATAGTTATAACTGGGTAATTTAGTATTATCAACTGAGTTGATAACGTAAACTGGCCACCGTAAAGAGTTAGCCCTTCGTCAGAACGATTGGAGGAATTGTGGGTTGTGTGTGGGTTTATATGCAGAAAATGGAGCTACACTATTGGTGGGAATATGGTGACGAGAAAACAAGAATAATTTAGTGGTATGAAAAGTGCTCGATGATACCGTGGGGACTAAGAGTGTAGCCTACGTGTAGCCGTAACCTCCCCTCCCTACAAGGTGAAACGGAGGCGAGGAAATGTCGAATCGTTTTCTGTGACGTCACTCTTTTGCAAGAAAATGTATAATGACTTTTTATTGATCAACCCTTTTGCCAATTCTTTCGTCAGTTCTGATTGGCCAGAGTTAGTAATTTATTTTCAAACTAACGAACCGGACGGTGACCAAATGCATTCATGGTCAACCTTTCAAACAACAGTGATCTATGACGAGGTTTTAAGGCAAGTTTGTGCGACTTTTGGGATAGAGACATTTCAAGAAGAACATCAAAAAGCCATAAATATGTTTTTGGAAGGTAATGATGACTCGGTTTCGTTACCAACTGGCTATGGAAAATCTTTAATATAATAAGCAGCGCCAGTGATCGATCGCCTCTCTTCTTTAGGAGAAAACCGGTCACTATATCTATTGTGCCGCCCGTTAAAGCTCTCGCAGCCGACCAGGTGCACTATCTCTATGTACTTGGGCCAAGAGGATTGCCCGCCTTCAGCCTTCGATCTCTTTATGAACGGTGCTGCGAAGCTGTTAAGACTGTGTCCGGCTGCCGGACGTTTAGTCACTTAAATTAGAGCTAGTTGTTTCTCGCAGCGATTATTTTTTGACTGAGAAAAGAGTCGCTCTTTCTTCACGCTTGGAGCGTAAGTATCTCTTAAGAGACTCTGCGGCAAATGATCCAACTTTTTCGTCGACTGTGGCACTGCTTGCAAATGCAAACAGAAACCGTGAGGATTTCGTAAGCGCGATGCTAATCGAACATCGTCCTCTTCTCACTCTGTACAAAAATCGCTCATAATCTTGTCCTATATCCTTAAAGCAAAATATATATTTGAAATCGGATTGCAAATTGCAAATTTACCCGAAAAATGGAAAATGAATTCGCTTCAGTGTTGTTGTTTATCTCGATAACCTTCACGCTAAAACGTGCCTCTTCGCAAAAAAATATAATCAAACGACATTATTTGTCATAAATTAGAGTGGCGTTACGGAACACGATTAGTGTCAGGTTTGCGGCTACACGTAAGCTACTAAGAGTGTCGATTTAAAAGATAAATTTTTGTTCTTAAGTTTTGCGGGGCTTTCCGAACTGCCTAGTTGTAGGGGAAGGCTGGAAATTGCCATATACTCCTTAGAATTATTAACGATATTAAAGTGTCTAGCGTCTGGTTTGGATGCGTCCTTGTCATTTCTTTCTACGTCGCGAAGGTGTTCTCGGAATCAGTCACCTAGTCGTCTTCCTATTTCACCAATGTATAACTTTATGAAATAAGTTCAAGTTATGCAGTGAATGACATTTGCGGAGGTGCACGTGAATTGATCCCTGGTTAGGCCGCGGTTGCTTGGAGTTTGCAACGCTTCGATCAGGCTCGCATTTTTTTCAGTCTCTGAAGACTTCAACTGTAGGTCGGCGCTATGTTAGACCTTTGTGGGTAAACTCATTTTACTCCTGAGGAAGATTTCAGAAAACAGTTTTGCAAAAGTCTTAAAATCCAAGGCGGAAATGAGAGCCAACTCTTAAATCTGTGAGTTACTTGGGTATGTAGTTTAAAGCTGTGCTTGGCGGTTCGGCAAATATCACCTCAAAAATATTGCAAGTTTTTCCTTGGGAGTTGTTCGGAAAACAACTGACATTGTCAGGAGTCGTAGAGTTTGTTGCCTTACTTTAAAATAACATAACCAAAAGACTTCCTCTAGAACACACAAAAAGTGCAGATATTATTTTAACGAGTTAATCTCTAAATGCTCTACAATTTCAGCTGATAAGCAAAAGAACAACTTTTAAAACACTTCGGAACACTGAATACACGTAAGCTTGAAAGTTACATAAAACATCTGGTCGGCCAGTATTCAACCCTCATAACAGTAACAAACGAACAAAGCCTACATTTGGCACAGTTTGTTAAGACCTCTCAATACCAATGTACACAGTCGTGGATAACTATGCAAACTTTCAACTGATAAAACACTACAGATCACTGAAAACGCGCAGGCTTGTGGTTTACAGAGACAAATACAACTACAAACTTTGATAAAACACAAAAGAACACCAGACAACCGTAAGCTTAATAGTTACAGGAACATCTGGTTGACAAATAATCAACCTTCATAATTGTAACAAAGCGCACGTTTGCTTCAGTTCTGACAAGTCCTCCGAAAAAAACTTGTAGTACATATATTGTAAAACATAAACGTCAAGAACTCAAGTAATCTCGACCTTAGACGGCGGATAACTGACAGCGAGAAGAGAAAGCTCTTCTTGCCGCTAGTCATGTGCAACAAGGGGCAAGATCTTCAATGAGGATTGCGGAGGGTCTGAATGGGGTGGTTGCTTTTACGACTAATGGTTAAAATTTTAGCCATTTTACGAGCAACGGTTAATTTGACGCTTTAGAAAATGACAGATCGTAGTTAGGAAAAATTTCTACGGTTAACTTTTCTTGCGACGAACAGTTTAAATATGTCAGTTTTTACGCTAAGGGACTAAACATGTTTTTTCGTTTTCCAGCTACCGTCGAGAATAATGGGTTATTGAGAAGCTTTCGACAATTAATACACCTATGCCTTCAGAAGTCGCTAAAACCGCGACTTTTCTCATTCTGGTAAACGTGGTCACATCTCTGAAAAACACCTCTTCAACTGCCAAATTCCTTGCAACTAGATCGTTTCCAACCTCATTGGTCGCTCTCCTTTCAGTTGTCGGCGTTATTGTTTTAGCACCACGAACCAGAGCCTCTTTTATAGTTTGTGCTGCTACATCCTCTACAGCGGTCAATGCACTAAGAGTAACAAGGCCTAAAACTCCAAAGAGTAAGTTTATTACTCCTCTAAGGATATCACCATTATAGAAATTCTTCACCACTGCAGCGAAATCTAGTGCAGTTCGTAATCCAGACAGCATGTGTTCTGCTGCTGCTCTTAAGGCAATCCAGAAAATAAAATCTATCGTGGATGCAATCCACGATTTGTTCGACATTTTTGCGGATGGTTGCTGTGAAAAAATATATAAGGTAAAGAGTCATGAATACTCTGAAATAGTGACGGTTAATGACTAAATGGGATGAAAACTAGATAGCTCTTGAGGTGGGCTTGAGATGTCCTCTGAGCTGCATCAGGTCTTAACCAAATAGAAAAATCAGGGGTCAGTTAAATGCTAGAGGTAACACTTGACAGGATGTCATAGTAAAGCCAGTCATGTATCGAGGTAGGCCCGGAACGCACCTGCCTCATCAGTCATACCATCCGCGCCTGCATGGATATCACGTGTTAATGTTGGATAATTTGAGTGCAAGTAATTTACTGAGGTTTTATGTGTACCTTATTGTTACTCATGGGAACGTAATATCATGAAAATGGAACGGGCGTATTTCGTGGAACCTCAAGGAGGCTAGATAAGGTTTTGATTGCTCAAGATCTGGACGTGATCATAGCGCTCGAGCTTTAAGAATGTCAACAAGCAAAACAAACATGGCGGCTCGATACGATCGCACTATTGCTATGAAAAAGGTGTATTTTAATGTTTTAAAAAAACATAAAACAATGCAGTTTTTATGATATAATTGGCTGAGTCCTAGCCACACAATTCGCATCAAATAGCTTGTTTTTTTAAAATCTGTCAGAGCTAATCGAATATATTCAGAAAAATAAAAACTTAGAGAATATTGGCAAAACTGTCTGATCAACCTTGAGTTTTTAACGTTTTTAAAAGGTCAGGCAATATTATTATCTTGTAGCAAAGAATGAAGACATTTCACCTAGCGAAGATAAGATCTTAAGGTATTCAGGCCAAAATTTGAAATATATCTGCCTGTCATTGGTAACGTCATTTATTTTGTATTGGCACCTAAAAGAAAGCCTTATTATACTATATTTACGATGATTTTCGAGACCAGTCTTTTTCTTCGCAATTTCTTTCTTCTAGTGGCTGTCACTGCATATTTATTTATGAACTTTAACTCGAAAGTTCCTGTTAAAAGTAAATTCTTGTTGTGCGTTTTTGGGGACTTGTTGGGGTGAATGATACACAAGCGAAGTCCGCAGTTTGAATTATAAATTTTCTTGTTAAAGCTTTTTATGCGAATCTTTACCAAACGTCATAGTCTTGCATCTCATGCGATCGAAATTCTCTGCGAAATCGATTGACCGATCAAATTTCCAAATTTTCAAATTTTCTCCGAAAAATCAAACAGGTGTAAAGACCACCGTAAAGAACATATTGTGTTGTGTCGATTTGCCTATACAGTGCAAGAGTTAACTTATATAGACGTATAAGTACAAGAGATCGATCGAGTCGTCAAGAAATTAAACTCCAAGAGCACAAGCCAATATTTAAGGAGCACACTATCTTGGTAGAATATGTCTTGAAACCTCCTTAACACTTCTGCTTCAAATAAAACTATCGTAAGATACATTTGCACGCCATGCAATATATAATCAATTAAAAACTCTCAAATTCTCGGAAATGTTATCGTGCTCACCACTAATCTCCTTTTGTTCCCCTTTCTCTCGTTCTGTGTGTGTCTCTCTCTAAAAGAAAACAAGTTTAACTTAGCTTTTTACCTCTTCCTTGATATGAGGAGTTAAACGAAAATTATAGATATGAAACTCGACTTGAGAAAGAAAAAAACAATGGTTCATTGTATGTCTTTGTTTCAAAGGTTCAGTGGTTAACAAGGAAAACGACACTGAAACCTGAGAAAAGGAAGCTTGAAATTATTTAGCTTTCTGAAAAAACAGAAACAGAATTGGTGATCAGGTCAAGTCTTAGCATTTAAGCAGAAGTCCTAGGATATCCTCGATAAATCATCGATGCATCTTCTGTTTCAAAAACAGCACGATCGTAAGAGACATTTGCATGCCATACAATATATAAGTAATTAATAATTCTCAAATTCTCGTAAATGTTATCGTGCTCACTACTGATCTCCCTTTCTCTCTATTTCTCTCTCTCTCTCTCTCTCTCTCTCTCTCTCTCTCTCTAAAAGAAAACAAGTTTCTCTCTCTCTCTCTAAAAGAAAACAAGTTAAGTCAGCTTTTTAACTTTTTTTCGATATACCAGTGGAGTTTAACGAAAGTTAGATATGAAACTCGACTTGAGAAAGAACAATTGTTCATTGTATGTCTTTGTTTCAAAGGGTATGCGGTTAACAAGGAAAACGATACTGAAACCTAAGAAAAGGAAGCTTGAAATTATCAAGAATAGAAACAGAAGTTGTTATCAAGTAAAGATTGATTATTTTAGAGAAAGTCCTAAGTTATACTCAATTAATTAGCGATGCCCCTTCAACTTAAAAGAACATTATGATCAATACTGCGATGATAATAGACAGTGCATGTTATGCAATATATATTTATAATTCAAAATTCTCGGAAACTGTTATCGAGAAAATAAACGGCTTTGAGTCTTAGGTAACCTAGCAAACCATACTGAAACCTGTGGAAAGGAAGCTTGGTGTCATCAAGCTTTCCAAAAAAAATAAAACGGAATTGGCGATCAATTTAAAAAAACTAACCAAGGGAATTTGGCATGTTGGCTGAAAATGTTCAGTGCGTGTTGTATTTCGATTCTTTACCAAATCTTTACGCTCGCACTACGAATTTGCGTTTCACAGTTCTCTGGAAGGAGTAGCAATCGCCAAACCGGTAATGTCATTAAAGCAACCTTAAAGGAATCCTTACCTTCGAATCCGGGCTGATGAAGTTGTAACAAGGCAAATTAGTATTATCTACTGAGTTGATAACGTAAATTGGCCACCGTAAAGAGTTTAAAAGCTGACGTTGGGGGCGATATCTTGTTGGTTCGACATTCTCAACCGATACACATTTCAGTTCTTTCCTTGAGAAGGAGCCCATGGGCTCCTGCGTTGGGTGATTTTAGGCTTACAGCCACTGGCGCGTCATGTTTTCAGCTCTTTCCATGACAATGCAGAAGACAGTAGAAGATGATAAACATCTCAAATCATTTCAAGATTGCGTGCGATTGAAAAATAAAAATTTCCTTACAGAAATATCTTAATAGGTGTGATCGGCGCACCATGAAATGTTATTTAGAGAGGGAGGGAGAGCTGGTGAAAACTTAGTATCCCTTGTTCACTTTTCCAGGAGTCTGGAAAGAGGGTCTGGGTGGCGGGCAGGGTTACAAATGTCAGTTGTCAGTTAAAATTTCGGCTATTTCTCAGTTCTCAGATAGATTTTTGGTCATTTGTCAGTTCTCAGTTAAATGACTGTCAATAATTAACTTGTTGAGTTACTTATTACTTCCCGATCCTACTTTTGGCAAGAAAGGCACATATAGCGTAAACTCGAAAATTAAGTTGAAAATAAGAATTCTTTTTTTTCCATCCTCGAATGAAATAATTCCGAGATTTTCCGAGTGACTTTCAGTCTTTGTTTGAAGGGTGTTCAAACAAGTAACGACTCTTTTGCACACAAACTTCTGTTTGCCCGTGCGCCACATTGAAACATTCCCTTTTCAACCACTTAGCCGGTCAAAATGTTGGAAAGAGGATTATCAGAAAGACAAAAAACTCGTGAAGAGTCCTTTAGCACAATATATTTGTTTTATGTTTTGTTTTACGATGCGTCAATTGTGATTGGCCCTAATGAAATGATCGGAAAGGAATGTTCTTTTGTCAACTTTTCAGTTAGGTTATTAGAGATATCTACTGTCAGGGGACCTTAGAAATCCAAACGAAACTGGGCGAAAATTGCCCACCCAGATCTAGAAACTGTAATTGGGATAATATCTTCATTCTCTTTCGGTCAGAAAAGTCGTTTTCTGAGTCCGTGTCATATTCGTCTGCATCTTTTCGCACCTCAGTAACTGCCACTTCAGCGATACAGTCGTCAACAAATGTGACATCTGTCACATTCCCACTTTCCGAAGTAGCTTGAACGGTTCCTTTGTCGCTGCTGAGCCCCTACTGGCTGATCTCCAGAGTTAAAACCATTCGCTAGTCCCGCTAACAATTGCTTCATGTAGATGGCCGGTGGTGAAGCCCTTGCCTTATCCATAGTAGTTTCCTCCCAAACTGTCCTTTGCCTCAACGGACGATACTTCTCCACAAATTCTTTCATAGCAATTCCAGTCTCGGGGTTAATCTCTTTTTCAGCGCCAGTACAGTGTTTACAACATTGATAGGAATGCGGCTTCTGTGACGCTCAAATGCCGTTTCCGAATCAATTCGGCCGTCGCGACGCTGCCTGACCTTCGTGTAAGTTGACGATCGAGTTGGGTATCAAAGATCATATAACCAATATGTGACATATGAATGTGGATGGTCCATGCGGTAATTATAAACGAAATATGACACTCTGGTGTACTCCTACTGATATATGATAAAAAACGTACTTTTATTGGACAAAATAAATCAATGTCTCTATTTCACGTCCAATTTTTAAGATATTTAGGGTGATCCGGTCTATTGTCAGTTGTCAGTAAAAGCCCACCACAAATGTCAGCTGTCAGTTAGATTTTCAGCGATTTGTTGGTCGGCAGTTAAAATTTTGGCAATTTGTCAGTTTTCAGTTGACCCCATCCAGGCCCTCTGGAAAGTGAGTTTAGAAAAAGACACTAATCGCTCACTTTGCACGACTTTATTATGTTACCCGATTAGAACTTGTTATTTATAAAACTGCTGATGGTTTCCCGATGAGTGACCACGAAGACGCACTCTTTTTTCAAAGCTTTGTCTCTGTATTCGTAACTATCCGTACTCAGGAACGCCGGGTACAGGTCGAGGTGGGGGAGGAGGGGGCGGCTCCTCAGCTATGATTACATGTGATCCTAGAACGGAAGTAGTTCGACTGGTGAAGGCCAAAGTCTTATGTTATTTTGCGCATTGAGAAAGGGAGCGACCAGAGCCACAATGCATTTGTTTTACTTTGTTTCGCTTTCACTCGGTGTCTCCATTTTATCTGGATCTCCTTCTCTCTCGCTGCGTGCAGATTTGAAGATAATTGTGGTTTCTCGAGTCAATGGAACAGACAACAGCACGTGTTGGAATGAAACTACAGTTCCTTGTCAAACTTTGAACTACGCTTTGAAACATATGTCCAATTCGACTTTTGTGCGGCTACGATCAGAGGAGTATTCTTATAACCTAACGGAACATTTCGACTTTACTGGCTTACGAGAGATTGGATTAATTGGAGACGAAGAAGCTGTATCTGTTGATTGTTTTCAAAACGGAAGTCTCTCTTTCGTAGGGAGCGAAAACATCACGTTGGAAAGAATTTTGCTACGTGGTTGTGGAGGTTTGCATAACAGCACAACTGGTGATGCGTTTAAAAAGTATGCTCGCATACCATTCCTCTCGGCTGTTTATCTCTCTGACTGCAAGGACGTGATCGTAAATAACTTCAGTATTGTTCAAAGTCCTGGGATTGGCTTGAATATGTATGATGTAGGAGGTGAAGTTCGCATCTCGTATTCCCGGTTTGAAAGCAATCAACCACTCAATTCCACACCGGAGGATATAGCAGTTGCTGGAGGTGGTGTTTATATCGAGTTTACCTTCAAAAGCGAAACCAATATGTCAGCATTTCCTTCCGATTTAACGAAGACACCGCGTACATTTGATAGTAACAGCACTTACATCTTTCACTATTGCACATTCAGAGATAACCTTGCGAAAGATCAGAATTTTTCAACTTTTATTGACAACCCTCATGGGAATGATCATATTCCCTTTGGAAGGGGAGGAGGGTTGTCAATATTTGTGAAAGGTGTGGCACAAAATAACGTCATTCAGATAACTCACTGTCATTTTGAAGACAACCATGCCCTTTGGGGAGGGGGAATTTTCGTTGAGTTTCAAGATAAGGTGCAGAACAACACTTTAGAAATAAATAATTGCAATTTTACAAATAATAATGCTACCTACGCAGGCGGAGCCATCAGAAGTGGGACAATAGCACATAGTAACCATCGGCAGTTACTTCCAAACCAAGTGATGAACAAGGGCTGTTTGTTTACAAGTAACAGCGCAGTTCTTGGTGGCGGAGTCTCACATCATGGAATTGGCTCTTTGTTAAAAGTAGAGAATGACAAAAGCCTCAATATTCAATTCACAAAGTGTCACTGGACCAATAACACTGCAACAATGGGTTCTGCTATCGGCCTTGCAGGTGAGGCACTTATTATTGGCAGTCAGGATTTGACTTCGAAAGGACCCAGGCTTGTGCACAGCATCATTCTTGAAGACTGCAATATCACCAATAATCGAATTGTATTAACAGAAGATGGAGATGTCATTGGTCAAGGAGCAATTTATTCATACTCAGTCCCTGTCATCTTTCAGGGAGTTGTGAACATTGAGTCTAATAACAACACTGCAGTGGTTACTGAGAATGTTATGCTGCATGTTGTTGGTAATGTTACCTTCCGAAACAATACAGGAGGACAGGGGGGTGCATTAGGATTGTATGGCACTTCAGTTATAATGCTTATGCCGAACAGTAACCTTAAATTTTTTGACAATGTTGCACTGCAGCAAGGAGGAGCAATCTACGTTAGAGATTCTGGTCCACCTGTTGTGGCATTTAAGACAACTGAGCTGAATACACGGCCATGTTTTATTGCCTTCAACAACACCTTCAGTCTGGAGGGAGTCGATAAATGGGAAACCAGGGTAATTTTCAAGGGGAATAATGCTTTGCAAAATGGCGGCGGGAACTCTGTTTATGCATCAACTCTCCAAGGATGTCGCCAAGCTGGACAACCTCGTATAAATAACGAATCTCTTCAGTGGCACAATGTTATTGAGTATCAAGATCCTGATATAAGCGCCAAAGAACAGATTTCTACTGATCCTGTGAAAATAAAACTCAATGAAAGTGAATGGGAGGTTTCTCCCAGTGAGGTATTTAATGCTTCTGTGGAACTTATTGATGAAAAAAATAGCTCAGTGTTAGGAATTGTCAACTTGACCATCACTGACAACAACGATCGTACTGTGAAACTTGGTACCACTTCAAACCTGTTTCTTATTCAAGGTAATTCACCCAAAATTAACAACCTACACCTTTTAGGAAAGGTGCACAGCAAGTTCAAAGTGCAAGCCAGCACAGTTGCAGGTCGGGTTGTGCAACTTTCCTTTCCTAAGCCATTGCAATTACATGTTTGTCACCCTGGCTTGAAACAGAAGAGAAGAGAAAACAGTTGTACATGTTTAGATAAAGAAGAGCCTGGTATTTCACATTGCAGTGATGATTTCAAATTTGTGTTCTTAAAAAGAGGATATTGGGGTGGAACAATTAAGGAAAACGAGTTCAGCACATACCCCTGTCCACCAGATTATTGTAATTTTACTAAACATGATCCAAACTTTCAATACAACCCCAACACTCTATGTGTTAAAGGACGCAATGGATCAAGTGTTCTTTGTGGGGCATGCAAAAACAACTACTCTGTAAACTTAGGAAGTGAAAACTGTACAAGAAAGTGTGACAACACCCATCTGTGGCTTCTTGTGGTATTTTTCATAGTGACACTATTCTTGGTATTGGTGGTGCTGCGTATCCAGTTGGACATCTTTACAACATATCTCAATACTTGGTTGTATTCCTACCAAGTAATTACATTTCTTCTTCAAGAGGGACAATACCTTGACCGTGTTATTAAATTTGTCATTGGCATTGCCAATTGGAGAATCAAAGGCGTTGGCACTTGTCTGTTTCATGGAATGAACAACCTTCAAAAACTTGGTATTAATTACATCCTTCCTTCATATGTTCTTCTGCTACTTCTTATTTTGGCTAAGATTGCAAAGTGCCGCCCTACATGCTACATAAATAGGAATGTCTCGCAAGCCTTGTGCACTCTACTAGTTCTCTGCTATACGAATATTACAATGATTTCGTGCAACATCATTCACTATGTTCCCATACAAGGAAGATGGGTGCTCTATGCAGATGGTAACATTGACTTCGTAAGAAATTGGAAGGAACACTTGCCATTCACTATCATTGCTTGCTTGTGGTTCATCCTTTTCGTTGCATTTGTACCATTGGTTCTTTTATTCACTCCCTGGTTCATGCGGCATTTTAGCTTTTTAAATAATTTCAGGTTATTTTTTGACACCTTCCAACATTGCTTCAAAGATGAATACAGGTGGTTTGCAGCATTTTATTTCCTCTGCCGCATTTACATCTTGTTTATTGCTCTGTTTGTTCCATTCTCACCTTTGAAGAGATCCATCTTAGAGGTTTCCTGTGTCTTAATTGTGGTGACATGCCTCTACCTTCGGCCATACAAGAGTAACAGGAATGGCAATGCAGATTATGACTGGTTGAATACTCTTGATGCTGTGCTTCTCACAAACTTGTGTTTTGTTGTCATATTCAGCTCAAGCATCATCAGTGATGCCTCATTATCTGTTCAGAAAGGGCTAGAGAAAATTGTCAATGTCTTGGCTTATGTCCCACTTGCTTACCTTCTCTGCCTTGTCTGCTATTATGGATGGAAATACTTTTGTCCAAGGAACCTGGACTTTGATCATCATAGAATGGAACCAGAAGCTGCATCCTCTACTGGAAGTACTCATCAAAGTCAGGCAAAACCCATATAGAGCCATAGTACTGTTACACTGGTCAAACTGTTTGAGCGCACTGCAATTATTTTAATTAGTAATTGTGCTCTTTTCAGGGAACCTCGCTTAAGTGAGCAATTAGTAAATAGCTGTTGCTTGACCCTAACCCACTCAAGGGTTAGTCGCCAGATACTTTTTTCATTTGGAAGTTAGGGCAGTGCTCCATGAATGTTAGTTATTTAAAGTCAACACTATGCCCTGGGTTGATTGCCAGCAGCTGTTTAGAAAATGAGCCTTACTGAAGACCAGACTTAAGAAAAGGATAGAAATTCGGCCAAGCTGTGCACTGGTCTTTAAAACCTGTGTTAGATGAAAAGTTGGGTAATATGATGGTTTTCCAAGTAAAACATTTTTGACAAAAAGTAGATTAATAGTAATAATGACTGAATTATTAACAAAAGACCAACAAAGAGTTAAGAATTATTGAAACTTTGAGACCAAAATTAGCTTTGCCATTTTTTCAATTGTGAATATAGAATTGTAACACATTATCAATAGTCATTGTTACAGATGCTGCAGATTGAAAGCTTTTATTCAGTCATTAAACAATGTATGAAATGTGCTTAGGGAAAAAAAGCCATTTTCTTTGTTCAAAACTTATCACTAAATTCATTTCAAAAGTTTCTCAACTTATTGTTAAATTTATGTCAATGAAAAGTTTAAATTTTTGCTTGAGGTTGAGTTCATTTTTAAAATTTTCTTACAGAAGTGGAAGTCAATTTTTTTTTATGATGATGTTGGTGACAGCTCATCAGAATCATAGAAAGATGTAACATTGCCCAAAAAAAACTTTTACATCTTTGCATTGAGTCAATTCAAGTTGAATATATTTTACCAAGATATCAATGATATTAAGCTATAAATAATTTTTTTAAACATTTTGTAGGCATCTACAATTATTATAGAAAGATACATCTTTTATTTTTTTACTGTCTTGTATTTCATGTTTGTAATTAGATAAGAGTGGGATTTTTGGGTTGAACAAAGACATAGTCAGCCATCATTACATAATTTCAAAGTTTAAGGAGATCGACAGAAACAAGGAAGTTTAGAGGAAGCCTGTGAGTTTGATCTTCCACTACTGATCAATGAATTCATTAGCATTATAACAAGGAGTTTTTTTTTCATTTAGAGAAATGTGGCATTTTTTTTTGCATGCATTTATCTTTTTTACTTACCATGCAGACTTAAATGACAAAGGGGAATAATTGCAAGTCAAAAATCTATTCTATGAACTACTTCATTGTTCCCCTGAGATAATAGAGAAAATTGAGAAGTGCTCAGTTAATATTTACCAGTAAAGTTCAAAATTTATTCAGATGCTGTGATGTACAGTTACCAGTAAACATTTCTATTGAAGGTCATGCATGTGGGAATCCATGTTTCTACATGTTTCCTTTTTGTGTGTGTATGTGTAAAGGAACTTTAACCCTTTCACTCCCAAGATCTCATGGGTAATTCTCCTTACTTTTTGCTATACAATTCTTATGATGTTAGTTCAGAGAACTTGGTATTGGATCAACTAGTTGAGTAATCCCATTATTGATATTTTTCTTTATTCTCATCACTTGTAAGATTGATATTTTATTGATGTTGTTAGGAGAAATTCTGTTTTGGTCACTTAAGGGAGTTGAAGGGTTAGCAGAGTCCTAGTGTATCTTTGTAGTTGCTGAAAGCAGCCATTTGTTTGTCTTGTTGAATTTTTTACTGTGAATGTCATCCATAGTTCTGACTTCTAGCTGTTACGCAGTTCCTTGAAAATTTTAGGAAGAAAATTTGATGTGACAAGAAGATAGTCTATCACTGATAAGTTTGCCTATTCTCACAACCTATTACTGCTAAACAATGTATTACATTTAATGTTGTAGAGGGAAGTTTCTTGTTATTCACCTATGGTGAATTTAGGGCAGTTTGAAGATGCTTTGCGTGAAAATAAAATATTATTTTAAAAAATCTGAAGGAAAATTTAGCATCTCTTTTGGCTTTTGTTTAAAAGGCTGGTCTCCAGTTGTCTGTTTCATGGTCACTTCCTCTGAAAAATATCCATACCAAAATTGTGCACACTCAAGAGAGACCTTTAAAATTTAAAAGTGGGTGGGAAGAAAGAAAAAGCAAATGAACAAAAAAAAATCAAATTATGCAAATGAATTGGAGCTGAAAAAATAGAGATGGTTTCACAGATGATTTTGCCAGGAGGGGGTTGAGGATTTTTTTGGTCAGCTTGAAGAAGGTGTAGAGTAGGTTAAATTCCTTCCCTATTCTTTCTTTATAACAAGGCTTACTCCTGCACTAATTTTGTGTATGTCTTTCATCTAACCCTCCTCTGTTCCACTCAACCCCCTTTCTATTTCATTTATCCTCTCCACTGTCTCCCCCTGACAACAGTTGAGCACATCAGAGTCTTCCAACCTGCAACAAAAGAAGTGACATTTGATCATAACTCTGTGTTTTGTGGCCCCCTACACACAAAAGATTTGCATTTGATGGCTTGAAAGAAAATTTAATTGCTCTATTCATGACGACTCATAGTTTTTTCTGCTCTACACGCCCTCCCTTCACCTACCCCTTCTGATAGCGATCTTGCGCTACTTCCTCTCCTCTAAAGAGATGCATAGGGCTTGGATCATTTTAGATAATGTTTTCAATTCTCTTTTATTTCCCACCATTGATGAAGCTTCATTTTCCTATGAAAGGAGGCGGAATAATTGTTTGCCACAAGCTAATTATTTAGCAGGTATGTTCGTCATTTTGGCGTTTACATAATACATTCATACTCAGCAAGCATAAAATTACATATTTTATACTGTAAAAGACTTACTTTATTCCTTCCAGATGATTAAAGAAACGTCCTTGCCGATTTTCTTTTGCATTTCGTTACAATACTAATAGCGGGTTTCTTGATAAACATTCTATAAATATCACACTTAATTACGCCGGACTAAAGAAGCAGCTTCCCACAGTCTGTATGGATGTCTAAGCCAATCAGATTTTACTGTCTCTGCGGTCAACCGCTCTGCGTAGTGATATAGCTGGCTTCTTTTCAAATCCAAACATTCTTGAGACGATTCAAAGAGTTTTTTTGGCTCTTTCTGTTCTTTGAGGAGCGAACATGACACAAGTGAAAGGTTCGCGTACATGCGTTTTGCCCAAAGTAAGTACAAACAAAAGCATTTTCCGCACTTTTTCCCTGTATAAGCGCGAGATCTTTTTTAATTACACCCGCACAATTTGCATAGCAACGTGTAAGTTGTGCTTCAAGTAGTTCTATAGCTTCTGTTAGAGTCAGAAAGTATCTTTATCTCTACAATTAACTGCAAAGGCTTTTAAAGAAACTTGTATGGTTTTATAAGAGTTGCAAAATGAAGTTCCAAGGAAAGGTCATGAAAAGTAAGGTTCGTGAATACACACAGCTGTCTGCGAAATAATATCTAATTCAAAGACGGAAGAAAACGGAAACACATCGGCTGCAAAGTGCAAATAAAAATTGAAGTTTTATCCATTTTCTTGCTTTCTTTTATGGTATTTTTTTTTGATTGAGACTGGAAAATTATGTTATGGATCATCAAACAGCAATTAATGTTGGTTATAAGTTTCGACGGACAAAATATATGAAAGTTAACTTTCGCCGGATGTTTACTACTATCTTTTATCAAGCGGTTGACGTGATATAGCTTAATATCATGCCATAAATCCAAAACTAAGAATAAAATTTGGAAAGAACGAAGATGAGGAAATTACAATGTTTATTTGCCGTAATTAGCGAAACCGTCACTTCCGGTGTTGAAACATTTCCATGCCACTTCCGCTTTTCACCACGACCGAGTTATGACTTCAACAATGGCGCCGCGTCAAATTGGGTGTCCCATCCCGCATCCTCCCATGCGCGCTTGGAGCGAAGATCAGACTTTGCAGGTGAAACAGCTTAAATTTAAGACAAGTTTCAGTAGGCTTGATCACTAAAACTGACTACATCACTTTAAATTTTCTGCAGCTGGACGAATCTGTCGTAACACCCGGCTTCGCTTACAACATTGCGAGGTATTTTCCTTCGGGAACTCAGGCTGATAAAGAGAGGTGTATAGAACTCATGGAGAAGATTGGAGTATCACCAGATCCAGCAATGTGGTATTCAACAGGTGCGAAGTTCTTAGAGTGATAACTTCAGAGTGTCAAAGAGAATTTATTAACCTAATTTGTTGTTATTGTTCGCAAACAGCCCCTCGATCGCGGACTCCGGTGTCTCCCGCGCGACCACGAAGCGTGCCGCCACGATGCGCCCGTTTCCCCGAGAACAACAAACCAAGCTATACAAAAAACCCAGAGTTGTTCTACATGACAACCAATAAAAGGGAATTCGGAGCAACTTTCGGTCCGCCGGCAGAGAATGCAAGGTAGAGGGATTTCATTTTTATGTGTATGATTTGCGGCATCCTAGCAACGGAATGTGAACCTCATTTAGTTTTATCGTTCTTTCTTTTCACGCAGACCAAGGACTTCCAAGATATTTCCAAGTAGAAGTAACAACAACTCCACAACATATCAGGCTGATTTTAATGCAAAGAATACAAAAAAAAAAGAAGGGATTCGCACAGGTAGCTCGTCTGGTAACAGAAGGAATAATCCACACCCCTCCGAGGTAGGGATGGGAGATTACTTTAAGTTAAGAGTGACAAATAGCTAGAAACATTTGAAATCAATACAGTTGTGGTTATACCAAGTGTAAAAGCTTATTTGCGTGATAATTTTCATTTTAAAGGTGTTCTCTAATGAATAAATGTCCACCATTACCCTTGGAAGTAATAGTTAAATTCTTTAGCCCTTAATCGAAGGGTCTAGCTGCGATGGCCGAGTGGTTAAGGCGTTGGACTTGAAATCCAATACGGTCTCCGTGCGTAGGTTCGAATCCTGCTCGCAGCGAATGATAAAATCCTTTTTTTTTTTTTTTTTTTACGAATCGAAAATTTTCACTCATATTTACAAAGACAACTTGCGTGATTTAACTGCAGCTACCATATTTTCAGCATGTTTTTTAACTATTCTAATTAGGAATCACGAGTTTTTCAGTATGATTAGCTTAACAAAATATACTTTGATAGTCTGACTGTCCAGCAGAATTATGTTTGGATAGGAGAATTTATCTCGATAACAACTAAAATGTACAGGATGGGAAACTCTTCAATTAATTTGCGAGTTATTCTGTACAAATAAAAAAATTTCGCCAAAAGTGTTAAAAAGAGCTTAAAATTCTTGAAGTAAGTTTGTAAGTCTTACAATTTTTCTACGATTTATTGTTGTGATCTCAATTCCATAGGCATTCATGAAATGGAAATTCTCAAGCCGTTTTCCATCAGTCCCTGCTGAAGATATTGACCCAGAAGTAATGAATGAAGTGTGTAAAGATGAGCTTAAATCTACTTATCACAGTGATTACACAGGAATTCCACAAGGTAAGGCCAAACCAATAGTTCTAATTAGCTCTATGGCTTCTTGCCGTCAATTATGTCTGTTCCTGGAAATGATGTAATAATTGGGTGAGTCATGAAATTTTAATCAGATCATGAGGATGTCTGAGGTAGTATATAAGCAGTAACGCAAGGAAAAAATGCAGCAAATATTACGTGTAACTAATCCCTTCTTTTCTTGCCTAAAATCTGTAATTTTGTAAATGAGGTTGATTTTAATTTTTTGTGGTATATTTTTGAAAATATTTTTGGCAGAAAAAGTCCTGGGATCAATAGAAAATGATAACCAACTCCTTGTTGTTTTTAAGAGAAGGGAACAATATTTCTTGGAGGATATATGCTGGCCATGGGTTTTATTATTTTAATTTCTTATGTTGCTAGTGACCCACAGTATATTTTGGTAAACCAAACTAATTTTAATCTAAATTTAAACACAGACTGCTCAACATCATTAATTGCTAAGTTTATTGAATTAATTTAATCCTCAACAAAGTTTTACTGTCTGTTTCAAATGTTTTGGAACCAATATTGCATTTCTTGACAAAGGATAACAGCTTTTTGTCTTTTTTTTTTTATTTTTTTTTTTAAAGGGGTGAATGTTTGTACTGTGTTTGAGGGAAATCTTACTCCCTCTCTGTACAAACCTCCCCATACATTGGACTCCACCTCCCGGTACAGTTATCAGGTACCTGTTGTAAGGCATACATTATCAGCAAACTTCACACGTTTTGGGTGTAACAGGAACAAGTATAAACCAGCTGTGGGTGCAGGTAGGTCAGAGAAAGCATTATGTTGTCTTCTGATAATTTTCCTTGATAGCAATGGAATTAACTTAAGATACTTTGTAATTTAAAAAAACAGAATTGTTTTGGACCATCAGTCTCCTTCCATAGTGGAGGTTAAGATTCTTGAAGATGAGGCCATCTCCAGCAGCATAACCATGTTTATTTTAGCAAATTTTTCAAGGTGAAACAAGAATGTGCAAGCGCAACACAACTTCACTAAAATTCCCCATTGTAGGACTGACGCAGGTGTAATGTAACATATGACAAAACAAGAATTTATTTGTTGAAAAAATTACAACTCAAAACATGGACCTTAATTAAAGACACAAATTTAATGTTTGTCATTCATAAACAATGTGCCTTTAAAATATTATTATTAATTATAAACATCACCATTGTTTCTTTTATTTTTGTTCAGTAGAATGGTAAAATCATACTTGATGTAAAGATCATTGATTAAAGATTTGATTCTTTCCTTATTACTTCTCAAGTTCCTACAGTATCCTACAATTCTCCCCAAATGCATCTTTATGGACAAACACATTACTCAAGAGATTATGTTGACAAGTCTGCTGTTCTTAAGGTCAGTGTAATTAAAACCAATGACATTATCATCACACAGTAAGCAAATACAGGGAAGAAGTTCAATTTTTTAAACCAAAGTTTGAAGTGCTTCTTATGAACCAAAAAAAATAAAAAAAAAAAACCAAACAAACAAAATAAACTAAGCATTTTATCAAGAAAGTTGAAAATAATGCAATTTATAAATAACTATAATTGAAGGAGCCCTGAAGATTATTACAGAACTTCCTATAGAAATATCCCCTATCTGGGATGCATTGGGATGGGATGACACAGACACCCAAGGGGCTTGAGAGTAAATAGTGAATGATTTGTATCTGAAAATTGGGCAAGGTTGATCTGATCTTGAGTCTGACAATTATTGTAATTTTTTAGGAAAGATCTAAAAATGACCAGTATGCAGAAATTCCAAGATTGGATGAGTATTTAAAAACTGCAAAGCCACATGGTAAGAGTTTGCCAAACAATTTGTTTGACAAAAAGAAATAGAGAAATTCAGAGTTCATATACTGTTCAATTTTCATGAGAAAGTTGTTAATGACAAATGTTATCCAAATAAGAAAAATCTTAGAAACAAGAATAGTAGATTGTTAGAAAAAACAATAGTCATAGACTAAGGAAAAATAAGGCAACTAATTGGGAGAAGAACATTAATTTTAGGAAGTCAATTATAATTTTAGTATAATTTTATAATTATTATTTTATAATTTAATCTTGTTTTTTTCCAAGTAACCCTCCAAATGACTCACACTTCATCTTAATGGCAAATACTTTCATTTGGAAAGTTAATTTCAAATAAATTTTTTTATCAAATCTTTTTTTCATGATTTACTGATGACAATTGACCACAAACTTTTGTACTCTCTCCTAAACAGAAAGGGAAAGTTTGATGCAAAAATTACAGAGCTTAGCAACAAAAGACAGGCGAGAGAATCGTGACCCACAGTGGCTTTCACAATGGACAGGTCCCGTGTGAAACCATTTCACAAGGGAGAAGCCATGCATTGCTGAAATCTGGAAAATGTTTGTTAATATATTCCAATACAACAATCGTTCACTCATCTTTTAAATCCACTGCAATTGTTGAAAACAATGATAAAACTTCTTCATTGTCAAAGTCACTTTGAATGTAAATAGTCACGTCTGCACTATATTTTTTTTCCTTACAGTCCAGGAAAATTACTGACAATCTGAAAACAAGGTGATACAGTGATAAACAAGAGACAACAAAGTTGTTGTTGCAGAAAGACTTTGCAGCTTTTTTATCTATCTTAATCAGTTAATTGGGAGAGTTCTTTCATTATGGCTGATAAACCGATCATTAATTTAACAAACTAAGATGTATATCTGTAGAGAGTGAAAACTTTGTCATAAAAAATAAAGGGAAAATATTTATTGATTTTTCATTATTTAAAACAAGAGGAAATCATGAACTTTATGAACATTTCTCTATGCCTAGCAGTGAACATAGTGTAATTGTATTTGATGTTCCATAGTTTTAAGAGATTCTTACTTACATCACAAGACAACTATGACTTCATAAGTTATGGTGTCACTCACCAAAAAAAGAAACCTTTGTCTTGAGTGCTTAAACATACACTAAATTAAGTTAATTTTACAATTTGAAAACAGCTCACGAACATTAATAGTGCTATTAATGTAGCATGACTACAAAATGGTGTCAACTGTTGAAGCAGTAAAGCATACTTGTCATTTAATGTGAACTTCAAGTACATTTACTTTGCAAATTTCTTAGCAAATTTCTTTCCCCTGTATGCCAAAAAGGAATGGTATTGACAAATGATGATGTTCCTATATATTATCGACTTATCCTATTTACCCCCAATATATAACATTGTGGTTGATTGAAGGTCGGATAATGCCATCCACAGGATAAATCTCTACCTGGTGGGTAATGCTATACATTTTGCCATCACTTACCAGTTGGATAGAGATTTATTCATTTATTTATTTTGTGTTGGATAGCTTTATTGGCCCTTCATACAATCGGGCCAAGTACTCTAGCACATTAATTTTAACATCCTCATTGTGCAGAAGCATTACATTTTGACATTCCTGTCCCAGCATTAGGCAGGAAGTTTGTCACTATTGACCTGCTGAAACAGCCTAGCCTACCATGAGTCTTGCGTAGCTCTAGTTGTAGATTGTCCATAGTACTAATTGGCAGGTTGTGCTGTGGACTCCTATTGGGAGCACTCACAGACCTTTTTCCCAAAATCTCTAAGCTTATGCTGTGCACATGCTTATTCTTCTGAACATTGGTTACAAGCAAAGGCCTATTCCTTACTTTCCAAGTTAGGGGAATGTTGTTTGCCCTTATACAATGGAACCTTTTCCATTAGACACCTCAGGTCAGAGTTCACCTTTACTAATGGGATACAATCTGTTGTGGCTATGAAAAGTTTTCATTAACTTTCCCTGTTACCTTTGTTCAGGGTTCCACCATGTTTAACTCTTTAACTTCCAGCAGTGATTAATATGTAACTTCTCCCTTTCATAGCCATACATTATCCAGCAAACAGGTGATAAGAATACTCAAACTAATCAGGTATATGTTGTTATCTTGATCTAACACCAAATTCTTGAAACTAATTTACTAAGAAATATGTAGCAGGTAGAGGAGAGAATTGATAATCAGATCTTGGGAGTTAAATGGTTAATAAAGGATTACCACACAAATCAATGATATGATCAATTTAAAAATTCCTACTTAATAAGATTTTGTTTTCTTCCCTGTTGGTTGTCCATTTTCCGCACAATCTACTATGATATTTCCTAGGGTCACCATACAGAGGAAGGGAACAAGTATCCAGATACCATTTGGAATAATGTATAAAAACACTGCAGACTTCCAGTCATTGTGGTTCACAAAGTGTTGTCCACCACACAACTCACTAGAGACGAGGAAGTAGAATACTGTTTTGGAAAATGTCATTGTGCTCACCATGAAGGCAACCAGCACTGATAGTCCAACTTTTCCCCTGTTATACTAGAAAAAGAAAAAAAAATTCAAGTATGTAACTTTTCCCCCCAAAATTGCCTCCATCCCATTGCCAGTATAGCAAATAAGCACCTCTCGGTAAGCACCCCCTTTCTCCTCAGTTTCTTAACTTCTCAGAGTTATTAGCTTCTAATTTCTCCTTACAATATCACCCCTGAATCACATATTAAGGTCATGAGAATTCAAAATATGATCAAAAACTGAACATATTCTTGATTTTCAAACAAATCCTCCTTGTATAAGTACATTAGGAAATGTATAGACAACAGTACGGAGAGTGTGCATACTGATTGGTAGGGTTCAAAGGGTATGGGTATGGAAAATTTGGAGCTTTATCACTGGATAAAGAAACACCTTATTTGTTTGTTATGAGTGAGAGATGACTGCAAAACCACTCACCATTATTAGAGAAATGACATTGAGACACATTTCCACCAGATTCATGCTGAGACAAGAGTAAAAGAAATATATGTCAGGAGGAAGATGGTGAGTTGAATCTGAAATAAAAGAATCCAACTGGGGTGGACCTGGAGAATTAGAAAGAGCAGGGCATGAAATTGCATCTAATATGGGCGCCAATGCAACTAAATTTTTCACTTTGGTGACCAAACTCTGAAAATTAGTTGCCAAATTGGCAACTAGAATGTTTTATCATAACCATTCCAAGAGATATAGTGAATTAAAATTATAAATCCACCGCAAACTTCCTCGTTAAGTTTGTTTCCAAAATGCAGCACATGCATCTCTATCAATAAATAGATACCATCTTGGATTTAGGTGAGCCTGAACATTGAATATCATCCATCCTAGTGTCCACTTTGTAGCACGTTGAAGATCTTTTCCCTAACTTAATTTTTGAGGGTCTGCCTAGAACGATGACAGCGTAAAAATGGTTTTGTTTGTCTTGGAAAATGGAGACCAACTTTTCTTGAATTGGCTACCATTTTGAAGAATTTAGGAGCCAAGTGGCTATCAGAAAAAAAATTAATTTCACACCCTGAAGAGGGAACTGAAATCAGTCACTGTCTCTCTTGATACCACAAATACAATAACACAGCATTTAGTCAAAAGAACTGTTCAAAATAGCCTATAACAATAATAATAATAAAAATTACAATTTCCTAAATTGTGATTGGTTTAAAAAAACTCTTATTTTCCACTAATTTACTTGCCAAGTTGTTAACAGACAGTTTGTTATTGGACAGTCCAATAAGCCAATCACTTTCAAAGTTGTAGTTTTAATCAAACATTTACAACCTTTCATGCAACTTTTTCCTTTCCTTCATAGCTTGGCTATTGTTCTTCAGTTTCTTGGAAATTGTAATAAGACTTAGTGTCCTCCAATTTGGTCTGTAATCATACTCATGATAAACAAATCGGACTCCTGTGATGCATTTCTCCAAATTTGTTACCACTCCTATGATTACAGACCAAACTGGATTCCATCCAGTCCTATTACCATCAATAATGACAAAGAATAAAAAATTATTCAGAAAGAGATCATACCCCCTCTAGCCTCCAATACCCAAGTTCAGTTTGTGTCAGTTTGCAATATAGAATTAACTGAATGACATATAGTAAAAGAACAGCCACTATGTGTACATCATCTCCTTTCCAGGATAAGACAAGGGGGAGTAACAGGTAGGTTTTTTGCATTTGAGTCCTAAAGGTCGTCGTGGTAATCTTGCCAACACTTCGATGTAGTCTCCCCAGGTTTGGCGCGTTGCACCACTACGTACATTTGAAGAATTTGAAATTCATTGCAACATCTTCAAGAGTCTTTGGAAATGTTTGCAAGTCATTGGAACGTATTCAGTAATATCGAAAGTAATGTCCTGAAAATGTTTTATAAAATAATTTAAATAGTACGTGCACTCTGATTGGCCACAAAACCATTTTACATGAGCGTATGTAAACACGGTTTTCGTTCCTCTTTCAGTAGTTATTTAATAAAAGAAATGTAAAATGGTTTCCGTGTTTACATAGCCCAATGTAATCACTTGGGAGGTTGGGAGAACACCTGATAAGCTGGAAACCACTCCGCTTCGCGTCGTGGTTTTCTACGCTTATCTCGTGTTCTTCCAACCTCCCGCGTGTTTACATTAGGCTATGTAAGGAACGAAAACCGTGTTTACATACGCTCATGTAAAATGGTTTTGTGGCCAATCAGAGCGCGCGTACTATTTGAATTATTTTATAATTCTTCATTGTAAATTGCGGTGCTAATGATATGAAAAAATATTGATCAACTATTTTACCTAGGGAAAGTTGACAGGTACCTACACAGCCGTTATAGAATAGAAGCATTCACACTCAGAATATTTTAAGTGCATCAGCAGTAAAACCATGCTGCCTCATACGGCGATTTTGATATCACTGATCAGGGAGCTCACAATATTATTTACTACGAGGGAAGCTAACTGTAGTTGAAAAAACTCACAAGCTTTGTCCATAATTAAAAGTGTCATCTACATCGGCGTATCTTTTGTCGACGTGAATGTAAATATTATCTGAAACAAACAAAATCAAAGTATGTCTAAATTTGATCCTAAGACTACTGGGCTATGTAACAAGCTACTGAAAACTTTGCAGAGACAAATTGTTTCTTCTACTTTTTGCGTGACTTCTAGCTGAGTCATACTTCGGTCCTAAAGTACAACTTACAATGCAGAAAGAGATAGTTCCATTTTCCTCCCGGTAGTGTATGGGGTCGCAAAATCACAAACAAGGCGTCGATTGTGACCATAATACTTGAGAAAAAGAGCCAGACAACGACCCAAATTGGAAGATTTTGCCCCGCCATCTGTGATATGGTCCGATATCCTACGGACCTGGGAAATTGCGCAAGGTAGTGTGGGTAAGGTTTTGGACCTAGTCACGCAACGCGATACGTCACGATTGGTAAGTGGATATCAGACTTTCACTTCCAACATCCAACTATGAATTTTATTTACTGTCTGCGATACATTTCGTAAAAGGGTAGAACCTGTAAAACAGATGGCATTTTTTGCGTTTTCAAAGCAAGAGGAGGCTTGTGATTTTTAAATTCCCTCCATTTACATAATCTGCCCTTGAATCTCCTCAAAGCACAACAAGTTTCACATTCTGCAAGAGGCATATCTTTGGTAGTCGCTCTTTCAATCGTGAGGGACAGTTTTGGCAAGATTAATTTCTCTTGGTTTGAGGAATTTCCATAAGTCCCTTGCCATTTAAAACATGGGTAGCTGAGATGGAAAAAAGATATCAAAGGCTTGTAAAGAATGAAGAGTAGAAATGATTGAAGTCATTTTTGTGAAGGGAAATAGTTTATTTTGTGAAAATGTCATTTCGAAATTTTTTTTACAATCATGACTATTTGTAGCCTGTGGCATGGTGCAATCTACCTCTGATTGACAATCAACCACTTGCATTGCAGGCTAAACTACTATTCAATCTCAGCTGTTATTTTTCAAGATGAAAAATAATATATATGGGGCTATGGTTAAGCAGAAATTTACTGAGATTTCAGATGTTCTTCTTCTGATGGTTGTCCATTTCTCATGTGATCAATCATTATTTGTCCTGTGGCCACCATACAGAGTAAGGGAAGAACTATCCAGATACCATTTGGAACAATAAATAAAAAAACTAATGTCTTCCAATCATTGTGGCTCAGAAAGTGATGACCGCTACACAACTTGCTGGAGACAAGGAAATAAAACACTGTCTTGGATAATGTCATTGTGCTCACCATGAAGGCAAGCAGCACTGCCAATCCATCTTTGCTGCTGTTTTGCTACAAAAAGGGACCATAAAATTAGTTATATAATGAGCTGAATTACAAACGCATTTCATTGGTTCTTACCAACTACATTTTGATGTTATTAGTGATCTATTAATTAAACAGACGCTCAGAAACATGGAATCTACTTGTTAATTTTGTAACAGTTTGGTGACTAATAAATACACTCACCATTGTCAAAATGACGATGTTGAGACACATCTCCAACAAATTCATGCTAGCAAAAAAAGAGATACAACAACAACCTTAGTGAAAGGTATTTTCTGTATTTCCAAGAATAAGGGTCCAAACTCTAAAAAGCACCCATCTCTTAATAAGCACCCATCCCCTAGGCCATAATTTCAAACAAGCTTGCCTCTAAAGTAGCCTTCCCCCCCCCTCAATAGTAGGGAATTACAAGTAAAATCTGTTTCTATTGCCACTTAATCTCTATCTCTAACTTTTTAAGCATTTACTAGGGTGGAATCAGTAGAAGAGAGTATTTTTTTCATTTCCAGTTATTTCTAACTCCATGTGCTTGCAGAGCAGAGTTCCTCAGTGTGATATCTGTTCTTTAGATTTTTTGTTTTATTGCTGCGCTAACTAAATAAGCGCGCCCTTACGATTTGGTGCCCACCTTCCAAAAGCGCCCCCGCTTTTGACCAAAGTTTTAATTAAGCGCCCGGGTACATATGAATTCGAGGAAATACTGTGTATTATTAGTAAGAATGAAAATATCATAACCGTGCAATAATCAACTGAAAAGAGAGAAATGTGCGAAACGAACACACTTTTTTGGAATTTGGGACTCAGATACATTTAACATATACAGATTAAAGAGTTTCATTAACAGGTATTAACTGATTTCAACTGTACATAGGTTGAAAATGTTATCTATCAAACTTTCATTATTCCTCAGTATTTGTGGAAAACTTACAAGCTTTGCCCAATAACAAATGTGTCTTTCAGATCTTTGTACCTAGGATCAACTTCGATGAAAATGTTGTCTGAAGGAAAAAACAAAAAGTTGTTGCAGAAACAGACTTTTAAAGGAATTTGAAGAAGATATAACACAAGTTAATGAAAACTCCACGTTAGTACGTACATGGAGGAAATTGCGTGACCTGGATGCAATCAACAGATGCAAAAAATACTTACATGGTTCAAAAAGGAAGTTCCATTTTCCATCTGGTAGTGTATGGGGTCGTAAAAGTACAAACAAAGCGTCGATCGTGACCACAATACTTGAAATAACGAGCCAAACTGCTACCCAAAATGGAAGAATTCGCCCAGCCATGTTTAATCTTGGGCCACTCTTTATGAAATGATCATGCAACGTATTGTGGGTCAGATTTAAAACAGACTGTCCCTATAGTCACGCAACAGTAAGTTCTAAAATGTAATGGTTTGTAGCAGTTTGCCAAAATGGCGTGATAGAATTATGTGGGCTTCAAATTGCGCGAGGCTTGATGAAAAGCTCTCTGGATAAAATTATTTTGTAGAGAGGCAAGTCTCATATTTCTAAACCTTCGTTTAAGCTAAGTCTAATTTGTCTTGATAATATAATTTCTGTGAAAAAATTGTCTAAGGAAAAGAACAGCCAAAAGAAACAAATCAAACCACAATGGATAATTGTGTTTACTCTTCTTTTTTTAATTTGCTCTTTTTCTTCATTTTGAGAAACCTCACCCCAGTTTTCCCATCTAGCCTTCTGACATGTTGAACATAGGCTACTGAGTCTGACTTGATACAAAATGTGTTGATGTATACAGAATCATAGTATGGAGATTTGCCATGGGGAACTAGGAAAGTTCACTTAAGGTTGTGTCTAAGGAGTTCAAGATTGGATGGGGGGAGGGGGTTATTGAGCATGCATGCACCTTATTTGAAATCTGCAAGCAAGTGCTCATAGAGAGGCATGAGGTCAAGTGCTGGTATATAACACTGGAGAAGATGAATTGATTGTGAGCCAAAATGAACTCAGCAAAGAAGAAGAGTCAAAGTATTGATGCTGCAGCTTGTAAATTGCATTGCTTGTGATGCTCTCAGGATTCAAAACATTTTCAAAGACAGTTTTGAAATCAAGGGAGGAAGGTAGGAATGGAAGAAGCAAAGACTCTTTTATGACATTTTGATAGGTTTGTCAATTTCTTAGAGTGCAAATTCGCACAAATCTAAGTGTAGTTTATCTTTGCTCTAGTAAAGGAAACTAAAACAATGTTAATGTACCCAGGCATAATTAAAAAACTACCACACACTTAGCTCTGACAATGGACTTTACTTCATAAGCTAAAAATATACATATCTCTTCTTTTATTGGTATGTAAAATCAGTGGTGACTTAATCTTTATTAAGTATAGATTGATAATAGACTAGAAGTTTCTCTTGTCTCCTAAAACAGCAGAAAAGTTCTTTTAGAAACAGAAAAAATTAGCCTAATGATACACTGATAACATATATGTCTTGTTAGCTATCTTACCAATAACTACCTTTGTACAGGTAAGCAAGTACATAGAGTTAGCAGTACATTTTGGATCTCCAAGATCAATCGATTCAAGTGTCTCATTGCGCTATTTCTGAAAAAAAAAACTAATTGTAGCCAAATTTAGATCATGTAAATTGCTAATCCAATTGTTCCTGATATAAAAATAGCAGCAAGACAAGTTTGGGCATGAAAATCGTTAAAAATTTCTGTCAAGGAAGAATGAGAATGAATATTATTTCTCCACACAACTTATCCGCACTCCAAGCTAAAGATAAATTATTATTTGAAAACAGCATTTTTATATCCTTGTTTCATGAAGTCTTTGAGAATGCAATAAAGGACATTCTGATGGTGTTTATGTAGACATTAAAAACCAGGACATTTCAAGTATTGTTTGTTTATTACAAAGGCCAATCAGAATGTTCAATGGTAAATATTATAAGGTGCCAGTAAGGACTCAGCTCAAACTAAAAGAGAGGGAAACTGACTGAAGCATGAGAAAAAATTTTGAATGACTCAGTCATGAATAGTTTAAGTTTTGTATCAGATGGGTGACAGATTAAAAAGGAAAGTAGAACCATTCCATTAAAACAAAGAGTCATTTCAACACAAAATTGAAAACCTACTAAATCAGTGAAAAAAAACTATGAAGTTTTACTGCAACCCTTCACTGTAAGTCCTAAAAAAATCAGCTCCTAATTTCTCCTTACAGTAATACTGCAGATTCATTTATTAACCCTTTAACTCCCATGAGTGACCAAGACATAATTTCTCCTTACTATATCTATACAATATCATGCTGGCAAGTGAGGAGATTAAAAGGAAAATATCAATTATGAGATTACTAATTGATTCAATACCAAATTCTCCAAACTAACATGATGAGAATCGTTTGGCAGACAGTGAGGAGAATTACCAATGAGATCTTGGGAGTTAAGGGGTTAAGATCATGAGAATAAATAAAATGATTGCTGATATAAAAAATAAGTAAACTATCTTTGTCTGCTCAGTAGAATATGGATTCTGATGTCTGGGTGTCAAAGGTTACTGGGATTTCTTCTTCTCTTTGGGTAGTTGACCACTTTCCATGCTGTGTACTAATATACTTCCTGTGGCCACCATGCAAAAGAAAGGAATGACAATCCAGAAGCCATTTGGAATGATGTACAACAATACTGTTTTCCTCCAATCTGAATGGTTCACAAAATGTTCCCCATTACACAGTGAAGTAGAAACCAGGAAATACAACACTGTCTTGGAAAATGTCATTGTGCTAACCATGAAGGCAAGCAGGACTGAGAGCCCTGATTTCCCACTGATGTGCTGAAATAAATAAAAAAATGATCAGAGCTGAGTTTTCTGAGAAAATATAAAGCAATCAATATTTAAACTGTAAAACTGTAATACTCCTGACCAGAATATCACTCTAGGTAGAGAAGGGCTCCAAGTTCATCTTTTCAAAAAGTCACCTCTTGGCAACCTTCAATATTGTTAAAAAGTTGGTGTAAAATATGCCATCAATAGGAGGACATTACAGGTTGTATTACTTGATTTATTAAGTGAGCCAAACACTATGTTTGCCACACTTCTGTTTGCTTGCTTGCCAACTAAAGGATTGCCACAATGGTCAAGACAAAAAGGATGAAGAGGCTCTAGCAGCAGAAATGATTTACAACAAAGTTGGCAGGACACAAAGATCCTTGACATCATATCATCAGTTACAAAATCAATAAAACTGTTGTGCAAAATGTACTTACTATGGCTAAAACAACAAAGTTGAGAAACACCTCTACCAGATTCATCCTGAGACACAAAATAATAGGTGGCAGATGAATATCAACATCAATCAGAGTGGTAGACTTAACCCTTTAACTCCCATGAGTGACCAAGATAGACTTCCTCCTTGCAATATCCATAAAATATCAACCAGATAAGTGATGAGGATCAAGAAAATTATCAATTTGGGGATAATTAGGTGATCCAATACTAAATTCTCTGAACAAAGATTATAAGAATTGTTTGGTTGACAGTAGGAGAATTACATATTCAATCTAGGAAAGGGACATGCAGGGGTCCAGTGGTGAATGTGCTAGACTTATGTTCAAAAGGTTCCAGTTACAGCTGTCATCAGTTTCATTTGATCAATTTCTTTATTCCCACAGTGTTTCATTTGACCACAGAATATGAATGGGTATTTTTGAACCCTCAGAGTAACAAGATAAAATTCTGAAGCAGCCTGAATGGATTGACCTTTAAAGGTCTGGGTTGGAGATCTTGCCCAGTCTTTACTCATGCAGTGCCTCTCTCTGCAGAGGAGTATTGATGGGTACCAGAAAACTGCCCAGGAAGCCTGACGGAATGCCTGGGAAGGGGGAAGGGGGATTTGATACTTTGATCGGTCAGCATCCCATTCAGCATTTCTCATCATTGCTTCATGATTCACAAACCAGGATAAGCCCCGAATGGGATGGATCTCTTGCTTCTAGAGAAGACTTGAACTAATGGACCATCATCAAATAAAATGATTTTGTGCAAGGAAGCAAGAAAGTCTCTGACAGCTATGACAGTTACCCTCATATTCTAACTTTACCTTCAAACCAATTCGGAACTAAGTCATGAACTATTGCCAGTTACAATTTAATTCTACCTTCAATTTCACTGATGCAAACTTACAAGCTTATTCCCTTGACAAATGTGTCCGTGAGATCTGAGTATCTTAAATCAACTTGGAGGTAAAGATTGTCTGAAAGAGAAATTAAATAGAATGACATTGCAACTTAGTCACGATACAGTTTGCTTTATGGAATTTAAAACTTTGGAGTGTTTCAATGTAAGTAAGCTCGTCTTTCTGTATCGGCCCTTGCTTCAAAGTTGAGGCACGTACAACAACTTTTTCCAACATTTATCTCGCAAGAATGACAAATACATCCGTTTTTATTCAGCTTGAAGAGTACAAAAACAAATTCTAAAAAAATTGAGTATAAAGTGTTCTTAATCGCACCGAGCGATCAAATGTAACATGCAACATTCGTTACTTTTCTGTGCACTTACGCGTGACATTAGCAAACATGCGATTTATGCTTACAAGGCTGGACGATGTGGTTCCATTTTCCTCCTGGTAGGGTATGAGGACGCAGAATGACAAACAAAGCATCAATTGTGCAAATAATACCCGAAATAAAAAGCCACGCTGAAACCCAGAATGGAAGATTTCGCACCGTCATCTTCGATCCTCGAGAAGCTCTCTAACCTTGGTAACAAGCGCAATGTATCATGGGTCAGGGTTACTTGGGATGCCTGTTCAAAGTTGGTAGATCTGTGTCATACCAAACAAGGTCACATGATGACGTCATAAACTTCCTTGAAGCGAGTCGGGTAGTTATTCCCTAGAGTCGCCATTTTTGATTTCACTATTGTATTTGGCTTGTAAGTTAGTCACCAAAACGTAGAAGTTATCGCAACAAGTCCGTAATCTATAATCTGGAAAGCTTTGAGGCTTTCCATAGAAGCCTAGGATGGCCTCAAATCAACGCTATGAACCGGTGCGTAAGTCGTTTGTCCATTTCATGTTTGCCAACGTATCTTAGATTTTTCCTTCGAATTCCTTAATTTGATTAATGCTCCTTTTGTTTGTTTGGTTCTTCTTGAGCGAGAAATATTGAATTTCTATGTCGTAATTATTCTCTTTCGTTTCGTTCAAAACGTATTCTAAAACAATACAACCTGGTTGCGCATCATGTGAGTTGAAATGTAAACCGTTTTAAATCTGCTTACCTACCGAATGTTTTGTTTCGATAATTTGGTGAATTTGCGTTTTCTTTACTCATCGTTGTTAAACTTACCACTGAAATAGTGTTAAATTCGCTGAAAATTAGAAATATTGTGACGATAATTTTTCCTTCTGATTAGATTAGTTACCTTTTATGTTATTATTTGCAATCATGGTTGATTTTTCTTTAGTTCGTGGGCTTATCTACGAATGAGAAAACTTATTGCTTAGAGTGCTCAACTCCGGGATATTTAATTGTGGAGACTAGTATTTGCTTTGTTTATTCCACATAAATTTTCCATAAAGTGATGTTGAGAATAGTTCCTAAAGTTACAATATCAGAGATACGTAACAGTTATTGCTAGAATTGAGTTGACAAATTCTTCAGGGTTAACAATTTTTACAGATGTTCTTTATGATAGTATCGTCCATGCAACTACTTTTAAGGAAGTTTAGAAGTGAAGTTTATTATGAACTGCTGTTGGTCACAAAACCCTCATTCTGTCATTTATGTTTTTCAATAGTAGAATACAAAGTGAACTATTTTGTATAAGAGAGATATTAATGTCATTTCGGGGTGTGTTTTCAATAGTTATCATAGTCAAATCCAGTCAGGTTGTGAACAGTATTACTGACAACAGAGAGGACTACACTCACCTGGACGATCAAACTACACTATTACATGTTACCCCCAGGTTCAAACCATTTACTGTATAAGAGAGAGATATGTTATTTACTAGCCAGGAGGTCCTTATTGGGGAAACCTCAACCCAAGACAGAGGGCACAGTTTTTCCTAATACAGACCAACCCAGGCTGGTGACTAACATTTTTACTTTTTTCCTTAACCTTAACAAAATTCTTTCCAAAAGAACCCAAATGATTGAGGGGTGTAATTACTACAAGGTGTTCCATAAACTGAACAATTTTTGATGAAGTAAATATTAGTTAAAATAGGGGTAATGCAAATTAAAGAGAGGGGCTTTAAGGAAACCTTTTCATTTGCGTATTGATAAAGGTGATTTAAAAGGCTTCCAAACAAACTTTGAAAAATTATTTTTACCAGTATCTGTTGCAGTCTGACACCTGTCAATTAGAGAGCATGCACACTTTTGAAAAAACAACAGAATTAGTTTGGCAAGGACTGTCAGAACAATGTTTTCTTCAAAAACAGTCATTGATCTTATGGACAGTTTTATTCACTCTCATTGATGGTTAATTAATGTACAAAGATTTACCTCCATTTAGTTGGTAAATGGTAAGGAAATTTAAGAAATCAAAGAAATCTAAGAACCAAGGAGATTGCAGGATTCGTTACCATGCCCTCTGAGAAAAAAATAAAAATTGGTACTCTAATTCAAAATATTGAGATCTCAATGCTTAACCTTTAAACTCCCAGAAGTAATTAGCATGTAACTTCTTCTTATAACATCCATACATAAACCGGCACACAGGTAATAAGAATACTCAAACGAATCAGGTGGAAGTTCTTATTTTGATCCAACACCAAATTCTTGTAACTGATTTACAAGGAGATGTGTTGCAGTCAGAAGGGAGAATTAACAATTAGATCTTGGGACTTAAAAGGTTAGGTGGCAACTACATTGTGGCTTATTGTAGTAAAAAGTGTTTCCTCTCTTTAAGGTGTCTACCAGTGAACCACCTCCACCCTCTTCTGTTCCTGTTGTCTTGACAATAGCCATACCCCTGGAGGACGATACTGCATGCTCTCCACCTCCCCCTTATGAACCAACTGAAGACCAGGATACTGCTAGAGGTACTTGTGTGATATTTTCCTCAATCATTTTTTGAATCTTTTGGTATATATGGCTTTTCTGTTGGAATGGCCACGATTTGATCATAAGCAAAATTAACTAATTGTTGTTTACATCATTAGACACCGATCTTCCTCCATCTTATGATATTGCGGCTAAGCTACCGACTTATGAGGAGGTGGAAAGAGTGAAAGGGGATCAGGATGGTTTGGTGAGTTACTCAAGCCTTGTGATACTTAACAAATAGATCCCAAGTTGTGGTGCATCTGTTCAGTAATAAATCACAGAGGACGTCAAAACCTTGGTGAGAGCCAATCAGAATGCGTGCATAACTGAGCTTATTATATAAATGCACATATTTAATGTTTTGGTATATATATCACTTCTTGGTTATGTGACAAATGACCTGACTATTTTTTGTATTTCAGGTTGAAAGGAATGCGATTTTGCTTGATGGTGGAGTAGGTACGTTTAGAAATGTCATTGTTAGTTATATCTGTTCTATTATATTGCTAGTGTCTTTTAGTTTTGAAAATGTTACAGAGCCACCACAAGTATCATTTTATGGAAGTGTTTTTTTAGGCAATAACACTACTAACAACTTATTTTTACTTGTCTGTTTTGTAGAAGTTGCTCTTGGAAATGACTGGCTATTTTTGATCTGTTTTATCTGTAAGTCATTTTGTTTAATTCAGTATTTAACTTGTGAAATTTTTCATGATTACAAGCTTTACATGTCTCGCTATGTATCTCTCATGAAAAGAAGTGAGCCTGATCATTTTTGTGAATTGAGGGATCTCGTATCCTGAGTAATCATGAAAATTACCATTTCTGCAATTGTAATTGGTTTTTAAACACTCCTCTTTTCCACTTATTCACTCACAAAGTTGTTATTGGGCAGTTTACTATGGGACAATTCAATAAGCCAATCACATTCAAAATTGTAGTTTAAAACAAGTAATAACACTCAAAGTTGTAGTTTAAATCATTTAGCAACCAGCAATCCATTTACGCCTCCTTTGTCATTTTTTTTAATGCAAATTTGCCTTTTTGTTCATTACTTGGCTATTCTTCTTTTCTCAGAAATTGTAATTTTATGATTAATTGGTAAAAGACCTTGTGTTGTCCAATTCGGTCTGTAATCATACTCATGATAAACAAATCAGATACTCACTGCACTGTTGTTGACCGAATTAGACCCCGCTCAGTCCTATTACCATTACTTATATAAGTTTAGGATATAGACAACATCACCTCCTGTTTGGATCAATGAGAGCTGATTAGTAACCCTTTACACCCTGACATCAGTATACATACTCTCCATACTTTCCTCAGTGCATTTCTTTTGTCTTTGACAAGGAGAGTTTAGTTGATGATCATTTCACTTATTCTTGTGACCTTAATGTTTGATGTGGTTTGATGTTGTTAAGAGAAATTAGATGCTAGTCACTCGTACGGATCAAAGAGTTAATCATGGCCAGCTCATACTAATGATCAATGCTAGTAATGAAAAATTAATACTTGTTAACTTGCAAAGCTTGTGTTCCTTTTTGAATCTTCGTGTCATGCTCTGAGTGAGAGTTTGAGCTCTTGCTTCTGTTAATCAAAGTGATTCTACTGTGTAATGAGTGAGTTTTGTTTCCTGTTGTGCCAGTGGCTTTTGTTTTCAACTGGTTGGGATTCTTTGCTGCTTACTGTATGACCAACACTATTGCTGGAAGGTATGGTGCAATGTCTGGCTTTGGACTGTCCGCAGTGAAATGGATTCTTATACTAAAGGTGAGAAATTTCACAAGCTTTGCAGATAAACCAAAATTACTATAACACCAAAAGGGGTTTCTTTGTTATCCCTTTCACTGCTAAGATCCAAATATGAATTCTCTTCACTGTCTGTCATTTCTTTATAATTTTGGCCCTGTGAATTTGGTATAAAATCAAACAAATATTCACAAGCTGATGCTTTTCTGTATTCTTGACACCTTTCTTAAGGACGATGTACTGATACTGTAAGGAGAAATTACTAATTGGTCACTGCTAGGGGTGAAAGAGCTAGAAAATGCTGCTAAGATGATTGTAGGCAGTAGCTGTTTGATATGTGTTTATAATACATTTGTTGTGTTAAGCTGTTACACTATACATGTAAAATGAAGGACAGAAACTTCTGTTCACAGTTTTCCTTGTAACTTTTTTTTTTTTTTTTTTTACTTAAGTGCCTATTTTCAGTTGAATCAAAATTTGTACATCTTGCAGAATTCATCTTCTGTTGACACAGAGTTTGTACACTCCTGGCTTTGGTGGATTGCTCTTGCCCTCGGTAAGAATAACTATTTATCTGCATAATTTCACTAACAAAGCCGTAAATGTTGTACAGTAAATGGTGTGAACCTGAGGGTAACATGTGATAGTGTTGTCTGATGGGGTGATATTAGCTCTGAGAAGGACTGTTGTCAGTAGTAGAGATAGGGGTTTTAGCAAACTGAGCAGAAGTCATCCTCAGAGTGGAGTGCAGAGTTGTTGTTGGTTGAGTGTGTCAAGTCTGATTTGTGTAAACTGATTGGTAGGTCATGCCACATTTTTATTAACTGTAAGACTCAAGTGGCATAATTCCATTGGGATCGGTCAGTTTCAATCCATCAATAATGCTAGGTTGTTAACCAATCATTTTGATGTGATTGTCAACCTAGAAGAGGTAATCACAGCACTGAATATGAAAGCGATCTTCGCAATAAAGAACACCACTATAGCAGTAATGAAAAAAAGGCCTGAAAAAAATTCAGGCCTGTTTGGTATCTAAACTCTTGACCTCTCTGATACCAATGCAGTCCTTTATCAACTGAGCTAACAAACATTACTGCTAGAGGTACTCTGGTGTTAAGTTGTTTTCTTCAACCACATCATGTGTCTTTTTGTAGGATGGATGATATTTGTTCAAAGTATTTTGACCTACTTGAACATCAAGTGGTGGGTGAAGAAAGGCTGTCGTTCTTTTCAGCGTCACTGGGGGATGCCACGAGGCAGCCGCAACAACTGATTTCTTAAGACTGTATTTGCTTAATGTGAATGAAATGGTCATTTCATTTTGGGTCATTTTAATGTTGTAGAGGACTATTTTATATTGGATGAAAACCCAGAAATGAAAGTTTGCTGGGTGCACTAAACATCACAAAAGTTAGAATAATGGATTGCAGATAGATTACAGATGACAGTTGTACTTGATAAATCTTCCATAGTGCATCAACTGTGATGGAGCTTCTTTAACCTTTTACCTCTCAATATCTATGTTGTAATTCTTGTTTTTGCTGCTGTATGTTCCCCTAAAGAGAATTTGGTTTTATATTAAGATATAGCCCTTGGCTGATAAGTGTGTTTATTCTCATACCTGTTTGGAGGGTATTGTTATGATTTTAATCCTTTACACCCTAACATCAGCATGCCTATTCTCCATACTGCTCTCTACATGTTTCCTAAGGTGCTGGTAAGGAGAATAACTTGTGATCATTTGCTTTGTTCCCATGAATCTAGTGTTTGATTCAGGGATGATGATGTAAGGAGAACTCTGAGGGTCAAACAGTTAAGAAGAGAAATGACATGTCTATCTTTTGGAAGTGGAGGGGTTGGGAGAACTTTAAACTACCTTGGATCTTTAACCCTTTAACTCCCAAGATCTGATTGTTAATTCTCCCCTCTAGCTGCTACACATGTTCTTTTAAATAAGTTATGAGAATTTTTTGTTAGATCAAGATAAATTCTACCTCATCAGTATGAACATTCTCATCAGCTGTTTGCTGGATAATGTAAGGATATTATGGGGAGAAGTTTCATGTTGATCACTTCTGGGAGTTAAAGGATTAAAATTTTGGCAATTTTTGACAGCTACTGTATGGCCCTTTTGAAGGAAATTGTGATTAAAGGTGTGAAATGGGGTGATGAATCTTATTCTATTTCTTAGTAAAAAATGTACGAAATTTGCCATAAATTGTAGTTATTGTAGTTATGATATGTTAGTTAAATAGGAGTTGCAATGAAGAAATGTAGAAATATACTCAGTTGTAGGCCAGTGTAAATTTAATCACTCTATCTGGGAGGAAACAAAATAAAGGTGGCAGTGTTCATGCATCACAGCAGGGATTGTGTATGATAATATGTTCTGTTTTATGATCAACTGATTTAAATTTCAGAAAATTTTATTTTTTTCTTGATCGATGTATGAATCATCGGTTCTCAGGGGAGAAAGGAGTAGCAATTCCTATGGTGTCATGGGTAAGGAAATGTTGTTTTGAGCATTGTAGATTGTTTTTGCCGGGCTGATCGGAAAACAATGAACACTAGAAATATTTGTGGAATGCGACTGTGTTGAGGAAAACAGCCAGTCGGGCATGAAAGTTTTTAATTGTTCGTCCACGCCTCCCGCTCTTGTGTCTTTTCGTGACACAAATCACTCCTTCATGTGAAAGATGATGTTAGGCATACTCGGAATAAAGAACTCCGAGTGGTGCCTTCTTCTTTTACATCATAAGCTCCTTCGTGTCTGGGAAGTGTAACAAACTGGCCTTTTCAAATTTCAATCTGATAGAATACTCTAATTACCTGTAACGAGTGACTTGCTGCACTGGAGCCCTCTGTGTATTGTGTAACGCTCGCAATACTAGAAACTAAACATAGCAAGAACCGTTCTCAATTTCCTTCGCATAATTTCCAAGGAGTGTAAGAAACAGCGGCTGCCAAGATAACTACAAGTATGCGGAACGTTCATTAGAAAGCAAAAGTAGGCAAGGGGAAAACTTACGACATTTCAAACACTGGACACATACTTTTAATCAATTTTCAGATTATCGATATGACATTGGCTGACCCGCCGAAAATAGCCATAGCTAGTCTAAGGCGGTCAGTAATTAAAATCGAGATACCTTACTGATCTATCTTAGCTAACGCCTAAATTAAATTGGACCCACTGTTTGGAAGTACACCTTTTTCTGTTCATTTACGCAAAATGTACATTCATTTACGTCAACAGTTGAAACTATACGGCAAATATACATTCATTAGCACTTCCATGAACTTCATTAACGCGAACGAACTTAACGCTATTTGCATGTGTATTAACATTCAATAGCATCAACAGATGAACAATGGCACCATTGGACAATCAAACATAACAAATATACTTTCAATCTCGCGCAATGATTGATCATTAACACCAAGAGAAAATCAATTGCATAGTATGACAATCAATTGCGTATTAGAGACAATCAATAATACAATTTGCGTAGAGACATACAATATATTGCACCTTCAAATAATCGTTTATTCAAAATGGCCAATCATTAACGTGAACTGACAAATATTGGTGTTTGATTGTTTGTTTGTTTGGTGTTTGATGGTGTCTATCCACCACAGAGTCGCGTAAAATATGCCGCAAAACGACGAGGCTGTTGTTTTTTTCGACTTTGTTTGCGCTCTGTTACACCGTGCCAGATGCCGGCTCTTCCAACGGCCTGAGTTACTCACTATTCTCTTTGGTCGAATCTGCCGAGTTATAAAGTTGAATTTCGTTATCAATCTGAATTTCCTGCAAGCTCAGTCAAGTCCTAAATGTTTATACATTGCTCTAATTGTTTACATTTAAAATGTGAGACACTCTAGAGGATGATTCTTGAATGGAGCGATATAGATTTCCATCTTAGCGCTCGCAGTCTTAGGTTATTTTAGATCATTTAATAACACATCTTCTTACGTTGCTTACAAGCGTTGATTACTGAGGACTTTCAACCAGTGCAGACATGTGAGAATTCTTTGTTATACCTAAGACCGACAAAAAGAGTAAAAAGAAGTTACTTCTTAGGCAGAAGGCTGCTCGTCGATAGGATGATCAAACAATTTGGCAAAACCCATATTATATGTGAAGCGATTTTCAAACGGTCCTCCTCTGTTAAATATCCTGTACACTGCCCCCCATTTTTTCAGGCTATCCGCGGGGTAGATCTCCTCGACCTTAGACTGGGTTAGGCGATTATTCTTTCCCCAGTGTGGCCTCGCTTTGAACTCCTCTTAGAGCTAGACCTCTACCATCTCCTGGAACTCGTCAATGCCATATGCTCCAGGGAGAAATGGTACCTGTGAAAAAAAAAAGATAAAAAAGCATGAAGTAAAGATTCAATCCTTACTAATGTCTTATTTTATGGTAATTCTTAGAGATGTTTTTTTTTCTTACCTCAATGTAACAGCTGTGATCACTGAGAGAACCGTCAAGTCTAAACTTGCTTGCAGGGCTCAGGAACAAATCATCAGAACGTGCAAGTCTCACATAAATTGGTAGCAAAGAATACTGTTTATGCCTTTCTGCGTAATCTTGAGCCAGTTTTATCACAATGGTCAGGGCATCATGGAGGTGTTGCAACGGGAAGCACCATTCTGCTGTGCGAATGCTAAAATCACAAAAGAAACGACGAGACTCTTTTTGACAGCAATTTCTGACTGAGATTTCTTAGTTTCCTTTAACCACATTACACAGCTAGAAAAAAATTGAACGCATAGCGAATCGATGAATTGCACCCTCCGGCGCATGAGGTCGGCCTCTTTTTCCAGGAGTTGTAATCAGCAGTTTTAAATGTTAGCCTTTGTGCTGACCGGCATTTTGAATCACTTAAGCTTTACATTTACCAAACTCAATGAAAACGTGCTCTCTATTTCTCTATTTTATGGTAAACAAAAAAGTATATGTTTATAGCAACGCCTTAGAAAATGGCAATTATTCCTTCGTTTAATAAGTCAAACCGTTTGCAGCTTGAAACGTTGATATTTTGTTGTAAAATCACGTTCAGTCGGTCCGTTTGGCTGTTTGTGCAGATGACAGTTAGGAAGTTTCACATAGCGAGTGTTTTTACTTATTGGATATTGCCTTTAGTGAACTGCAGCACGTTGTACCATGTCTGTCGATACGGTTTTTCGAACGAGAACTGTGACACACCGAAAGTGGTCAGCTGTGGAATACGAGTGGGACAACAATTGGCACATCCCTGGAGGCAAGAGGCTGTGCAGTCTGTCTGCATGCAGCTTAGGTCCGCTATTCCTCTTCCTCCGCAACAATTACAACAGCATGAGCAACAAGCACAGCAGGTTGGTCCACGATCTGTTTTGAAAGCTTTTAAGTAAGCAATATTGATATGCTTGTCATTCCTGAGGGAGCAAGGGGGTAACGAGATTATTGATTTCATCGCCACCTTAAACAGGGAAAGGAATTACGATGTGAGACCTAAATTGGAATTAAATATACTGAGTCTTTTTAGACTTCCACCACCACCATCACAGCTCCTTTACTATCACCACCACCATCCTCGCCATTATCACCATCACCATAATTACCATCAGTATTGTTACCAGCACTTTCACCACCATAAATATTTCTTCTACCCCGCTAGCATTAGCACCAGCACCACAACCGTCACTACCGCTAAATTCAGCATTTGCACCAGCACTACCACAAGCAACACCGTGACAACCATCTCCATCGTCCCCACCACTGCTGCCATTGCCACCACCCTTGTAATCAGTAAGAGTATTACCACCATAACTACCATTATTAGCATCACATCCCCCAACATCATCACTACAATCATCACTGTTACCAACACTAAGACTGAGGCACCACTGCCAACCCTACTACCACCAATACCAGCAGCACCACCATAAACATCACTGCCACAACCACCAGGGTCCAGTTATCCAACAGATAAATTGCTATCCAGCGTATACCAGTCGAAGTGTTAACAAGACGTACTGCGCTATCCACCCGAGAGCGACTTTTCCAGTGGATAGCGTTATTCACCCTTCGAACAACCGGTGCCGGTATTGCGAACACCACCATCACCTCTACTCACCAAAAACATTATTGTCACTTCCATCACCACCATCACTAGCATTGCCACCCACCACCATCTCCGTCTCCACCGCCATCACTGTTACCATAGCTTTCACTACAGGCACCACTACGGATACAGCCAGCTCTTTAATACAGTGGCCCACAACTGTCACGGCAAAACAAAGAGTCACGGCAAACCAAAGAAAACGAGAAAACGAGAAAAAGAATGCTTATTCTCTGAAACATAAGATACCAAAAGAAATTAAGGATTACCGTGATGGAAGAGATATGCATCAATATGAGACCAGAGAAACATTCAAACCAATTATCGACACACAAATAGAGATAAAAGAGACTATTGATAAGACGCAGGATAAGCTAATTGAAAAAGTACAGGAAAACCAACAAAATATTATTTATTTACCTGATGTACTCTCAGACATAACGTCTCAACAAGGGTCTCACCAGGGGTCAGTTCATGGAATTAATAGATGGTTATCAGACTTACCGTCAAGTTTTGATCCATTGGACACTATTGAAGAAAGTGATGGTAATAATGAAGATGAAGATAAAAATAAAATGATGACATATTTACAATGAGGTATGGCGGATACTTGATGAATTGTTGAAACTGTCTGTGATAACTGAAACATAACATGTTGCATACGTCATGCAACATTTAAAATAAACTGATAATATATAAATATACCAATATTTCTGAATTCAGTTGAATATGTAACCATAATATCTATGTCAAGAGTACGACGGATCAGAGACAAAAATGGTCATAGTGTATATTACGATGTGGAGACCATGAAGCGCAATTCTAAAATGATTCAAAATGATGAAGGTATTTTTTGATATTTCCAAAAAAAGTCGCAGGCAAGGTTGCCTCCAAACTGACAGGAAAGGTTGCCAAAGATATCGCTATAAAGGCAGCAAAAGCCAATGAAAAGGTGCAGAAGATGTTGGAAGCAAAACAGGCCAGCTATTCGGAGAGAAAATTTATGACAAATTCAACACTCCCAAACAACCAATTCAAAACACCAGAGACAGGACACAAGAGATGTTAAACAGCACAAACAAGACACAGGTTTTTATATCAGTCCTTAAGAAGATAAAGGGGAAGAAATCATCAAATTTTTGCAAACACAAACAGAGAACAAGAAAATGACACAATCAAAAGAGCTTCCAAATAAACATTTTCTGCTGCCACAAGAGTTTTATAAATTGATTAACATGTGAATGTTATGTAATCTTATTACATAAATGAGTTTAGATCTCCAGAAATCTGTCAAAATCTTCAGAAATTTATTTTACGCTAAATTAACCACAAATTTACATCATTGTTATTTCTGGGAGTTCTTTCACATAGAAAAAATGAACTAAATTAGTATGTTGAAAGTAATACATCGTTGTTATTGTCTTTGTTATTTTTATTTTGACTTTTTGCAATGGTAACAGGCCGCGAAATCACTTTGAGTTCCTTTAGTTGTGAATTTTATCCCGTTGTCCTTTAGTAGGGCCACCCATTGCTGTTGTTTGTGCTTTGTTGGAATTAGCTGTTCGTTTTTTCTTGCAGTAACTTCTCTGTAGAAATTCACGAAAATCACTCATCTGAACGACGTTAATTACGACGTTCATTACACCGTTCGAAAAAACTGTTCCATCGAAGCCACAGCGTGATATGAAATCAGTTTGAAAATCACGATATGGTTTCGCCTTATGATTGTAGAGCAAACTGGCCAAGAAAAAGAAGAAGCAGACAATAAAGGAAAACGTAATGAGAATAAGGAAAGTCATTCCCTTCACTCTCGTGGCTATCAGCTTCGTCTTAGAAGCATTGTTCAACCCTTTGATCATCGCACGGTTCCCTCTGATCCATATCGTTTTAAGGAGGCAGAAGTGGACGAATATTATAAAACTTCCCGGTAGAATGTATTGTACCACGACGACAACCAGGGGCATTCTGAAAGGGAAAAATTGATACTTGTGGAAGCAGATAGTTGTATAATGGGTGTGGTTAAGATCTAGCCTTATTCTACTAAATGGGGTGGCCGCTAGCTGTAACTTATCTGTTTTGTGGAAGTTGTCTTTGCATGGAAATGAGTAGTTATTTTTTATCTGTTTTAACTGTAAGTCATTTTGCTTTATTTAGTTTTCAACCTAAGAAATTTTTTATAAATATAAGCTTTACATGTCTTGATGTACATCTCTCATCAAGGGAAGTGGGCCTGATCGTTCTTGTGAATTTAGGGGTCTCATGTCCTGAGTAATCATAAAAATTACCTTTTCCGCAATTGCGATTGGTTTAAAAAGCCCCTCTTTTCCACTAATTCACTTGCATAGCTGTTATTGGGTAGTTTGCTATGGGACAATTCAGTAAGCCAATCACATTCCAAGTTGTAGTTTAAAACAAGTAATAACACTCAAAGTTGTAGTTGAAATCAACTAGCAACCAGCAATCCATTTACACTTCCTCTGTCAGTCTTTCAATGCAAATTTTCTTTTTTATTCATTACTTAGCTAGGCCAAAATTAATTTAATAGAAGAAAATTAATTACTTAGATCATTGGTTTAGCATTAGATCATTGGTTTAACATACAATTGCAATTGTAATCATGGCGGACGCCATGGATTCCGACGGCAATCTGCGAGCGAGAGCCTTTCTTTCGTTGACTAAACTCATTTAGTCAGTTCAGGCGGACGACCAGAGACTGGAGCCATTCCTGTATTTCACCGCTGACAGGAATAGCTCCGACTCATGCGTTCGTTATTTTATTTTATTTTTATTTATTTATTTTTTTTTTGCTATTCGTTTTGGCTAAATGATTTATACACTAAGATAAAAACTGGTAGAGCGTTTTACTACGTTCTTCCTACATTGAACTCTACAATGCTTCCGAATTAAGCCCTCTTTTATCAATGCAGGGCCATGAACTTTTTCAGTAATATTTATTCTATGATCAGTACGACCCCCCAGGTGTTTTTATCGAAACAATTATAAGAAAATCCCCGTACAAGGGCCTGTGAGATGCGGAAGTAGAAAGAAAAAGACTGTGACAATCATATTATAAAATTCTTAATGATTGAGTAAGGTCGGGAACGGATATTTGAATGGTAGCTTCTTAAAGACAACCCTAGTCAGTTCCCACGCCCAGAAAATAGCTCCATGGATCCTGACTACAAGGAAACATCTAGTGATACTGCATACCACGACAGCACCAACGAGATGAACTTTCTACGAGACTGTCTAGTAAAGGAACTGTGGGCGAGAATGGGGAAAGTACCATAGACAGAACGAAACGATCCCTTGGGGCGAAATTGCTCAGAATGATCGATAACGTTGAAGTCTGTGAAGATGAAGATGCGCTGCAACAGTTAAAGAAAAGTGTCAATTCCTCTTATAGTTTGTTAACTTCGATGGTGCAGCACGTGCGTACGACAAGTACACTGTCGGCTGCTATACCTAAAAGGGAGTGCACCTGAAACAAAACATTGAGGTCCAGAAACGTTTCTTTTCCACAAAACGAAAGACACAGAAGAGAAATATCAGGTTGGAAAAACCAAACAAGGAAGAAAAGATGGAGATGATTGAGAATTGGAAGAATGATGAGCAATCAGAGCAGAACAACATCAAAGTACCTATAGACTTCACATCGCAAAACGATAGCGCACAAGGTATGAGGTGCTTCACTGTTCGAGATTTTTTCTTCCTAGCCTATCACACCTGTCTCACCTCACCATCTGTTTATTTCTCTTGTAGGATTGCAAGAAATGCTTCACTGGTTTACTAAGGAAAAACATCACTCCATTGAAGACCTGGTTAAATCTGTCTTTAAGCTGTTTGTTTCTGACGTATTGGATATGGAAAGGGCATCTTTGATACCCGAAGAAGCAGTAGAAGCTAACTTAGCAGATTTGAAGAGGTTTATCACAGATGATGCCAGGAAAGCAGTTTGCAAATTAGGTTAGGATGGCTCGTGTACTTTACAGAAAACGCGGTTTAAGTTGTTCTAATTCTTTCTTAAATTTAAGTGATATTAATACCTTGTCTAAAACAATAGTAATACAATAGCAAACGAGATATATACGTTCCAAAACAGCGTCATGTGATGAACAGCCTTCATTAGTTTTGTGCAAGTTTCTTAAAATCATTTGACTCTTTCTGGTTATAGCCTAAAAGCTGTCCGAAGACTGATTGTGCCATCATTGCGAATAGTTAAGGCAACTCGACATGATTCAGTGCGAGAGTTACTGCCACTGGTTTGACTGGGTAGACGGTTTTTTTTAGTTTTTTTGATTTGTTTTTTCCTATTTTCAGGCCAAGCCAATTTCTCCAGCAGAGCATATTGTAAATTAAATATATCGGTCGCAGCCACGCAACACTGTGTGATTTTCCAAACGTGACATGCAGTAGCTGCATTATCTAAAACTTAGAAACTACATGGTCCTGTATTAATAAAAGAGGGCTTCATTTACAAGTAGTGTAAAGTTCAACATAAGAAGAAACGAATGAAACGCTCTTTCGGTTTTATTAGGGTATCTAAGTGTGTCAATTATGAAAGGATTTGTCCTTCATGTGAACATTTATCCCAGAAAGTCAGCGTTCCACAAAAAAACTCCCTCGATTGCGGCCAAGCCATATTTGTCCAGCAGAGCATACTGTAAATTAAATATATCGGTCGCAGCCACGCAACTGATCGCCACGGACGCCATTTTACTTCTGCAAAACACTACTTTGCGCATGCCCTCGAGTAAAAACAGCATGAAAAATACATTAAAATAATTTATGTATTTAGTTCGGCTTCTTTGAAGTACGGCGATGAACTTACTGCTGCCTATGAATAATTAGGCCAAAAAAAAAAAATGGAACACTTCCTTTATCTACCACAGAGTTACATAAAAGATGCCGCAAACGATGAGGCTGTTGTTTTTAAGACCTTGTTCGCACTCTGTCACACTGTGCCAGATACCGGCACTCCTGACGGCCTGAGTTACTCACTATTCTATTTAGTCAGATTTGTCAAGTTATAAAGTTGAATTCCGTTATAAATCTAAATTTCCTGCTAGCTCAGTCAAATCATAAATGTTTATACATTGCTCGGATGGTCTACATTTATAATGTAAGACACTCTAGAGGATGATTCTTAAATGGAATGATTCCATCTTAGTGTTCGTAGTCTTCGGTTATTCTAGTTTAGTCTAGTCTATTCTAGAATTCTACCCCTAAACTACTGCGCTTCTTCCTACGCGCGAAAGAATCTAAGAGCGACAATGAAAGGTAAAAAGACGTTACTTCTTAGGCAGAAGGCTGCTCGTCGATAGGATGATCAAACAACTCGGCAAAACCCATTTTATTTGTGAAGCGATTTTCAAACGGGCCTCCTTTGTTAAATATCTTATACACTTCTCCCCATTTTTTCAGGCTATCCTTGTGGTAGATCTCCTCGATCTTAGACTGGTTGAGGCGATTATTCTTTCCCCAGTGTGGCCTCGCTTTGAACTCCTCGTAGAGCTTGTTCTCTAACATCTCCTGGAACTCGTCAATGCCGTATGCTCCAGGGAGAAATGGTACCTGGGGGAAAAAAAGAGATAAAAAAGCATGAAGTAAAGACTCAATCCTTACTGTTCGGAAGCGATAACGAAAATCTCCTTTAAAAGCAGGCAAGTTCAATTGATAAAAAGACAGCAAAACGGTAACGACTTAAAGAACAAAGTCAAAAACAAAATCCTCCAAAATGTAACTAAAACTGGAAAAAAAAAAAAACACACGCAAGAAATCGTAAGTAATCGTCTCTCAGCGCGCGCGCGCTAATCGCACGACACGCCAGTCCGGTACTTTCTTCTTAACACCAACTATAATGTCTTATTTTATGGTAATTCTTAGAAAGGATTTTTTTCTCACCTCAATGTAACAGTTGTTATCATTGATGGTTCCGTCAGGTCTAAACTTGCTTGCAGGGCTCAGGAACAAATCATCAGAATGTGCAAGTCTCACATAAATTGGTAGCAGGGAATACTGTTTATGCTTTTTTGCGTACTCTTGAGCCAGTTTTATCACCATGGTTAGGGCACTTTGGAGGTGTTCCAACGGTAAGCACCATTCTGCTGAGCTATAGCTTAAATCACAAAAGAAACGAGAAGACTTTTAAGATAAGTAATTCGATATTATATTTATTCATAATTATAGAAGGTCCACATCAGCTTGTAAGTTACGTATTACTGACCTGCTTTACTAAATACAGCTATGCATGTGGGATATTTTAGTTTGCCTTAACCACCTTCTTACACGGCTAGTAAAAATGGAACAAAAATCGGTCCATTTGGCTGTTTGTGCAGATGATAGTTAGAAAGTTTCACATAGCGAGTCTTTTAACTTACTGGATATTGCCTTTTGTGTACTGCAGCACGTTGTACCATGTCTGCCGATACGGTTTTTCGAACGAGAACTGTGACACACCGAAGTTGGTGAGCTGTGGAATACAAGTGGGACAACAATTGGCACATCCTTGTAGGCAAGAGGATATGCAGTCTGTCTGCATGCAGCCTAGGTCCGCCATTCCTCTTCCCCCGCAACAATTACAACAGCATGAGCAACAAGCACAGCAGGTTGGTCCAAGATCTGTTTTGAAAGCTTTCGAGTAAGCCATTTCGATATGCTTGTCATCCCTGAGGGAGCAAGGAGGTAACGAGATAATTACTTTCAACGCCACCTTAAACGGGGAAAGGAATCATGAAGTGAGACCTAAATTGGAATTAAATGTACTGAGTCTTTTAAGACTTCCACCATCGCCATCACAGCGCCTCTACCATCACCACCATTATTACCATCACCATACCTACCACCAGCATTGTTACCAGCACTTTCACCACCATAAACATTTCTTCTACCCCCGCTAGCATTAGCATCAGCACCAAAACCGTCACTACCGCTAAATTCAGCATTTACACCAGCACCAACATAAGCAACACCATGACAACCATCTCCATGGCTCCCACTGCTGCCATTGACACTACCCTTGTAATCAGTTAGAGTATTACCACCATAACTACTATTATCAGCAGCAGCACATCCCCTAACTCCATCGCTATATCATCACTATTACCAGCACTAAGACTCAGACACCACTGTCAACCCTACTACCACTAATACCAGCAGCACCACCATAAATATCACTGCCACAATCACTAGGTTCCAGTTATCAGATAAATTACTATCCAGCGTATACCGGTTTAAGTGTTAACAAGAGGTACTGCAGTATCTACCCGAGAGCGACTTTTTCAGTGGATAGCGTTATTCAACCTTCGAACAACCGGTGCTAGTACTACAAACACTGCCATCACCTCTATACTCAGCAAAAACTTCTATCATCACCATCTCCGTATCCAACGCCATCACTGTTACCATAGCTTTCACCACAAGCACCACTACGAATACAGCCAGCTATATAACGTTCGTATTAAAGAGCTCATCCTGCTTTAGTAAGTAGCCCTGAGGCCTTACCTTGGTCCTAGTGGGTATGGATTGACGAAAAACGAGAAATATTCTGCATCTTTTGTCTTGTACATTTCAGCAAACTTTTCAAGAACCTCTCCCAATTGCAACTTCTTACCCACTAACGGATCGTCACAGTCGTTGTTGCCTTCCTCGTCTTCGGTCATCGTCGCTTCTGGCCAAGAGACCTGTTCCATTTTTCTGATTTCCTCCAGATTGTACATAGGAACACAGCTGTAGGTAATGGAATAGATTACCCCCATACATCCTAAGCCTACTTGACATGCCTTTAACACCTCATCACTGTTAATCTCGACCGGGTCTTCTCCGTATTTGGCTTTATCGATCTTTGCTTCGCAGTCCGCAATGGTTTCGGGGCCGCCACGTACCTTCACTTGGATTCCACCACGTACGATTAAGTGAAGACCCACTACAAAAGTGGACTGCAAACGAGACATAAATTATTAAGATTATTTAGTCAATGAACTTAAGACATGCTCTTCCCTTTGAAAAATTGAGGAGAGAAACCTTGGTCATACAAACACTTTGATAATCATCATTGGTAAATTTATGGCCATAAGAAGCCGTGGAATTGTCTCAAAGATGTAGTTCGACAATCTTTGCATTGTGAACGTATATTACCATATTTGGAATGTCACGTGACCAGAACACTACGAGAGCTTGATATGTGGATCTTACATAATATAGCGTAAGTCGTGAAAGTTGGTCAACTACAATTCTAGTCAAAATTGTCAATCCTCTTTCGTCCAGCCGTCTTCTTAAACATTTCGATCATGAGGAAATTATCTGAATTTTGTTTAAGAGAGATAGACTTGATCTACTTCTTCGTATGGTGGCCGAGAATGTACGTAGCCGCAAGATCACCCAATTACAATATGATATATTATCTCTCACCACTCCATTAACCATACCATTGTTCCACTGAACCATCCTGATCCATGAGTGGAAGTACTCGCCACTCCTCCAACCGTTTGGCCTGCGTAGTTTCCTATCATCTTGAGCGCCAGGTTATGTTTCTTGTCTAGTTCCTTGACAAAATCTACAACGAGTTTCCCGGCTTGCACTTCGACTTCATATGTCGTTTCCGTTGATTCCATTTCTGAATCCACCGACTGTGAATCCTCCGGTGTCGGTGGTGCGACTGCGAGAATCTTGTTCAAATCTGTCATGACCACGAGTATGTCTCTAGTGTGGGTGAGACGAGACCAAGAGGAACCTGTGCCCACAGCGCGAATGGTGTAGCCATTGTCCGCTGCATACTTACACAACGCTGCGATCTGACCAGCGCCATTAAGCCCTGTGTTATCAGAAAGTCAGATTAATCGATACAATTTTTTACCCTTAGGAATTCCATATATCAGGTAGCATTTGTTCCAAGGTTACATTATGATAATGTATGTTTCAGCGTGAGTTCTTCAAGTTAATCAGTCAGTAATTAAAGCAGCAGTTACTGTAATTGTTCTCAAGTTAGTTGGTCCCACTCTTTCAATTGCTCAATCACAGTTTATCATTTTAGTTCTTACAAATGTTCGTGTACACACCATCATGGCTTTGCATTTGATTTTTTATATCATCGTCGTCATCAATGCCATAAAGAGCTTCTGGAAAACAGTGAACACCGCGCTCGTCCTGGGGATGGTAAATATAGACGAGTGGTTGAATCTTTTCCGTGCCGTCAAAGTTGTAAAAGACCCGGCGTCCTGAGTATGTACAATAACGAATGCAAGGAAAAATGCACTGGTAGGACCAGCGCGAGTTGTAACAACAATCCACGCTGTTACCCATGACTAATACTCTGTAAGGAACAAAAATAGAAATGTGTTGGAAAGGAGGTCTTTGTACTAAAAAATTGAGAGACGGGTGTTCAATTTTAATTCTAGGATTCTCTCTTCTTCCCTCTCAAACGTCTTTTGTCAACGGAGGAGAAGAACGAATCATGATAATATGGCTTCTGATTATTGAAGCAGTTACGTCACTGTTTGCAGACATGGCGGTCAAACGACTGCGTAATTGCAAACGCGAAGAGGGCACGGTCGCCAGAGTCATGCCTCGTATGATTAAGAACAACTTATACAAATGAACCAAGTCTACAAAATCACTAGATTGTAGTAAATCCCAACACAAAATGAAAAATGAATAAAATATTGTAGGCGAAATTAAAGTAACTTTTCATTTTTCCTACTTTTGCTCCTATTACAGACTTCTATGGACGGTTGCATTTGTTGGCTGTTCCTTATGTTTTCGAGAAAAAATGAGAGAGCAGGCTGGGTTGCACATCATAAAATACTGCACTGAATCTGGTTGCAGATTATCAAATGATAAGCTTTGGGCGACCTCGCTGCAGCCTTTGACCCATGACAGGAAACGCACGTTTTTAAAAATATATAAAACAAAGCCATAGCTGAAAGTAACAGGAAAACAGCACGACGAAGGCTGATAGACGCCTGCATAATTAAAAAGTAGTTATTTCAAGAGAAATTAATATTATCTGGGTTACGACTCGGAGTTATTGTCTGCTTCATTTTCCGTGGCAGTGTACGTGTGCCATGACTCGCGAGTCTTTCGTAGTCTTGAGTCAAATAGCAACTGTGAAAAATGTGAATAAAGAAGGGAGGTTTATCTAACAGCGCGTGAGCGAGAAAGAATACCATAATGTTCACCTTCAAGGAACCTATATTCGTAGAGACAGTGAATTGTTTTGCTTAAATGTGTAATTTTTTTAATCTGGAAGTGATATATTTTATCAAGTTTTTCTGTGTTTTAGCTTTACTCAGTTGGCACTTAAACAATGCATACACTTCTGATGTTGTTTTGACACATATGCTTAGTAGTCTTTCCATGTGAAATCAAAGAGATTCTACTCGGAAATGGTGATCAATTGAGAACTTTTGATAGATTAGATCTTTTGAAAAGCCATCACTTACACTTGCATGGAATGCATTTACATTCGTGCTGATTGCATTTGCCGTTCGCCGATCAGTGTACATGTATGAATTGAACTTATATCAGAACAATTATTGATAAAAGCACAATATCGAAAAATATGAGTATGTTCAGCTCTACGAGGTTGGTGTTTTTGACCCATTTTCTCTGTCGTAAGTTGGGAAGCATTTTCTCTCATAGGCAAATATTACTCTGCTATGCACATTTGCAGGGCGCCTCTTCTTAGAAAAGACGCGTGAACTAGATCCACTAATACATTAATTAGAACTTAAGAATTATTTTCCATCCTCACCCAAATCAGTGCGGTCCTTAACACTAGTGGCTCTTCTCTCAGCGGTTCTTAATTCTAGTTGCCTTTCTCTCAGTTGCAGTTTTGTGAACAACCTTTAGAAAGCCCTGAGTTACGTGCTTTGAATAGATTAAGTGAATGCTTGTCATTTTTACTTCTGTCAGGTAGCCCTTAGGCGGCCCGAGCTCCAGCTGCGAGATGATCATCTTGCGAAATAAAAGTCGTGGCGAAATGAGAAAGGTTTGTATGGGAATATTTCGACCGTTCTTAAGAATAAAAAATACAGTCAAATTATAAAATAAAAATACCGGACTTCCACTTAGTATCGCTTGTAATCTTACCACTTACTGTGTTATAATCTGAAGAGCAGACTGATTGCTATTTAGATTCAAAACAGTTATTAGTCTTTATCTAAATGTACAGGCGGCCCAAGCTCCAGCTGTGAGCGGATCATTTTGCGACATAGGAGTCATGGCGAAATTATAAGAGTTTGTATGGGAATGTTTACGACCCCCTCAGGAATAAAAAAATACCGCCAAATTCTCAATAAAAATAACTCACCTTATTTCCACAGTGCATCGCTTGTTATATGACTGCTTACTATGTTGAAAAAAATCAATTTTAGCAAATTATCCATTTTATAGGGTTATTATGTACATAAGAGAAACCCTCAAGCTTCGTAATTATTCCCATACAAATGGTTGAACCTTTTCCATGCCGTCAAAGTTGTAAAAGACCCGGCATCCTGTGTATGTACAATAACGAATGCAAGGGAAAATGCACTGGTAAGACCAGCGCGAGTTGTAACAACAATCCACCCTGTAAGGAACAAAAGTAGAAATGTGTTTGAAAGAGGTCTTTGTACCCAAACAGTGCGAGACTGTTGTTCAATTTCGTTTCTAGGATTCTCTTTTTTCCTCCCTCTAAAACGTCTTTCGTCGATGGAGGAAGCGAACGAATCCTGATAATATGGCTTCTGATTATTGAAATAGTTACGTCACGGTTTGAGGACATGGCGGTCAAACGACTGCGCAATTGCGAACGCAAAGAGGTCGGCAGTTTCACACATCGTATGATTAAGAACAACTTATACAAATGAACCAGTTCTGCAAAGTCGCTAGATTGTGGTAAATCCCAACACAAAATGAAAAATGAATAAAATACTCCAGGCGAAATGAAAGTAACTTTTCATTTTCTCTACTTTTGCTCCTATTACAGACTTCTATGGACGGTTGCAGTTTTTTGGCTGTTCCTTATGTTTTCGAATAAAAATGAGAGAGCAAGCTGGGTTGCACATCATAAAGTACTGCACTGAATCTGGCTGCAGATTATCAAATAATAAGCTTTGGGCGACTTCGTTGCCGCCTTTGACCCATGACAGGAAACGCACGTTTGTAAAAATATATAAAACAAAGCCATAGCTGAAAGTAACAGGAAAACTGCACGACGAAGACTGATAGACGCCTCCATAATTAAAAAGGTAGTTATTTCAAGAGAAATTAATATCGTCTGGGTAACGACTCGGAGTTATTGTCTGCTTCATTTTCCGTGGCAGTGTACGTGTGCCATGACTCGCGAGTCTTTCGTAGTCTTGAGTCGCATAGCAACTGATAATGATAATGATAATGATAAGGGATTTATATAGCGCTAAAACTATAAACAATATTCAGAAGCGCTTTACATAAGTTAAAGTTCTATACTAATTAAAATTAAAATATTCAAAGGCAATAAACATTAGAACTATTGAAACAAACTGAAAGCTTTCTTGAATAGAAATGTTTTAAATTGCTTTTTAAAAATGGCGAGGCTACTACTTGTTCTTATAGTTAATGGCAGCGAGTTCCATAAAACAGGTGCAGCATGAGCAAAGGCCCGGTTCCCAAGTGAAGAGCAGTTGCCTTTTTGAACGAACAGAAGAGATTGAGCAGAAGAACGAAGAGCATAATTAGTAGCTGATTTCAGGGACAAAAGATCTTTGATGTAGGGAGGACTTTGGTTGTGTAATGACTTGTAAATAAAGAGGAGTAATTTAAACTGAACTCTGAACGTTACTGGGAGCCAATGTAGGTCGATAAGTGCAGGTGTGATATGATCAAATTTTGGAGTCTGAAAAATCACTCTAGCCGCAGCATTCTGAACTTTCTGTAAGCGATCGAGTCGGTGTCACTAATAATAATAGATTCAATAGATGTTTTTCCAAGTTGTTGGCGGGTGCCAATAATTAGAAACTCAGTTTTTGCCTCGTTTATCATTAAACGATTAGCAATAAACCAAGAACGAACATCAGCAATGCACATCTCAATCGCAGAGACAGCGTTAATTTCGGAATGGATAGAGCAAGGTCGGAAGAACAGGTAAATCTGAGTGTCGTCAGCATAACCATGGACGGAAGGGAGATGCTGAGATATAATGTTGAGGAGGCGGGAGACGTAGAGAGTGAATAAAATAGGCCCTATACAACTACCCTGGGGGACTCCACAGTTGAGATTAAAGTCATCAGAAGTCTTATCACCAACAAGTATACGTTGTTTGCGACCGGACAGAAATGAGTCGAACCAATTTAAAGCAGTCCCGACTGTGAAAAACGTGAATAAATAAGGGACGTTTATCTAAAGGCGCGTGAGCGAGAACGAATACTACAATGTTCACCTTCAAGGAACCTATATTCGTAGAGGCAGTGAAGGTTTTTGCTTACATGTGTAATTTTTTTTTAATCTGGAGGTGATATATTTTATCAAGTTTTTCTGTGTTTTAGCTTTACTCAGTTGGCACTTAAACTATGCATACACTTCTGATGTTCTTTTGAGACATAAGCTTAGTCTTTCCATGTGAAATAGAAAAGATTATGCTTTAAAGGATGATTAATTTAGAACTTTTGATAGATTAGATCTTTTGAAAAGCCATCATTTACACCGGCATGGAGTGCATTTACACTCGTGCTGATTACATTTGCCACTCGCCGATCAGAGTACATGTATAAATTGAACTTAAATCAGAACAATTATTGTTAAAAATCACAATATAAAAAGTAAAAGTATGTACAGCACTATGAGGTTTGGCATTTTGACCCATTTTCTCCGTCGTAAGTTAGGAAGCGTTTCCTCTCATATGCAAATGTTACTCTGCTATGCACATTTGCAGCGCACCTCTTCATAGAAAAGACGCGTGAACTAGATCCACTAAAGCATTAATTAGAACTTAAGAGTTATTTTCCATCCTCACCCAAATCAGTGCGGTCCTTAACACTTATGGCTCTTCTCTTAGCGGTCCTTAATTCTAGTTGCCCTTCTCTCAGTTACAGCTTTGTAAACAACCTTTGGAAAGAAAGAAAGCTATAAGTTACGTGCTTTGCATAGATTAAGTGAATGCTTGTTATTTTTGCTTCTGTCAGGGAGCCCACAGGCGGCCCGAGCTCCAGCTACGAGATAATCATCTTGCGAAATAAAAGTCGTGGCGAAATGAGAAAGGTTTGTATGGGAATATTTCGACTGTTCTTAAGAATAAAAGATACAGTCAAATTCTCAATAAAAATACAGGACTTCCACAGAGTATCGCTTATTATCTGACCACTTACTGTGTTATTATCTGAAGAGGAGACTGATTGCCATTTAGATTCAAAACAGTCCTTAATAACCATTGTAAGGAAATTTCCTATGTATACTCCATTGTGTTGTAAATCTACTTTCCTAAGTAAAAGCAAATTAACTAATCGCGAGTGTTGTATGGCAAATCTACCATCTTGATCATTTAAAGGTGTGCGACTCCTGCCATTCGCTTGCGCTTTTAAATCTTCTGTCTGAAAGTTTAGCTGTTATCAGGATATCTTTTAATGACTTTCCTTCGTGATGTGATAGTAAGGTTTAGTTTTAAGGTGTCATTTCCCCATCTGTATATTCTTGAGGTTTGGCAAAGGCGGATGAGATTTACTAAAGTTCACATGGCAACCAGGTGGACAATCAGACATGATTTGATGCTACTCTGATTTAAGGATTTAATGAATGTAACCGAGAAGTTACAATTCATAGACCCAACGTTTCGACACTCCTACCTTCATCAGGGGTGATCTAATCGCTGCAACAAGAGGTCCTTCTATATGCTCACTAATTAGCTGCCCTTTTTTCCTACGAGGTATTAATAGGCGTCAGGTAGGAAGCTGCCATCATCACGATTTAAAGGAGCGTGGGCGGAGTTGATATGCTAGGCTACCAAAGAAAGGCGCTGGTGGTAACGTCGATTAGTGGTGATAATTTTAGACTTATCCCACCCAATTGTATGGCTGGTTAAGCAAGTGTGCTCCGACAAGGCTGAATTTTTTTTTTGCAAAAGAAGACCGCTTTTTGGTGCTCTTTCAAACGTGTACTGAACTGAAGTTTGGTCTGTCCGATACACTTGTGATCACAGTCATTGCACGGAATAGAATAAATAGCGTCGGTCCGTTGTTCTTTCGTGGCAAGATCTTTATGTTTGGCAAAAATATGCCCCAAAGTCTGAAAAGGTTTTTGAGCAACTTTAAGGTTGCGGCTATTAAAAATTGTCGTGATGGTTCCGTAACATCCAGAATGTAAGGAATAACAGCAAAACCAGTAGCTGGTTCCTTTTCATTAGGAGTGCTACTAGTTGTAATTGGTTTTTGGCAGTTATGGAGAAGAGTTTTGGTATAGCTATTTGCCTTTAGGACATTAGAAACATATTTTCTCTGCTCATCCTTCGAATCGGGTGCAGATGGTATTTTCTTATACCAGCCATATATTATACTAATATATATAATATTAATCTCTACGTCGCTTATGAAGATGCTTTAAAGGATTAGACAGTGGTTGCTGCGATTTTAAATTCCCACTGTAGTGTCTGCATTTGAATCTCACTCCTTTCATGTATATATTTATTTTTTCCTGTTATGATGTCATAATCATTTGAAATTAAGAATTTATGACCATTTCTTCTTTTCATCTTTAATTGTTCACCAGATATTTTGTAAATATTTGTTGATGATTTGAACTCAGTGCAGAAACAATTGTTTTTTTTTTGGTTGTTGGCAATTATGATGTCTGGTTTACCTTTCATGTAGCACTTTCTGAAAGAATCCAGTCTTAATGTCTTAATGTCCAGTCTCAGTGTCTTAATTCTCACCAAGACTTGCTATTAATATTGTTTGTGGATAAAATATTTTTATGTATTGTACCACTTTGTAATGTAGATCAGTTTCATTTTCTATCTTAAACATATAGTTGTCTAGATTGTCAAATAATTTTTAATAACCTTTGTACCTTATTGATGGAAGTAGTTGTGATGGTACCCAGTGTTTGAATTTTTCGGCTGATTTTAATCTTGAACCAATAATAACAGACTATAACCCACTTTCATTAATAAAAAATTGGTTCCTAACCGTGTCCAACATTTTACGGGAAAGCTTTTTTTGTCCTCAGAGTAAAAATATTTCCTGACAGCTTGATCTGTATCAGTATAACCTAATATCTTAGCTATTTGTTTTCTCTTAAACCATATATTTTGCTCATTATCAAGATAAGCTATGATTTCAATTTCAAGATCATCACAAGCATATTTTCTTTCAATAAAATTCATTGCTATATTTTATCATTTGGTTATATTTTTGAATGGATGGCTCTAAGCTGGTCCAACATTTTTACGGGACAGCTTTTTTGCCGCTGAGACGGAAAATAGTCCGAAAAAATCAATTATGACTACTCAACAGAATGGTAATAGAACAGCCGAAGCTGCGGTTGTCGGATAATGTATGATATTGACACAGCATTTAATGATATATTCTGCAAATCTTTTATTGGAACCCAACCATTAAATTCACCACTGTATCCCTTCCACTTAAAGAGAGCTCGTTTCTTTTTTTAATTTCTCCTAATAACTTTATCGATTCTGAAGACTTCTCGTGTGGCTATCAATAATTCAGGCTCATAAATGGAATTAATAGATGGTTATCAGACTTACCGTCAAGTTTTGATCCATTGAACACTATTGAAGAAAGTGATGGTAATGATGAAGATGAAGATAAAAATAAAAATGATGACATATTTACAATGAGGTATGGCGGATACTTGATGAATTGTTGAAACTGTCTGAGATAACTGAAACATAACATGTTGCATACATCAGGTAACATTTTAAATAAACTAATAATATATAAATATACCAATATTTCTGAATTCAGTTGAATATGTAACCATAATATCTATATCAAGAGTACGACGGATCAGAGACAAAAATGGTCATAGTGTATATTACGACGTGGAGACCATGAAGCGCAATTCTAAAATGATTTAAAACGGTGAAGGTATTTTTTGATATTGCAAAAAAAGTCGCACGCAAGGTTGCCTCCAAACTGACAGGAAAAGTTGCCAAAGATATCGCTACAAAGGCAGCAAAAGCCATTGAAGAGGTGCAGAAGATGTTGGAAGCAAAACAGGCCAGCTATTCGGAGAGATCGGCCTGATCGTTCTTGTGAATTTAGAGGTCTCATATCCTGAGTAATCATAAAAATTACCATTTTCGCAATTGCGATTTGTTTAAAAAGCCCCTCTTTCCACTAATTCACTTGCATAGCTGTTATTGGGTAGTTTGCTATGGGACAATTCAGTAAGCCAATCACATTCCAAGTTGTAGTTTAAAACAAGTAATAACACTCAAAGTTGTAGTTGAAATCAACTAGCAACCAACAATCCATTTACGCCTCCTTTGTCAGTCTTTCAATGCAAATTCTCCTTTTTATTCATTACTTAGCTAGGCTGAAATTAATTTAATAGAAGAAAATTAATTAATTAGATCATTGTTTTAGCATACAATTGCAATTGTAATCATGGCGGACGCCATGGATTCCGACAGCAATCAGCGAGCAAGAGCCTTTCTTCCGTTGCCTTAACTCATTTAGTCAGTTCAGGCGGACGACCAGAGACTGGAGCCATTCCTGTATTTCACCGCTGACAGGAATAGCTCCGACTCATGCGTTCATTATTTAATTTTTATTTCTTTCTTTTTTTGCCATTCGTTTTGGCTAAATGATTTATACACTAAGATAAAAACTGGAAGAGCGTTTTACTACGTTCTTCCTACATTGAACTCTACAATGCTTTCAAATTAAGCCCTCTTTTATCAATTCAGGGCCATGAACTTTTTCAGTAATATTTATTCTATGGTCAGTACGACCCCCAGGTGTTTTTATCGAAACAATTATAAGAAAATCCCCGTACGAGGGCCTGTGAGATGCGGAAGTAGAGAGAAAAAGACTGTGACAATCATATAATAAAATTCTTAATGATTGAGTAAGGTTGGGAACGGATATTTGAATGGTAGCTTCTTAAAGACAACCCTAGTCAGTTCCCACGCCCAGAAAGTAGCTCCATGGATCCTGACTACAAGGAAGCATCTAGTGATACTGCATACCACGACAGCACCAACGAGATGAACTTTCTACGAGACTGTCTACTAAAGGAACTGTGGGCGAGAATGGGGAAAGTACCAAATTGCTCGGGTGATTGATGACGGTAAAATTCTGTGAAGATGAAGATGCGCTACAACAGTTAAAGAAAAGTGTCAATTCCTCCTAATAGTTAACTTCGATGGTGCAGCACGTGCGTACGACAAGTACACTGTCGGCTGCTATACCTAAAGGGAGTGCACATGAAACCAAAAAATTGAGGTCCAGAAACGTTTCTTTTCCACCAAACGAAAGACAAAGAAGAGAAATATCAGGTTGGAAAAACCAACCAAGGAAGAAATGATGGAGATGATTGAGAATTGGAAGAATGATGAGCAAGCAGAGCAGAACAACATCAAAGTACCTGTAGACTTCACATCGCAAAACGAAGGCGCACAAGGTATGTGGTGCTTCACTGTTCGAAATGTTTTCTTCCTAGCCTATCACACCTGTCTCACCTCACCATCTGTTTATTTCTCTTGTAGGATTACAAGAAATGCTTCACTGGTTTACTAAGGAAAAACATCACTCCATTGAAGACCTGGTTAAATCTGTCTTTAAACTGTTTTTTTCTGACGTATTGGATATGGAAAGGGCATCTTTGATACCCGAAGAAGCAGTAGAAGCTAACTTAGCATGATTTGAAGAGGTTTATCACAGATGATGCCCGGAAAGCAGTTTGCAAATTAGGTTAGGATGGCTCGTGTACTTTACAGAAAACGCGGTTTAAGTTGTTCTAATTCTTTCTTAAATTCAAGTGATATTAATACCTTGTCTAAAACAATAGTAATACAATAGCAAACGAGATATATACGTTCCAAAACAGCGTCATGTGATGAACAGCCTTCATTAGTTTTATGCAAGTTTCTTAAAATCATTTGACTCTTTCTGGTTATAGCCTAAAAGCTGTCCGAAGACTGATTGTGCCATCATTGCGAATAGTTAAGGCAACTCGACATGATTCAGTGCGAGAGTTACTGCCACTGGTTTGACTGGGTAGACGGTTTTTTTTTGTTTTTTTGGTTTGTTTTTTCCTATTTTCAGGTCTAGTGGAGTTGTTAAAAATTATCAAGCAAAATTAAACTAATGCGCGGCTTTCTTCCTTTAGTTGTTGTGCAAAAATAAATGAGGAGCCTGATGAAAGGATTTGTCCTTCATGTGAACATTTATCCCAGAAAGTCAGCGTTCCACAAAAAAACTCCCTCGATTGCGGCCAAGCCATATTTCTCCAGCAGAGCATACTGTAAATTAAATATATCGGTCGCAGCCACGCAACACTGCGTGATTTTCCAAACGTGAAATGCAGTAGCTGCATTATTTTAAAACTTAGAAACTACATGGTCCTGTATTAATAAAAGAGGGCTTCATTTACAAGTAGTGTAAAGTTCAACATAAGAAGAAACGAATGAAACGCTCTTTCGGTTTTATTAGTGCATCTAAGTGTGTCAATTATTTAGCCAAAACAAAAAAAAAGATAAAAAAAAGTAACTAGTCGGAGCCATTTCTATCACCGGTGAAATGTAGGAATAGCTCCAGTCTCTGGTCGCCATGGACGCCATTTTTCTTCTGCAAAACACTACTTTGCGCATGCCCTCGAGTAAAAACAGCATGAAAAATACATTAAAATAATTTATGTATTTGGTTCGGCTTCTTTAAAGTACGGCGACGAACTTACTGCTGCCTATGAATAATTAAGCCAAAAAAAAAGAAATGGAACACTTCTTTTATCTACCACAGAGTCGCATAAAAGATGCCGCAAACGATGAGGCTGTTGTTTTTAAGACCTTGTTCGCACTCTGTTACACTGTGCTAGGTACCGGCACTCCTGACAGCCTGAGTTGCTCACTATTCTATTTAGTCAGATCTGCCAAGTTATGAAGTTGAATTCCGTTATCAATCTAAATTTCCTGCCAGCTCAGTCAAATCATAAATGTTTATACATTGCTCGGATGGTCTAAATTTATAATGTAAGACACTCTAGAGGATGATTCTTAAATGGAATGATTCCATCTTAGTGTTCGTAGTCTTCGGTTAATCTAGATAATCTAGTAACACATCTTAGTATGTTGTTTATAGGCGTTGCTTACTGAGGAGTGTCAACCAGTTCAGGCATGTGAGAATTCTACCCCTAAACTACTGCGCTTCTTCCTACGCGCGAAAGAATCTAAGTGATACTTAAGAGCGACAATGAAAGGTAAGAAGGCGTTACTTCTTAGGCAGAAGGCTGCTCATCGATAGGATGATCAAACAACTCGGCAAAACCCATATTATTTGTGAAGCGATTTTCAAACGGGCCTCCTTTGTTAAATATCTTGTACACCTCCCCCCATTTTTTCAGGCTATCCTTGTGGTAGATTTCCTCGATCTTAGACTGGTTGAGGCGATTATTCTTTCCCCAGTGTGGCCTCGCTTTGAACTCCTCGTAGAGCTTGTTCTCTACCGTCTCCTGGAACTCGTCAATGCCATATGCTGCAGAGAGATATGGTAGCTGGGGAGAAAAAAAGATAAAAAAGCATGAAGTAAAGACTCAATCCTAACTGTTCGGAAGTGATAACGGAAATCTTCTTTAAAAGCATGCACGTTTAATTGGTAAAGAGACGGTAAAACGGTAAAGGCTTAAAGTACAAACTCAAAAACAAAAACCTCCAAAATGCAACAAAAACTGAAAAAAAAAAGACACGCGAGAAATCGTATGCGTGACTTGCTTACGAACTGGTTAAATTTAAATGTCTTAGCGCGCACGTGCTAATCGCACGACAGGCCAGTCCGGTACTTTCAGTCCGGTACTTTCTTCTTAACACTTACTATTGTCTTATTTTATGGTAATTCTTAGAAAGGATTTTTTTTCTCACTTCAATGTAACAGTTGTGATCATTGATGGTTCCGTCAGGTCTAAACTTGCTTGCAGGGCTCAGGTACAAATCATCAGAATGTGCAAGTCTTACATAAATTGGTAGCAGGGAATACTGTTTATGCTTTTTTGAGTAATCTTGAGCCAGTTTTATCACCATGGTTAGGGCACTTTGGAGGTGTTCCAACGGTAAGCACCATTCTGCTGAGCGATAGCTTAAATCACAAAAGAAACGAGAAGACTTTTAAGATAACTAATTTGATTTTATATTTATTTATAATTATAGAAGGTCCACATCAGCTAGTAAGTTGCGTATTCCTGACCTGCTTTTCTAAATACAGTTATGTATATATGCATGTATGCATGTATGTATGTATGGGTGTATGTATGTATGTAAGACTCTATTGGACAGCAATTTCTGACGGAGTGTCGAAAATTATATGGGATATTTTAGTTTGCCTTAACCACCTTCTTACACGGCTAGTAAAAATGGAACAAAAATCGGTCCATTTGGTTGTTTGTGCAGATGATAGTTAGAAAGTTTCACATAGCGAGTGTTTTAACTTACTGGATATTGCCTTTTGTGTACTGCAGCGCGTTGTACCATGTCTGCCGATACGGTTTCTCGAACGAGAACTGTGACACACCGAAATTGGTGAGCTGTGGAATACAAGAGGGACAACAATTGGCACATCCCTGGAGGCATGAGGATATGCAGTCTGTCTGCATGCAGCCTAGGTCCGCCATTCCTCTTCCCCCGCAACAATTACAACAGCATGAGCAACAAGCACAGCAGGTTGGTCCAAGATCTGTTTTGAAAGCTTTCGAGTAAGCCATTTCGATATGCTTGTCATCCCTGAGGGAGCAAGGAGGTGACGAGATAATTACTTTCAACGCCACCTTAAACGGCCTTTTTTTTAAGACTTCCCCCACCGCCATCATAGCGCCTCTACTATCACCACCACTATTGCCATCACCATACCTGCCACCAGCATTGTTACCAGCACTTTCACCACAATAAACTTTTCTTCTACCCCCGCTTGCATTAGCACCAGCACCACAACCGTCACTACCGCTAAATTCAGCATTTACATCAGCATCAACATAAGCAACACCATGACAACCATCTCCATGGTCCCCACCACTGCTGCCATTGACACTACCCTTGTAATCGTTAAGAGTATTACGACCATAACTACCATTATCAGCAGCAGCAAATCCGCTAACTCCATCACTGTATCATCACTATTACCAGCACTAAGACTGAGACACCACTGTCAACCCTACTACCACCAATACCAGCAGCACCACCATAAATATCACTGCCACAACCACTAGGGTCCAGTTATCCAACAGATAAATTGCTATCCAGCGTATACCGGTTTAACAAGAGGTACTGCAGTATCTAGCCGAGACCGACCTTTTCAGTGGATAGCGTTATTCAACCTTCGAACAACCAGTGCCAGTACTAAAAACCGCCATCACCTCTCTACTCAGCAAAAACTTCTATCACCACCATCTCCGTCTCTAACGCCATCACTGTTACCATAGCTTTCATTACAAGCACCACTACGAATACAGCCAGCTATATAACGTTCGTATAAAAGAGCTCATCCTGCTCTAGTAAGTAACCCTGAGGCCTTACCTTGGTCCTAGCGGGTATGGATTGATGAAAAACGAGAAATATTCTGCATCTTTTGTCTTGTACATTTCAGCAAACTTTTCAAGAACCTCTCCCAATTGCAACTTCTTACCCACTAACGCATCGTCAAGGTCGTTGTCGCCTTCGTCGTCTTCGGTCGTCGTCGCTTCTGGCCAAGAGACCTGTTCCGTTTTTCTGATTTCCTCCAGATTGTACATAGGAACACAGCTGTAGGTAATGGAATAGATTACCCCCATACATCCTAACCCTACTTGACATGCCCTTAACACCTCATTACTGTTAATCTCGACCGGGTCTTCTCCGTATTTGGCTTTATCGATCTTTGCTTCGCAGTCCGCAATGGTTTCGGGGCCGCCACGTACCTTCACTTGGATTCCACCAAGTACGATTAAGTGAAGACCCACCACAAAAGTGGACTGCAAACGAGACATAAATTATTAAGATTATTTAGTCAATGACCTTAAGACATGCTCTTCCCTTTGAAAAATTGAGGAGGGAAACCTTGGTCATACAAACACTTTGATAATCATCATTGGTAAATTTATGGCTATAGGAAGCCGTTGAATTGTCTCAAAGATGTGGTTCGACAATCTTTGAATTGTGTACGTATATTACTATATTTGGAATGTCACGTGACCAGAACACTATGAGAGCTTGATATGTGGATCTAACATAATATAGCGTACGTCGTGAATGTTCGTTAACTACAATTCTCGTCAAAATCGTCAATCTTCTTTCGTCCAGCCGTCTTCTTAAATATTTCGATCATGAGGAAATTATTTGAATTTTGTTCAAGACAGATAGACTTGATCTACTTCTTCGTATGGTGGCCAAGAACATACGTAGCCGCAAGATCACCCAATTATAATATGATATTTTTTTTCTCACCACTCCATTAACCATACCATTGTTCCACTGAACCATCCTGATCCATGAGTGGAAGTGCTCGCCACTCCTCCTACCGTTTGGCCTGCGTAGTTCCCTATCATCTTGAGCGCCAGGTTATGTCCAGTTCCTTGACAAAATCTACAACGAGTTTCCCGGCTTGTACTTCGACTTCATATTTCGTTTCCGTTGATTCCATTTCTGAATCCTCCGACTGTGAATCCTCTGATGTCGGTGGTGCGACTGCGAGAATCTTGTTCAAATCTGTCATGACCACGAGTATGTCTCTAGTGTGGGTGAGACGAGACCAAGAGGAACCTGTGCCCACCGCGCGAATGGTGTAGCCATTGTCCGCTGCATACTTACACAACGCCGCGATCTGACCAGCGCCATCAAGCCCTGTGTTATTAGAAAGTCAGATTAATCGATACAATTGCAGCTGATTTTTTATCCTCAGGAATTCCATATATCAGGAAGCATTTGTTACAAGGTTACATTATGATAATATATGTTTCAGCGTGAGTACTCCAAGCTAATCAGTCAGTAATTAAAGCAGCAGTTACCGTAATTGTTCTCAAGTTAGTTGGTCTCACTCTCTCAATGGCTCAATCACAATTTACCACCTTAGCTCTTATAAATGTTCGTGTACACACCATCATGGCTTTGCATTTGATATTTAATATCATCGTCGTCATCAATGCCATAAAAAGCTTCTGGAAAACGGTGGACGCGCTCGTTCCGGGGGTGGTAAATATGGACAAGTGGTTGAACCTTTTCCATGCCATCAAAGTTGTAAAAGACCCGGCGTCCTGAGTATGTACAATAACGAATGCAAGGAAAAATGCACTGGTAAGACCAGCGCGGGTTGTAACAACAATCCAAGCTGTTTCCCATGGTTAGCACTCTGGAAAAAAGAAATAGAAATGTGGTGGAAAAGAGGTCTTTGTACCCAAACAAAGCGAAACTGGTGTTCAATTTAGTTTCTAGGATTCTCTCTCTTCCTCCCTCTAAAATGTCTTTCGTCGACGGAGGAAGAGAACAAATCTTGTTAATAAGGCTTCTGATTATTGAAGCAGTTACGTCACGGTTTGTGGACATGGCGGTCAAACGACTGCGCAATTGCGAACGTAAAGAGCGCAGGGTCGGCAGAGTCACACATTGAATGATGAAGAACAACTTTTACAAATGAATCAAGTCTGCAACATCACTAGATTTTGGTAAATCCCGACGCAAAATGAAACATAAGCATGCGTAGCATGCAACAGTTATCTTTATGGCTGGATGGGTTGAGATGGGACAGTTTGTGCACGTAGTGTTTTCATTTTTGTCACCGAAAAGAGAATAACTTTCAAAAAACATTGCCTCCCTCGCAGCCGTTTTTTGGTCTCGTCACACAACGCCCGCTATTTCCCGTTTGAGAGAGAGAGCGCGTTACGTAACGAGATCAAATAACGGTTGCGAAAGAGACTACGCTTACTGCCTTTCCTCCAACAGAGAGAAGATCAAAATTATTCGTCTACCGTTAGTTACCTCAAAAATATAGTTACGCGTAATTTTACCACAAAAAGCAAACTGAAACTGTGTTGTACCTCTAATAGACCCTAACCAGATATATATTGTGATCTCGAATAAGTGAAGATACATTGAACGAGAGAAAAGGATAATATTTCAAAGAGGCTCCTTGATTGGTTGTTGCCTATCTGGACTTTGCCCTCTGTGTGTGAAATGCGTGATGAAATGCAGATTGTTTTACAAGTCATCAACACGCAATTGGGTTAAGTCCAAGGTAGCTTAAAGCGACTTAAACTTGTGGAAAAAGTCAAACGCAGGAGAATTGAGTGGAAAACTCAATATCATTAGCTTTTAATTCCATGTGAATCTTTTTTTAGTGAGGCTGGACAATGCAGTTAAAGTAAGTAATAAAAAGCAAGTCGTTTACAAGAAAATGACACGTGATAGAGCGAAGTTCAATGTGGCAAAATGGAATTTGATTGATGGAATACAATACAAGCGCGTGAAAAATTGCCTAATGTTCATGTAGGGCAATGATTAGGTATGTTCCGATTGGACTTAGGACATTGTTTTCATGGTACGTGGTAGAATGAAAGTTGGTTGGCGGGTGCGTTGTGAGTAAAGGAGCGGTAAAAACACGTTTTATCCTTAAATTTTTAAATGCGTACCTTTTATATCCCGATAAATCTCGACCTTAATCGACGAGGCTCCCGCGTTGGCCACAAACCGTCACACTTATCCAATGAGCCCAAAATTTCTGGTTAATGTCATTCTTTGTGCACAGCCCCGTGTTCCATGACATTATTTACAAGAAAACAATACCCAAACGCTGTGATTGGTGCAATATATTCAAATGCTATGATATGATTGGTGCGAGATCGATACATACCCTAATGCGGCAATCTGATTGATGTGAGGTACGTACCCTAATGTGGCGATCTGATTGGTGCGCGATAATACCCTAATACGGCGATCTGATTGGTGCAGGCAACATACCACTCTATACGCTAACATAGAGTTATTTTTTTTTATATAAAAAATAACTCAAAAATGAGTAACATACTTAAGGCAAAATGAAAGTAACTTTTCATTTTCCCTACTTTTGCTCCTGTTACAGACTTCTACGGACGATTGCATTTTTTTTGGCTGTTTCTTATGCTTTTGATTGAAAATGAAAGAGCAACCAGGGTTACCCATGTTAAAATACTAAAAAGTGTTGTCTGGTTGAAGATTATTATACAATAAGCTTCAGACAATCAGGCTGCGGCCTTTGACCTAGACACCCCAAGGAAACGGCGTTTGTATGAATGTATAAAACAAAGCCATAGCTGAAAAATAACAGTAGAACTGCGCGACGAAGGCTGATAGACGCCTGTATGATTAAAAAGTTCTCTCAAAAGTTCTCTTAAAAGTTCTCTCAAAAGAAACTGATATTGCCTGGCTTACGACACTGGGTTATTGTCTGCTTCATTTATTGTGGCAGTGTACTGTGACTCGGGAGTCTTTCGTAGTCTTGAGTCATATAGCAATTGTGAAAAATGTGAATAAAGAAGGGAGCCCTGTGTAACGGCGCGAGAGCGAGGAAGAACACCAAAATGTTCACCCTCAAGGAACCTAAATTCTTAAAGACAGTGATTTTTTTTTTGTTTACATGCGTAATTTTTTGTAATCTCGAAGTGATATATTTTGTCCAGTTTTTTCGTGTTTTAGCTTCACTCTGTTGGCACTTAAACTATGCATATATTTCTGATGTTGTTTTGACACATAAGCTCAGTCTTTCCATGTAAAATTGAGGAGATTCTAAATGAAAGTGATGATTAATTAAGATTTTTTGACAGCTTAGATCCTTTGAAACACCATCATTTACACTGGCATGGAATTCATTTTCACTTGTGCTGATTACATTTGCTGTTCGCCGATCAGAGTAAATGTATAAATTGAACTTAGATCAGAACAATTATTGTAAAAATCACAATATAAAAAAGTGAGTGTGTACAGCATTACGAGGTTTGGTGTTTTGACCAGTTTTCTGCGTCATAAGTTAGGCAAGCATTTCCTCTTAAATGTCAATGTTACTCTGCTATGGACATTTGCAGCGCTCTTCTTCATAGGAAAGACGCGTGAACTAGATCTTCTATAGCATTAATTAGAACTTAAGAGTTATTTTCAATCCTCACCCAAATCACTGCGGTCCTTAACACTAGTTGCTCTTCTCTCAGCGGTCCTTAATTCTAGTTGCCCTATAGCTCTGTGGACAACTTTTAAAACCCCTAAGTTACGTGCTTTGAATAAATTAAGTAATTGCCTCTCCTTTTTGCTTCTGACAGGCAACTCACAGGCGGCTCAAGCTCCAGCTGCGATATGATCATCTAGCGAAATAAGGGTCAGGGCGAAATCATTAGAGTTTGTATGGTAATATTTACGACCGCTCTTAGGAATAAAAAATACAGTCAAACTCTCAATAAAAATACCTCACTTCCACAGTGAATCGCTTGTTATTTGACCGCTTCCTGTGTTGTTACCTGAACAGCAGACTGATTGCCATTTAGATTCAAAACAGTCATCAGTGTCTATCTAAATGTACAGGCAGCCCAAGCAATAGTTTGCGGGAACAAATGTTTGCGGCTCGAATAGACTGAAATTTCCGCCGGGAACTAATTTTTGCGGTTTTCTTTTCAAGCAGCACGACGTCAACAAGAGAGGAAATGGAACATCCTCAACTTTTATAATTCATGTGATAGTTAACAATTCCCACGGGGTATTTTTTTTAAGAAAATGAAAGACGCTTTTAAAAACATGTTTCGAAAGTTCTTCTATCCTCTTCAGTTCTGAATAATACAAAGTGCAAAGCTGAATTTGAAGTGTGTAACAAAATACTGATTGGACAAAACAAACAATAGTAACAGAATAATGTATGCATTTATAAGGAAAGTTTTACATTGACATGATAAAATTTCGTGATTAAGTTTAGGTTTCTCCCATTGAATGTGGATAGCTTCTTTGATTTTAAGTTGAAAGGTTGAGGGCCGATGTAATGTAATTTAAAACAGGGCCTGTTGAGTAATTATTTTAGCTTTATACCTTATCCGTACAAACTTTTCGAATGGTAATAAAGTTCCTTCGTTTTATTCCATTATTATTATTATTATTATTATTATTATTATTATTTTTTTTTAATACTTTAATTTTCAATTTTTTTTATGTGAGTAAAGTTTCAAGGATGGTACGCTGGAGAAATCTGAGAAGAATATAAACGCTGGGCAAAACACCAGTGAAATTGCTGTTAACAAGGGAATTTCGGTTATGCCTGAGCATACCTCGCACTGGCTGGTCGATTTTTATCAACATATATAGAAAAACTTTCAATCACGGAAAGAATGTGGCATCCTAAAGGCGTTAGAAAATGGTGTCCATACGGATGATCTGTTGGAACAAGTTTAATGTGGCCTTTTGATTGATTACTTTGAGTTCGTTTCTGGTGCTTAAGAGACTGGAAAAGTGTTGACTTAACCTTTTATCGTTTCGTTTTGTTTGTAGCTAGCTCATAATTAAAAGTTCTCTTTTACCTCAATGTGTGATATACAGTAACCCATGTGGATTAAAGCCATTTTTAAAATATCAATGGGAGTAAATTTTTGCGGTTTTTAATTTTGCTGGTGTTTTTTTCTGCTGAACTTTTTTTTTTCTCATCCGCAGAATCCGCAGAATTAAAACCCCGCAAAATAAAAGTGCTACACGGTATGTCCTTGAAATCACTTTTGTTTTTCGTTCGCGACCAGTTGAGGACACATGTTCGTGTTCATGGTCATGTTAAAAAATATCAGAAAAACATCTACTGGAACGAACAGTTCTACTAAATATTTTGCTTGTTACGTTTTTCTTAAACAAATAAAAACTCGAAACAATTTTGAACTGATAATTTAATTGAGAGGTGACACTAAACTCTCGGTGACACTAATTTCAGCTCTGGTCAATATTCAACTGCTCAGATACATCCGCTCCCCAACGATTCTCTCTGGTGTTTTTTCCTTTGGTTGTGTTTTCAGCAAGAAAAGTCGGAAATGACCGGAAATATAGTGAAAACAGTTCATGTTTGATTAAAAATACAAGCTGTTTTAAATTTACTGGCTGAAAATTCTTTCCAGACCGAAATTTTCTAGTTAATACGGCATCTGTTTTCGCTGTGCAATTTCACCCGGAATTCGAGCCGCTAAATTAAATTTCATATTTACCAAAGCACGCACTTTTTAAAAAAAAAAAAAGGCAGTAGATAAAGTTCTTTTAATGACTTCTTTCATGTTGATTCTTTCTATATTTCTGCGAAGAAGGCCGAGTCTCTTTCAGAGGACGCTGTCAATGTCTCTACAGATGAGGAAGATGCGACGAAATGTTGTTATCAGGTTGATTGTCAGGGTCAGAAGTGTCTCTCCCCAGTCTATTTTCGCTTTTTTCTTCTCGCTCCAGTCTAACCGCGCTGTTAAAAGCTTGCGCTGCTACGACTATCCAAAAAGGGACAGGCTGTTGTGCATCAGTGCATTAACCTCTGAAGGAATTACTTGACCGTTAACTGAGCTCATCAATTTTTGCATTTGCATGGGTGAGGTGCCTATGGCCAAGTAACACATGTCTTCAAAGGTGATGGACACCTAGAGAAAAGAAATTATCGATCCATTTCGGTGTTACCCATCTTTGAGGCAATATTTGGTAATTGTCTCTACCACCAGTTATGCGAATAGTTTCATGGACTACTTGTGAGCCTTTCATAAGCGTCACGTATGTGATACAGATCTGATCGGCCATTTGAATCACTGCAAAAAAATCTTGTTGGGAAGGTAGGTGCTGTATCGTTAGATCTCAAGAAGACTTTCGACAGCCTACCACACAACTGTCTTCTTTGTCTCTCGTTGCAAAGTATTTGCCTGATTGGGAGCTTTTTGGCTGAATGCAGACAGCATGTTAAAATTAATGATAGTTTTCTGATTAGTACATTCCAGTAAAAGTGAAAAACAACAAAACAACACAAACTAAAACAAAACCAAACAAACTATTTTCTACGCCTAAAATGGCGGCCTTCAAACAAGTGTTCCGATAAAGGAGCGTTCTTACACCAAAAAACGCCTGCTCTGCAGGCTACCATCTCAGCATACTCCTCATTTAAGTGTCACTTTCAGTTTTCAAAACAAAGCTTGTTTCCTCTTCCAATCGATCACGTGAATTTCCGATTACTCTAGTCCCTAGTAACACCTAACACAAAAGGTACCCGGTAGTCAAAACGTTGTCAAGGTAATCAAAGTACACGCCCGAAATTAGGAGCTAGCTCACATTATATTAGCCTGCAGAGCAGGCGTAATTTTGGCGAGCGAGTACTCAGTAGTTTCATAGCGAAAATTATGGCCGCCATCTTTGATTTTAATGGCAGTGAAAGGCTGGGGAGAGAAAAAAATTTGTTCCAAGGGGGCGGTCGACGGTCAAAAATAAGGAGAAGGGTAGGGGTAGGGGAGCGCAGATTATATTTTTCCCTTCCCCCGCCCCCTACCCCACCGTCCACTCAACTGCAAATAAAACATGGCCGGTCGGATAAACGATTGCGAGTTGATAGCGTTAGCTTGCATTAATAAGACGCCTGCACTGCAGGCTAACATTATATCGAATATCCTACCTCTCCACTTCTACTCAGTGCGAAAAGTTAGCAAAGCTGAGATTTACACAAAAGGAAATCGAACATGTCTGAAGACCACCTTTCTACTCCATTCGATCAATCTGAAGTAGACGCACAGGCCGGGCCTCAGCCCTACTGCAAAGGTGACGAGATAATGTGGACAGAAACACATCCGTCACAAGAACGTTTGTTCATTTGCGGCAAGAGGATGCCTCGATGAAAGCAATTCCAAGAAGATCGCGTATGGAAACTTTGATACAGGAAAGGAGAATAGGGGACATTCAATTTTCTACCAGGCACACCTCTGGTCAAATTGCAAACCTACTGGCCACGAATATTCCAACTCTGGCGGGAGTAAACCCCACAAGGTATTTCTGAGAGCTTTTGGTCATGCTTCATATACAGCAGCGTTATAATCAATATATCGAAATTATCACAAGTTTTGTTTTGTCATTGAGTACTGTTGGATATGACAAAGCCAGGTATCTTTCAAAGGGGCTAGATAAAGGCATGTTGGGTGATTTTAATTACTTTCTATGAACGTGCCGTGCTACACGTCAGAAGCACGACTTGGTTTCTGTCAAACGAGTTCGACTAGGCAGTAGCACGACGTTTGAAGCGGGCCTTAGAGAAATACCGCAAGCATCAGCCTTCGCTGATCTCAACAGCCAGCCTAGCAAATGCATCATTCAGCATCATGATTTTGAAGTAGTTTGTGTTGAGGATCTTTATGTTAGCACTTAGCTAAATTTGAATATAGTGTCGAGCAAAAAAAAAAAATTATAAATTAATAAATTAATAAAGTTCTATTGAACAATGTCGTTAACAATGCACTGACGTTATAAATCTCCCAGCAAATTTTGAGGTAGTGAAAATTTATGGCGCCGAATCAAAGACTACTCAAACACTACTCAAAGACTGCAAAACAATAAGCCTCTAACACATTTTTAGAATAATCTCTTCATTTTTTATTCAAAACCAGAACTAACTTGCATGCATCTTTTACTAATGCTCATAGCACTTCATTAGCCAAGATTTAAAGAATATTAACTCAACCCAGTGCCATTTATGTTTTTTGATTCTAGGGTGTCATTGACTGCAAAATATAATGATGTTGATCGCTTTGTAGCATGACGATACTAAAATCTGCAACCGGGGTTCAGAGTTTTGCTTAGAGTTTTCAATGGTCTCACAAATAGATACAGCATCCAAAATGCATTCAGACAAAGAACAAAGAAAGTTTTCATTGACTCTAGAGGTTAGTTGTTACAAGAATCTAAAAAAGCAAAGTGGTATGTGTGCAGCTCATGCTGAGGTTATAATCATTACCCATATTAAATTACTCCGTGATAATTTACGAGAGAAAAATCCCCATTTTAGATTTAAATTCTTTGACTAGCTTTTTTACTTTGCCATGCCAATTTTTTCCAATGCACTAAGAAGAGCAGCTCTCAACAGTGTTTGAATTTTTGGAGTTACCATTCAGTTGTTTTAGTTGCTTCAGCTGCATCAACCCTTTAACTCCCAACGTGATGATTAGCATGTAACTTCTCCCTTCAATATCCATACATTATTTGACAAACAGGTAATGAGAATACTCAAACTTCTAGGGTAAAAGTTATTATCTTGATCTAACATCAAATCGTCGTAACTAACTAACAACAAAGTGTGTAGCAGCCAGAGGGGAGAATTAACAATTAGATCTTGGAAGTGAAAGGGTTAATTAACAAATCTCCCTCTCCTGTAGTTGCCCCAATCAATAAAGGCATTTCAAAACTGAAGCACAGACTGTGAAAGTACTTGCTTAAAGTTTACAAAAGATATTTACCTTTCACAACTTTTGATCATACGCAAGACTTTTAATTTTAAGTACATGTATATCAGTTTGAAATTTTTGTAGCTGACATTTTCAACAATTCTATAACAATTGCATAAATCCTTGTTCTATTGATAGCTTTGTTAACTGCAGTAACATCAGCAGTAACACCAACAGTTACCTCAGCAACACTGACACCTGCTGTTGCACCAACAATATCCCCAGCTGGTCCTTTACTGTCAGGAAGTGATGCTAAATGTATGTCTTTCCTCAAAAGACATACATTTCTTGCAATTAACAAAAATTCAAAACAAAAAATTAAAACTTTGTATTGTACGGTTTTCCTGCTGTCATAATTCTCTAATTTCGAATAGTACTAATAGTATTTTTATTGGTTTTGATCATTCCACTTCAAATAAAGATATACTTTGTTGGAGAGTGACTTTTTTCTTTGCAAGTACCTGAATTTTTCGGTGGACATCCTTGAATCGAACTAAAAAGTATTGCCCTGCATTTTTTGGGCAGGTTTGTGCTCCATTGTTCAACTTAGTTTTTTTAGTTTGTAGGATATTGTTTATGTTCTAGTTGTCAAGCCTATGCTATTTGACACAGTATACAGAACTTTCTCTCATCTAAGTAATTCAAATTTGTGTGACTTTTAATACCAACATTGAAGGATCTGTTTGGCAAGGTAGAATCTGAGCAGCCTCCTATTTTAATTGGCCTATCACACAACGTTCGTATTCAGACCAGTCAGCCAGGAGTTTATCATTAAATTGCTAGAACCCATTCATACAACTGAGTGAAAAGCCCTGAAAATGGAGACCCGATAAAGTTGTATGTATTTGTTTGTAAGCTATGTAATCGAGCCAATGCAAGAGTCTTGTCCAAGAACGCAATCCAATAATCAAGGCAAATTAGGCCACCACGCAGTCCTACCTAATGTTTGGCCAAACAGTAATTAACAAGGGCAAACGTTTGAACAAATAATTCCTTGTTATACCAGAAAGATATTGTAACCAACGCATCAGCAATAAATTTAAGAGGAGTTTAATTTCTTGACGACATGATCGAATTCCTCTATTTACACGCCATTAATTGCCAGTGGTTTCTAAGTAATGTATTACGAACATAATACATCAAGAACGGAACGATCAATTACAAGATTGGAAATAACTAGAAATACGTATAACATAGAGAAATTTACCTAACGATTTTGGAATACGGCTGCATAAGCGATCACCTTCTACTCGAGCTAACACCGTTACATTTGCTTGATCTGCGCGAAAGTCAAAGTTATATGGATAGCCGCCCGGACTGGGGCTAGGAGGGGGATTGGTTTCTACAGATACAACTAGTTGCAAAATATTGTCAAGAGAATGAAACTGAAAAAGGCTACATTAGCTACAACTGCATGAAACCCCCTCAAATAGCGGCAAATAAACAATAACTTCTGTTCATTTTAAAACTATCAGTGAAACAAGCTGTTTTAAGAATGCTAGTTATGAATTTCTATTTGGCTATTTCAGTTCTTTTTACGGCAATGGTCAGATCTACCAAGTTGTAAAATTGAATTCTATTATCAATCGATATTGCCCCACTAGCTCTATCAAGTCAACTTTTATACATTGCTCTGATGGATTACATTTATTATGTAAGACACTCTAGAAGATGATTCTTAACCCTTCAACTCCCAGATCAAATTTGTAATTCTCCTTACTGTCAACCATACAGTTATTCTTTTAATGTTAGTTCAGAGAATTTAATATCGGATCAGTTAATTAGTAATTCTATAATTGATATTTTTCTTTATTCCCATCACTTGTCTGCATGATATTGTACAGATATAGAAAGGAGAACTTCTGTCTTGGTCACTCACGGGAGTTAAAGAGTTAAATGGCACGATTTGATTGGCCGGTTCCATCTTAGTGCTCGTAGTCTTAGGTTATTCCAGGTCATCTGGTAACACATCTTAGTATGTTGTTTTCTAGGCGTTGATTACCGAAGACTGTCAACTAGTGTATACATATGAGAATTCTACCTATAAACTACTGCGCTTCTTCCTATACTTAAGAGCGACAAAATAAGGTAATGAAACGTTACTTCTTAGGCAGAAGGCTGCTTATCGATTGGATAATCAAACAACTTAGCAAAACCCATATGATGTGTGAAGAGATTTTCAAACGGTCCTCCTTTGTTAAATATCCTGTACACTTCCCCCCATTTTTCCAGGCTATCCTTGTGGTAGATCGCCTCGATCTTAGACTGGTTGAGGCGATTATTCTTTCCCCAGTGTGGCCTTGCCTTGAACTTCTCACATAGCTTGTTCTCTACCGTCTCCTGAAACTCGTCAATGCCGAATGCTCCAGGGAGAAATGGTACCTGGGAAAAAAAAAGTAAAGACTAAATCCTTACTATTGTCTTATTTTATGGTAATTCTTAGAAAGGTTTTTTTTTTCTTACCTCAATGTAACAGTTGTGATCATTTATAGTTCCGTCAGGTCTAAACTTGCTTGCAGGGCTCAGGAACAAATCATCAGTACGTGCAAGTCTCACATAGATTGGTAGCAAAGAATACTGTTTATGCCTTTCTGCGTAATCTTGAGCCAGTTTTATCACCATGGTCAGGGCACTATGGAGGTGTTCCAACGGTAAGCACCATTCTGCTGTGCGAACGCTAAAATTACAAAAGAAACGACAAGACTCTATCTGACAGCAATATTTGACTGAGTGTCAAAAATCATTTGGGATTTCTTAGTTTGCTTTAACCACTCATTACTCAGCTAAGAAAAACATGGAACGAAGAGCGAATCGATAAACTGCACTTTCCGGCGCCTGAGGTCGGCCTTTTCTTTCCAGGAGTTGTAACCAGCAGTTTTAAATGTTAGCCTTTGTGCTGACCGGCCCTTTGAATCACTTAGGCTTTACATTTACCAAACTCAATAAAAACGTGCTCTCCATTTTTCTATTTGATGGTAAACGAAAGTATATGTTTAATAGCAACGCCTTAGAAAATGGCAATTATTCCTTCGTTTAATAAGTCAAACCGTTTACGGCTTGAAAACGTTGATATTTTGTCGTAAAATCATGTTCAATCGGTCTATTTGGCTGTTTGTGCAGATGACAGCTAAGAAGTTTCACACAGCAAGTGTTTTTACTTACTGGATATTGCCTTTCGTGAACTGAAGCACGTTGTACCATGTCTGCCGATACGGTTTTTCGAACGAGAACTGTGACACACCGAAGTTGGTGAGCTGTGGAATACGAGTGGGGCAACAATTGGCACATCCCTGAAGGCAAGAGGCTGTGCAGTCTGTCTGCATGCAGCCTAGGTCCGCTATTCCTCTTCCCCCGCAACAATTACAACAGCATGAGCAACAAGCACAGCAGGTTGGTCTACGATCTGTTTTGAAAGCTTTCAAGTAAGCCATTTCAATATGCTTGTCATTCCTGAGGGAGCAAGGAGGTAACGAGATTATTGAGTTCATCGCCACCTTAAACGTAACAGGAATTATGAAAAGGGACTTAAATTAGAATTAACTGTACTGAGTCTTTTAAGACTTCAACCACCACCCTCACATGGCCTTTACTATCACCACCACGATCCTTGCCGCCATCATTAATGCCACCACCACTGCCACTACTATCACCATCTCCCTAGCTACCATTTTACATTGTTATCAGCATTGCCATCAGCAGAAACATTTCTTCTACCCCCGCTAGCGTTAGCACCAGCACCACAACCGTAACTACCACTGCATTTAGCATGAACACCAGTACTACCATCACAACCATCTCATCGTCCTTACCACTGCTGTCATTGCCACCACCCTTGTAATCAGTAAGAGTATTGCTACCATAACTACCATTATTAGCAGCGGCACATCTTCCAACATCATCACCACAATCATCACTATTACCAACGCTAAGACTAAGACACCACTGCCAACCCTACTACCACTAATACCAGCAGCATCGTCATAGAAAACACTGCCACTAAACCAGGGTTCAGTTATCAAACAGATAACTTGATATCCAGCGGATACCGCTTTAAGTGTCAAGACTTACTGCGTTATCTACCCGTGGGCGACTTATCCAGTGGATAGCGTTATCCACCCTTTAAACAACTGGTGCCAGTACTGCAAACACCACCATCACCGCTACTCTCACCAAGAACACTACCGTCACTTCTTTTACCACTATCACTATTATTGGCATCGTCACCCACCGCCATTTCCATCTCCACAGCCACCACTATTACCATAGCTTTCATTACAAACACCACTACGAATACAGCCAGCTCTATAACATTCGTATTAAAGAACTAATTCTGCTCTTGTACGTAGCCCTGAGGCCTTACCTTGGTCCCAGCGGGTATGGATTGACGAAAAACGAGAAATATTCTGCATCTTTCGTCTTGTACATTTTAGCAAACTTTTCAAGAACCTCCCCTAATTGCAACTTCTTTCCCATTAACGCATCGTCACCGTCGTTGTTGCCTTCGTCGTCTTCCGTCGTAACTTCTGGCCAAGAGACCTGTTCCGTTTTTCTGATTTCCTCCAGCTTGTACATTGGAACACAGCTGTATGTAATGGAGTAGATCACCCCCATACATCCTAACCCTACTTGACATGCCTTTAACACCTCACTACTTTTGATCTCGACTGGGTCGTCTCCGTATTTGGCTCCATCGATCTTTGCTTCGCAATCCGCAATGGTTTCGGGGCCGCCACGTACCTTCACTTGGATTCCACCACGTACGATTAAATGAAGACCCACCACAAAAGTGGACTGCAAATGAGACATAAAATGACCTAAGATTTTTTTAGTGAACGAGTTTAAGACATGCTTCTCCCTTTGAAAAATCGAGGAGAGAAACCTTGGTCATAGAAACATTTTGATAATCATCATTAGCAAGTTCGGTTCGGCAATATTTGCATTGTGAACGTATATTGCCATATTTGGAATGTCACGTGACCAGAACAGCACGAGAGCTGGATATGTGGATCTTAGATAATATAACGTAAGTCGTTGCAGTTCGTCAACTGTAATTTTAGTCAAAATTGCCAATCCTCTTTCTTCCAGCCATCTTCTTAAACATTTCGACCATGAGGCAATTATTTGAATTTTGTTCGAAGCAGATAGACTTTTTCTGCTTCTCCGTAAGGCGGCCGAGAATGTATGTAGCCGTAGGAGCACCCTACTATAATATACTATTTTTATTTGACCACTCGATTAATCTTACCATTGTTCCACTGAACCATCCTGATCCATGAGTGGAAGTGCTCGCCACTCCTCCAACCGTTTGGCCTGCGTAGTTGCCCATCATCTTGAGCGCCTTGTGATAATCCCGGTCGAGTTCCTCGACAAAATCTACAACGCGTTTCCCGGCTTGTACTTCGACTTCATATTTCATTTCCGTTGTTTCCATTTCTGAATCCTCCGACTGTGAATCCTCCAATATCTTTGGGACCGTGAGAATCTTGTTCAAATCAGTCATGACCACAAGTATGTCTCTAGTATGGGTGAGACGAGACCAAGAGGAACCTGTGCCCACGGCGCGAATGGTGTAACCATTGTCCGCTGCATACTTGCACAACGCCGCGATCTGACCAGCGCCGTCAAGCCCTGTGTAATCAGAAAGTCAGATGAATCAAATCAGTTGCAGGTACTTTTTTACCCGTAGCAATTCCATATGTCAGGAAGCATTTGTTTCAAAGTTGCATCGTGATAATGTATGTTTTAGCGTGAATTCTCCAAGCTAATCAGTCATTCATTAAAGTAGCAGTTACTGTGATTGTTTTTAGTCAAGTTAGTTGGTCCCACAGTCTCAATCGCTTAATCGCAGTTTATAATTTTTGCTCCTACAAATGTTCGTGTACACACCTTTATGGCTTTTGATTTGATTTTGTATATCATCGTCGTCATCAATGCCATAGAGAGCATCTGGAAGAGAGTGAACGCGCTCGTTCCGGGGGTGGTAAATATGGACGAGTGGTTGAACCTTTTCCATTCCGTCATAGTTGTAAAAGACCCGGCGTCCTGTGTATGTACAAAAACGAATGCAAGGGAAAATGCACTGGTAAGACCAGCGCGAGTTGTAACAACAATCCACGCTGTTTCCCATGGCTAGCACCCTGTAAGGAACAAAAATAGAAATGTGGTGGAAAGGAAGTCTTTGTACTCAAAAAGTGTGAGACATGCGTTCAATTTTGTTCGTAGGATTCTCTCTCTTCCTACCTCTAAAACGGGTTTTGTCGAAGGAGAAAGTGAACGAATCCTGATTAATGAAGCAGTTACGTCACGGTTTGTGGATATGACGGTCAAACGACTGCGCAACTGCGAACGCAAAGAGCGCAGGGTCGGCAGAATCACGCATGGTAAGATTAAGAACAAGTTATACAAATGAACCAAGTCTGCAACATCACTCGATTTTGGTAAACCCCAACAAAAAATGAAAAATAAATAAAATACCCAAGGCGAAATAAAGGTAAGTTTTCCTTTCCCTTACTTTTGCCCCTAAAAGGAGCTTCTACGGACGGTTGCATCTTTTTGGCTGTTTCTTATGTTTTCTAGTAAAAATGAAAGAGGAACCAAGGTTCATTTTGATGAAATACTAAAAAGTGTTGTCTGGTGGAAGATTATTATGCGATAAGCTTTAGACAACCAGGCCGCGGCCTTTGATCTAGACACCCCAAAGGAACGGCGTTTGAATGAATGTGTAACAGAAAGCTATGGCTGAAAATAACAGTAAAACTGAGCGACGAAGGCTGATAGACGCCTGTAATTAAAAATTAATAATTAAAAAATAGTTCTTTCAAACGAAGTTGATATTGCCTGGATTATGACGCGGAGTTATTGTCTGCTTCATTTTCCGTGACAGTGTGCCAAGACTCACGAGTCTTTCGTAGTCTTGAGTCACATAGCAACTGTGGAAATTGTGAATATCGAAGGGAGGTTTATGTAACGGCGCGTGAGCGAGGAAGAATACCAAAATGTTCACCTTCAAGGAACGAAAATTCTTAGAGACGGCGATGTTTTATTTGTTAACATGCGTAATTTTTTTTTAATCTCGCAGTGATGTATTTTATCAAGTTTTTCCGTGTTTTAGCTTTAGTTTACTCTGTTGGCACCTAAAATATTCATACATTTCTGATGTTGTTTTGACACACTAGCTCAGTCTTTCCATGTGAAATTAAAGAGATTCTTCTTGAAAGTGATGATTAATTTAGAATTTTTGACAGATTAGATCCTTTGAAAAACCATCATTTACACTGGCATGGAATGCATTTACACTCGCGCTGATTACATTTGCCGTTCGCTGATCACTGCACATGTACTTGAACTTGAACTTAGATCAGAGCAATTATTGTTAAAACCACAATATCAAAAATATTGGTATGTAAAGAACCACGAAGCTTGGTGTTTTGACCCATTTTCTTCGTCGTAAGTTGGGAAGTATTTCCTCTCAAATGCAAATGTTACTCTACTGTGGACATTTGCAACGCACCTCTTCATAAGAAAGACGCGTGAACTAGATCTACTAAAACATTAATTAGAGCTTAAGAGTTATTTCCAATGCTTACCCAAGTCAGTGAGGTCCTTCACACCAGTTTTCCTTCTCTCAATTGCAGTTCTGCGAAAAACCTTTAAAAACCTTTAAGTTACGTGCTTCGAATAAATTAAGTGAATGCTTGTCATTTACTTCTGTCAGGCAGCCAAGCATAAGTGGCAATAAGTCTGCTCTTGAGAGTCTGACATCCTTAAGTACTCATCGCATGGGGGGAGGGGGGGGGCCTTGGAGGATTTTGGATGTGTCGCAATAAAATTATCCTGATAAGCCTAAGAAGTATTCTAATAAGGTAATAAGGTTCTCCACCTCACTCCCCCCCCCCCCATTGGCGTGGGGGTCAATTTATTATTGTCCTCCTCTTTCCTCTTAACTCTGTTAGAGACGACTCACCGACTCACCTCCGTACCCCATTAAAACCAAGTGACCCCCAAAATGGTGTGAACTCCCCCCCCTCCCTTAGGGGATAAATAACTACTGGTTCTTTACTGCTAGAAACCTTCTTTTATTTACTGATAACTCCTTTTAAGATCTTAAAGGTTTTTCATCATTCATAATTGTCTCATTGCACAAACTCTCAACTTTCCTTCTTAAACTCTAGTTCAAGGTAGCAAATTGGGTAACATTACAGTTTTATCACTCAACTGAGTTGTCTGCTCTTTCTGACAATTTGTTTAATTACCCAACTGAGGAACAATGAAAACCATTTCAGCGCTTAGCTACTTGATACTATGACGTAAGAAAAACCGCAAAGAACCGGTGAGGAAGTGATGTCATAATGAACAAAAAAACCAAATCCGAAAAATGTAATTGGCGAACGTCAAGGTCAGCTAGGTAATGGAAAGGCTCAGACTGGCCAATGTTAATTATAACCTAGCGCGTAAATTTGTCTAATCAAATTCAATTGCGTGAGCGTGCCTCATATTCCTATTGTGCACGCTCGTGATGTCAAGACGATAGAGTTGTTCTCGGCTGCGCCTCGAGCAACTCTTACGCATCTTTCGTGCTCTCCAGACTTCCCGCGTGCTTCATATCTCGATGAACGCACGCTGACGTATGAACCAATTGTTAAATAATGGAATTAAGTCAAAAATAACATAGTTTTCTAACCTTTGACATGAAAAACATAATTTTTCAAATGTTATCATGATATTTGCTTTTTACAGGTAGATAACAGATAACAGACGTTTTGAATGTGGGCAGTGTACATTCTTCTTCCAAGAGCAGCCTGAAATCCTCTCGACAAGTTCGACGGTATTTTGAACACAGCGTCGAACACAGCGGTCAAGCGTTGGGCTTGCGCAAGGGAAATCAATAGACCTCTTTAGTCTGTGTATTTTGTCTACCCATTTCAGGTCAATTGATAATACTCTAGAGAGCTGTATCTTTTAAATTTACAAAAGATAAAGCTGGGAATTCACTCAAGACCTTCATGTAGGGAAAAAAGCAAACAAGCTAAAGAGTTCTACTCTTGCCAGGTGCAAATTTCTCGCGCAAAATAATAGAAAAAAAAGGAATAACTGCTATATCCAATAATAAGCTAAAGAATATGGAAAAGATCATAGAATATGTAAAAGAAAAACAAAAGTAACGAAAAGGGAAACTTGAAACTCAACGAATACAAAGCTTTTTCAAGCATTCTCACATGCGCAGACGTTTGACCGCTGTGTTTGCAACTTAGTACTTTGTTAAACTTTAATACCGGATGCAATGCGTTGAACAATTTTAAATTCAGCCGCTGAATAAGGATGAGTCCACAGTTCTTCTATGCTAATGAAGAAGCAGAGACAGAACTCGTGTGAGTATCGGAAATTGAAATAGGACTGCGTCGGGTTGAGCAGGAGGAGGTGATACTGTTTCCGGATAAAAAGGCAGCGGTCTTAATTACACGCTCCCAAAAGCACGATCACATCACTTCAATTCTGACTGAACAACACCGGCTTCCAGTTTCTGACCGCATTGGATTCAGGTTTTAACTTTTACTTTCAAAAGGCTCCACTTCGACTGTCTTCCATCTAAGTTCTGGATTTAAAAGCCCAGTTCTCGCTTTCCAGAACTCTCTGGTTGTTCTCTGGAATACGTCTGAATCCTGGTAACTTTACTGTTCTGAAATCCTACGAAACTCAAGCCTTTTTCTGTTTCCGCCCCCGAAGTTTAGAACAGTTTGCGCGATAGCATCCGTTCGATTAAAAACTTTTCAATCTAGGCTTAAAACCTATCTTTTTCAAAAAAAAACTCTTTTCTCACGGCGATTTTAATTTTGTACATATATTGATTTAGTTTTTATTCATTCCTCAATTTTAGGGAGCGCCTAAAGCGAATTGGCTAGGCGCTAGACAAGTTCTGATTACTATTGTTATTATTATAATTATTATTGTTATAATTATTATTATCATCATCATTATTATTATGGTTATAATCATTATTATTATCATTATTATTGTTATAATCTCCTTATTTACAGCGGGTTATCTCGAAATATATAGTTGTTGAATTCTTCCCTAAATTCCGAACCAATATCAAGTGGTTTTATTTTACCCTGAATTAACCACAAATTTACATCATTATTATTTCTCGGAGTTCTTTCACGCAGAAAAAGTGAACTAAGTTAGTATATTGAAAGTTATACATCATTGTTATTGTCTTCGTTATTTTTATTATGATGTGTCGCAATGGTAGCAGGCCGCGAAGTCGCTTTGAGTTCCTTTAGATGTGAATTTTTATCTCGTTGTCCTTCAATAGGGTCGCTCATCGCTACTGTTTGTGCTTTGTCGGAATTCGCTGTTCTATTTTTCTTGCAGAAACTTCTCCGAAGAAATTCGCGAAAATCACTCATCTGAACGAAGTAAATTACGACGTTCATCACACCGTTCAAAAAGACGATTCCACCGAAGCCATAGCGTGATATGAAATCAGTTTGAAAATCACGGTATGGTTTTGCTATATGATTGTAGAGCAAATTGGCCAGGAAGAAGAAGTAGCAGACTATGAAGGCAAACGTAATGAGAATAAGGAGAGTCATTCCCTTCACTCTCGTGGCTATCAGCTTAGCCTTAAAAGCATTGTTCAATCCTTTGATCATCGCACGGTTCCCTCTGATCCATATCGTTTTAAGGAGGCAGAAGTTGACGAATGTTATAAAGCTTCCCGGTAGAATGTATTGTACCACGACGACAACCAGGGGCATTCTGAACGGGTAAAATTGATACTTGTAGAAGCAGATGGTTGTATAATGAGTTTGGTTAAGATCCAGCCTTATTCCACCGTATGGGGTGGCCGCTAGCAACATAAAGACCATTCCAAACACCCATGCCCAAATGATCATTCGTCGAACTGCTTTGGTTGTAAAAGTACGAGGAATCGAGCGCGTTGACAAGTACTTTTCAAGGCTGATAACAATCAGATTGTTGATTGTAATGGATGGGAAAATGAAATTTAAATACCGAACTATTTTACATGCCCAGCCGTTTTGAAATACATCGAATAAGATTTGGATGCATACTAGTGGAATAGATATTGCACTGGCTAATATGTCTGAGAGTGATAAACTTCTCACGTAGAGATTGAAATTTCTCACGAATGGGCTCTTTTGGATCAGGCTTCGCTTTTTGATTGGCTTTTTCCAAAGAAAGTAGAAAATAAGGCTGTTGCCCAGGAAACCCATGATGCCAATACTGGCGAGAATTGAACAGATGATGGACTTTACGGTGGAATCAATAGGCATGAAAACGTACACAGCAGATGCGTTTGCACTACAATTCATCTGGTGGTATGAATTGTTTCTTGACATATTCCATTGTTGGCACCATGTTTCAGCCATTTTTATGAATATCAGGCTATTAGGGAAGAAAGAAAAATAAAAAGTTTAATAAAATCTATTCTTACCAAAAAAAGCTAACAGTTGGTGAGTAGCGCTCAAAAAATAACGACATATTAAAAATCCATTTCTCGATGTTTGAACGCAAAAAGCATACTTTCTAAGTCGAACTGGTTTTGCCTTTCTTCTCTTTTCTGTAAGTTTTACCCGTTTTAAAAACAATATTCTAGTAAAAAGATGTTTATAACTTTTCCATAATTTATTTCAGTCCCGAAAGTTTAGAAGTAATCGGCCTCGATCTCATGCACTCGACCCAGTTCTCCTGACTCGTGACTAAATCCACTGTCTACTCAGGATGTAAAGAATATCAAGTCAACCATACGAATGCCTCCGACTATCGCCATTTGATGCGTGAAATTTAATCTTTAGATGGGCTGAAATAAATTACCGGTAATTCCGGTCATTGGCTTGATGTGGAGTGGAGAGAGCCGCGGGAATGACGAATGAAAAGCTGAGTCAAGGCAATTTTTTCAGAATTTGCTGACGATCTCACTTCCCCGTGTTAGTTGCGAGCGGTAATCCTGCCCCATCACGTCCGGCATTAAGCTTGTAAAAAATTATTTTTGCGAAAACAGGAGGCAAGAGTCCAATCCTGTTATAATTGATGAAGTAAACCCTTTTAAATTAACTACAAAATTTGGTTTGAAAAATATATTTCAAAAGTTCATAAATTTCACAAACAAGGGTAACACATTCACGATGAAAGAAAGCTAGATAACTTAAAACTAACTCAGCTAAAGCAAAAGACAACAACGAGAACAACGATGCACAAAAGCGTTGACGTCAGTTTTTCAATGTCAAGGTTTAATTACGTGGTGGACGTGATTGGTTCTTTTTGTGAAATCACGCGCGCTGCGCGATGGGCTTATGTTGCCTGCTCGCGTAACCAATCAGAACAAAGGATTCACTTTATATAGCCCAAGGGCGCCGCCGGCTGTTTAATGAAATTTTTTACTGTTAATCTTTTAAAAATGCATGCCTTTCAAACATTTTGGTCTTAATAAACCCTCTTACCCCAAGATTTTTTGACAGATTTGTACGATGATGACCCCGAAGGATGCCTTTACATCTTTTAAGGAGTCCGAAAGATCTGTTAGAATTTTTCTTTTTGAGCATAAGAAAACACTTTTTACATAAATCGAGCGTTTTACTCGAATGATCGTTAAGTAGATAAATACGGAAGTTGTGAAAATTGGCGCTAATGAGTTTAGATCATCTCTTATATGACTGGAAAGAAGCAGAAACCATATGATTCGGTGAAAACGAGAATAAGCCATCTCGCACAGCGACAGGCATGAAGCAGGTGAATAAATGTATAAATGTTGATAGTAGTTATACCATTCAGCTCAGCAGAACAGGATTATTAGCATGATAAATTAAAATTAATTACTTACAGGATAAGCGTAAGTGGCCCAAAACTTCGAGAGGCGAATATCGCTGCCTGTCGAAGATAACTTGCTGAGATGTGCTATCGAGTCCGTTAAGAATCTTCTTGAAGGTCGGCTGGTTAGTTGTTCAGAGCTTATAATCATTTCACTTCACACTCAACACTTTCTCGACAATAGCGCCTTTTTTGCCAAAAATAATACCACTTCCAACACTCAGCTATTGACGCATTTCCAATTAATACAAGGCATATTTTTTTTCGCTGCACGCCTGAACACAACAACATGAACGTCGGAACTTGAACTTTCTTATAGGCTCAGTATAGAATAGGTTCTTGGGACTGTTTTGGCCTTATCTCACTGCCAATAAGAAAAGGCTAAAACATTGGCTAAGTGTGTCAATAAGCTCCAATCATTTCTTAAAATTGTAATTAACGACGGATGTATGTGCACTCAAACTTTTGTTTTTTTGGCTCTCAGATGCCTGATCAGCTGGACCGGATTAGCTTTTTCTTTTTAGATCATTGTTTTACAATTACAAAGGCACCACGTTTTCGCTGTACTTATTCAGAACTTTGAGTGATGTTTGCGTAGAATTAGAGCGTTTTTAGTGGAGTAATTTGGAAAGTTGCTGGGGAAACCCTTGATCTAGCTGAAAACGTTGGTACAAAAGCTAGTTAAGAGAATTTCTGACTGAGGTTTCTACTTATGTTTTTGGCCACAGGAATTTTCAATTTGCTTACTCATATAACTCAGTCTTATTTGTATCTCGGTAACCTTACCTTGTGATAATAAGCGTTGATATTTCAAACAATGTTTTAAGTTAAAAATAAACTATGAGCAATGAGAATAATTGTAGATAGCATTTAATACGCCACGTAATAGAGCAGGGTAAATATTGAAATGTAAATTCTTTATTAGGATAAAATGTTTTATTGTTACGTAAATGTAGTATATTTATAACAAAGCTCTAATGGAAAGTAGTTGTGAATATGAAAGCAATCTTCGTAGTAAGGAACACTACTTGAGCAGTAGTGAAAATAAGGCTTTAAAAAAAATTCAGGTCTGTACGGGATTTGAACCCATGACCCCTGCGATACCGGTGCAGCGCTCTACCAACTGAACTAACAAGCCAACTGGGAGTCGATAATTATGTTGGTTCCAAATAAACCTTTGAAGTGGTGAATAAACGACTGTGGATATATGAAAGTCATATATTTGAATAAAGGGGTAAGTTTCTAAAGAAACTGTGGTGCTGCGTCGGTGGGAGAGTATAGCAGGTAATTTAGTGTTAACAACTGGTTTGAAAACGTAAATTAGCCACCGTAAAGGGTAAAAAAGCTGACGTTTCGAGCGTTAGCCCTTCGTCAGAGCGATAGACGAAGGGCTAACGCTCGAAACGTCAGCTTTTTTACCCTTTACGGTGGCTAATTTACGTTTTCAACCCAGTTGTTAACACTAAATTACCTCATATATTTGAATTGCGGATAAAGACGTGAATATGAAAGCGATCTTCCGGCAGTAAGGAAAACTACTTGAGCAGTAGTGAAAATAAGGCCTGAAAAAAATTCAGGCCTGTACAGGATTTGAACCCATGACCTCTGAGAGCGCTGCGCCGGTATCGCATGGAAAATATTAATAACTCTGTACAATAAGTGGTAGATGTATACGTGAAGTTGAAAGTAACTTCTCGGAAAATTGTAAATCATGGAAATATTGGTCAGTTTCGTATGTTAGGCTGCGTATTGGAAGTCTTGCATATATATAAAATTCTGTACTGTAGAATTTGGTCCTGCTTATCTGTTTGTTATATGGTGATAAAACAAGTCATACAACGTTAAGTCTAAAAATTACACTGCAAACAGAAACGTAACGGAAACACTAACCATTGTGGTATTTCGTCCGCAGAGAGACTGAGGACTATTGTGTTCCCATAATGCTTCAAAGCATATTCACGTGAATGAAAACGAGATTGTTCTAGTCGCCGCCATCTTGAATTTCGACTTCAACTTTTTCCGTTAAGATGCGTTAATTTTTTTTACTTTACACATCTTTTCTTCGTCCCTTTTTATCACCCTGATGGATACTGGGGACGAAGGTATTTGTGAGGAATATGCCTCATCGCTTGAAGACTTGACTTTTAATTCTAAACCACTAATTAACGTGCTCACGATGCTTGCCGAAGAAAACAGTCAATATGCCGAGAACATAACAAAGCTTATTGAAAAACGCATTTGTCAGGTGTGTGCTTATACTTTTATTTCTTCTACCAGCTTCTTAATGAAACAAAAGCTCTCCGGTTATAGAAAGCAATATTTTTGTGCCTTAAAACATGGAAAAGCTATTGATGTATTTACGCTAATGGTATTTTTATTTTTAGCTGAATATGATAGAATACTTTGTTTTCGTTTATAGTAATATTAGTTTATCGCTAGTTTAAGTGATTAGCCCACCGACTGACTGCAAAATCATTTTTGCATACAAACTTAGATTCTTAGATTTACATATTGACCTAAAGTGAGTTTATACTAATACTTCATGCCTGCAAGCTCTTAGGGTCTTTAGAATCAATGTATGCAATGCAGTCCTTGATACTTGGTTGGCAACAATAATTTCTTGGATACATGCTGGAGCAAGGAATTTTACTGAAAGATGGCTTGCAGTTTTGCCATTTTACCATTAGGATGGGGAATGTGTGCTGCAAAAGCTGGCATGGGTCTCCAGCCTTTTAAGTCAAGTACTTGTTACTGTGTTGACAAACTTCAGTGTGTATCCCTATTAAATCACACCAAAATTCACAGCTACCAGAGCACAAATGTAGAAAGTTCAAGGTGTTTCTATTTATTTCTGTAGGCAAGCTTTTTAGATATTGGAAGTGACATTTCTCATGTTCTTTTGCCACCATGGTAGCATACTTTAATTTTTCAATGATAAGGTTACATAAACATTTTTGGGGAAACTATTTTGAAAATTATAGTACCATAGAAGTATTATTGTGCGCTGTGTGAATGCTTATCCTCAGTCTATTCTAGATATCATCGTAGAGACTAAGAATGCATAGAGAAAAAAGTATTTAATTCATCTTTACTCTACAATGTTGTATAAAGAGGACTGTAAGGGACCAAGAATTATTAACAGAGGGAAATAACAAACAGTGCAATAGTAGTGGAGGTGTATTTATGTTTAACATGTTTTTGAGACTAGGAACCCACACTGTAGGTAAGAAAAGTTAGAAAGAGCCAACTATGAAATAAGCACCCACCTCAAATAAGTACCTTCTCCAAATAAGTGCCTACTCTTTAGGTTGATAAATTTAAGGAATGCCCAGGGCACTTATTTGAATAAATATGGCAATATGTAATTAAGGTGTTAAATAAGATTTTTCTACAGAAAAATGTTACACCTCTTTTCAAGGTTTTGGAAGTAGCTCACTTAATCTCATACTTAACATGTACATGGTGTCAAAAATTTTCATACAATTATAAGTTTAAACAATGAAATGTTGTAATATAGTGTTATTTTACACCCTTAAAGGAAAGAAGTTTAAATATAGGGTAGTGAAATGAAGGTTAAATAACATGATAGGAATAACAAAGGTTTTTTTTTGTTTTTTTGTTTTAGATTTAATTTAAGCAATTATGCATGATTATTTCCACCAAGAATTTGTTCAAGCAGGTGTTAATGTATACTCCACTTCTAAACAAATATTGTATTAAATTTATTTTGTGAATATTGCAGATTTTTTTGTGTGGAAAAGATTTACTTTTTAAATACACACTTTTACATAGCTAATGGAGACCAGAGTACAAGTAAAAGTACAAACTATTCTGATTTTTGTGTCATCTGTCAGATAATTTCTTAGTGCTTATTTTTTCCAGTGTTTCATAATTGTTAGTAAAACATTAGGTAGTAGAACATTGTTCCTTATACTTCCTTATACTTTTTTCTCTTATTTCATTAGTTTGATTCATTTTCAAACCTGATTTTCTTTCAATTATTGTTTTTACAAATTCCTTTTGCATATTTTTTTCCAGCGTTTAATAATCGGTGAAAAAACATTAGGTAGTAGAACGTTGTTCCTTATACTTCCTTATACTCTTATCCCATATTTCTTGTCATAGGTATCACAACAATTCAAACTACCTTCACTTTATTTGCTGGATTCCATTGTGAAGAATGTTGGAGGAGGCTACCTGAAGCTTGTTGCAGATATTATGGAAAATAGTTTTACCTGTGTATTTGAAAAGGTAATTTATGTGTTACAAACTCCAATACTGTAATGGCATGCTCTGTAACTCAGCTGATTGGCTAGCTTGATTGCTCTAATATAGGTGTAAGGCAGGACAGTTATTGATTTGATTCCTTTGCAAAACTGAGTTTCTTTCAATTATTGTTTTTTTACAAATTTTTTTCATGTGTAGGTTACTGTGATTACCTTTCTTTTCTTAAAAATGTATTCTTCATTTTTATGTAATAACTATTTTTCAGGCAGATGAGAAGACTCGTCGGGATCTGTACAAGTTGCGGCATACTTGGCAGCAGTATTTTCCAGCAAAGATGTTGCATGACTTGGATGTTGCTGTGAATAAGCATGACCCAGGATGGCCTATTTCTCCTGCTCCTCCACCAAGTCCCTCTATACATATTAACCCAAAGTTTCTGCCAAAGGTACTCTAGCTTTTAAGTCAATTCATTGGTACTGTGTAAAGAAAAAAAAAAGGAAAGAGGGACAATTAGTTTGGAATTGAGGGCCACTGTTATGACATAGAGGCTTTGTTAAGCCCTCAGTCCGGAGCTTCAGGTTTCTAATGAGCCCCCCTCCAAACCTCTTTCCCTTCCCTGAATTGAAACTCCAAAATAAAAACACAAGGTAAACTAGTTGTAGTGTTATTGAACTATTGTCTTTTTAGTTGGCTTTGGTAGTGTTTCAGGTAGGAATATATTTTCCTTGCTGCTAGATACTTACATCTAACAGGGTTTTCAAACTAAGGAAAGGAGCAATCTTTATACCCATTAAGCCTGGAGTGTAGCATGAGTTCAGATGAGATATCAACTAACGTTGAGGCTCTCATTGAGTTTTGAGCCCCCCTTCCTAACACAGACACACATTCACAATTGTCTGATGTTTCTCCTCATTCCTTTCTGGAAGCTCTGAAAATTCATAATAAGCTTTTAGGAGCTTGTCAGAGTGTTAAGTATAGTAGAACATGTTTCCTTAAAGTGAAGATGACTAGCAGTACTTTAACATGAATCTGCATCAGTATTCAAACCTTTTTTCTCAAACAACACAGGCTGAAAAAACTGGTGCAGTTTTAACTGGCAGCATAGCTACACCCCAGGAGCATAAGGTTGTTGTTGACCACCAGCAGCGCTTGCATGAGTTACAGAGACTGCAAGAAGAACAGCTTAAACTGACGGAACTTGAGATTCAGGAGCACCAGATGAAAAGAGATCTTCTCCTCAAAAAGCAACAACAGGAACGAAAGCTCCTTCTCCAACAACAACAGCAGCAAATTCTCCACTTGCGATTGAAGCCAGAAAGTACAAAAGACTCAGTACTTTTAAATGGGGTGAGTGCTTTTTTTAATTATGTGAGTTGTCCAGAAATTTAGATTGTAATGAGAGGGGATTTTTTTGTTGTTTAAAAAAGGTACGTTTATCCTGTCCCCTTTACATTGATGTTTAGGGAAGATCTTTCTCTAAGCTTCTGGGGTTTACTCCTCATGGAAGTAGTTCAGCATTACTTTGCATGGTGATAGTGCTCTTAACCCTTAACAGCCTGATATCAGAATGCAGGTTCGACTTACTGTTCTCTTTGCATTTCCAATGGTACCGACCAGGAGAGTTTTTTGAACATTCAAGAGCTTCTTGAGTGGGTGTTTATTTGCTGTAGATTCATAACCTTAAATTTAATGTTTGTTGAAGTATGTAGATATTCGATGCTAGTTTTTCTTAAGGGTTAAAGGGTTAAGCATAAAGTTTAAGGACAGCCAAAGCCATTATATTCTTTTATTTTTAATGTTGGCTGAAGCATAATTTGCTAGAATTTTGAAGACAAAATTTTAGTTTATCTATCAACAGCCTCCCAATTCTACACTAAGTGAACCAGTGTCAACGAAAGCAGAGACTACAGAGAAAATGCAAGAGACACTTAGTAGCCGTGATCCACGCATCCGCCAAATTGAGCCTGAACCTGATCATATTCCAGAGCCAAAACATTTTGGTGATTCTTCACAACAAGATTTGAAAACTGTCCCAATCCCCAAGGTAAAAAGTGTTCAGCATATGTCTGTGGCAGCCAATTCATCAGAAGGCTCAAATAGAGTTCCTTCAGGAACTCATCTTGAAAGGGAAGTTACAGGTAGTCCAAAGTATGGTGACTTGCAAAAGCCATCAAAACCTAAGAGTACACACAAAAGGCGAAATTCTGGTGACTGGTCAAGCCACTCACCAAATCATGAAAACCACAAAGATGAGCCGGAAGATATTCAAGATATGAGAGGGAAAGCTCGAAGGGGAAGAAGAAGGTCTATTGAAAGGCAGAGAGAAAGAGGAAAAGGTGAGAGGGGAAGAGGTCGTGGCCATGAACCAGGAAAAAGGGGAAGAGAAATGGATCATGAAAAAACTGAGCGTAGAATTAACAGAGTGCCAGACAGAGACTCCCGACATACACTAACTGCTGGGAGACATGATGAAATGAATCATCCTTTTCGGGATGATTTTAAGAAAAGGAATAAAAATTTTTTGCCCCAGAAAGAGCATTTAATGAATCAGGAAAACTGGAGGAGGAGTGCGGCAGAAATACCAAATGTGGATGAAAGATCACGGCTTGGAAAACGTGGCCCTGAGGGGCCATCCAGGAGAGACAGATACATAGATAAAGATTTCAGGGGTAGCAAAAGTCCACTCTATGGTCGTGAGGAATTTGTTCGGAAGGGAAGTCCAGGAATACGTGAAGAGAGACCAAGGGGAAATGGATATGAAAGAGAACAATATGAAAATGTTGAACACTTTAAACCACATCAAAGCAGTCATGAAATGCAACAAGATCCAAACTTTCAATTTAGAGAGGAAGTGCGTGGCCATCCTCCAGTTCCTTTTCATGATGACCCAAGAGAGAGACATCTGGGAGAACCTCTATCAAAGAAACCAAGACCTCTTCTCTCAGATGTAGAGATAACTGAACTTCGGAACAGAAAGGGGGCACTCCCCAATACAGGAAGAATGACACCACCACCTGTTTTCCATGAAGGTTTCCTTGGAGAACCCATGGATATTCACCCACATCCTATGGATGCTGAACATCCTCTACCTCGGGATCATAACTTTGGGCCTCAAGGTCCAGGAATGCGGAGAGAATTTAGACCTCGTACTCCGCCTAGGCAACAACATCCTGGAGAATGGACTCCAGGGTTTGAAATTCCACGTGAGCTCATGTTGGATCGTCAAAATGAAATCATGAGGCAGGTCAGTGTAGGTCGTTGCTAAGGTTCTCCATCCATTCCAAGAAGTGTTCCATAGATTTTCATCTTTATATGCTGTGGTCTTAAAAATGTATTTTAAGCACCATTATATTTTTTCACCTAGGCTGAAAGTCGTCTTCAAGCAGGAGATTTGACTGTGGAGCAACATGAAGATTTAGTGGATAAACTTCACCAATTGTATGAGCTCCAAAGGCATCCTGATTCAATGCTTCTGTCACGAGAGAGCAGGCCTCCACCAAATTCTGAATACTTACCTAGACATATGATGTCCTCAAGATTAGAGGAACCTCCATTCAGACCAGGTGGACATTGATCCCATATAGTTTTTTTTTTTTTTTTCGGTGATTCAGTACTTATACGACGGGAGAGAAGGCTACTTGATATGTAACAAAATTTGTCAAAAAGGAAATGAAAACACTTGTTCAGTGTCCTTAGTTTGTATTTTCTCAGGCTTGCCCACAAAAGAACTAGTTTTGAATCAAAGGGAGCGATACGATTCCATCAAAGTTTTATTTCTGAACCTGTACATTTTTTCTTTCAGGGGGTCCATTGGATAGGCCAGGAACTCCGCCTGAAATAGGCCCTGGAAGACCAATTGCCCCAAGATATGATGGTCCTCCAGAGCATCTCAGAATACAAAACAGAGGTCCTGCTGCCATGGAACCAGGCCACATGATGAGGGTTGATGACCCCAGATTTGAAGCTAACGAACCTGAAATGAGGAGATTCAATGAGGATTACAGAGGACCGCACACGGAAGTGGATCGCCCCTCACTCGGTAGACCATTGCCAGTGGGTGGTCCTTCCATAAGAACGGACAGACCATTTGACAATAGTCCAAGGGTTGATGGTGGGTTGAACCCTCAGTTTCCACATGGGAGGCATGTGGAGGAGATTGCACGACATCCAGGCAGTCATGAAAACAGCCCAGGGTCCGTAGTTACACCCAGCACACCACCAAGGCAGGAAAAAGGTAAGTTCACTTTAAACCTTTAACTCCTCAAAGTGACTGGCTTCAAATTTTTCCTTACAGTATCACCTTTGAATCAATTTTAAAGGTCATGAAAATTATGGAAAATGATCACCAATTTGAGAAGCTCCTGGTTGTCGAACAATTTCTCCTTGTCGTAACCCTTCAAAATATAGAGAGAAAAGTTTGGAAATATTACAATAAAGGTGTAAAGATCTAATCATTGAAATGTTGTGCTTTGGCTGCATGTGGAAAAAATCTTCCTTGAGGAGAGATACGTGGAACAATGTCAATTTTTCAAGTAGAACGTTTTAGATGTGGTTCATTCTTGATTATTGATGGGAAATATTTATCAGTCACGTATGCATATATACATATATATATATATATATATATATATATATATATATATATATATATATATATATATATATATATATATTTATATAATAAGCTTAGTTATGCGCGCATTCTGATTGGTTCTCACTTATGAACTATTGGAGGACAGACGTATAGGTGACGTCAACACTAAAACCTTATTAATTCTTTATTATATAAAACAAGTAGATTCCAAGTTGCCGTGCGTCTGTTCAGTAATAGATCACAGATCACACACGGCAACTTGGAATCTATTCGTTAAATATATATACATATACTATTTCCCTTTGCAGGCCAAGAAGTACCGATCACTCCCAACACTATGATGGAGAAGAGGTCTGTTGACGATCTCTTCCGAAAACTGATGGATTTCGGAATAATCAAGGTGATGCCTGAACCTGTTAGTGAACCCCCTCAGCATGTCGCCTTACCAGCTCCCCCTCAGGCTGAGATACAAAAACCACGACCCCTCCCTGGACCACCGGTTTCTCTTCCCGGCCTCTCACTACCAGCCATAACTGCAGAACAGACGCAACCTCCAAAAGTGGAGAAACCAGTCATTCCACCGATAAAACTTGTTCCCGAGGACCTCAAAAAGTAAGCTTATCGTCTTGGGTATTACAACTGATCACCTGCAGGCAAACTATTTTTGCGCCCTTTAATGAGTTTCGTCAAATCAAAACCAGGTTTATCAGAACGGAAAAAGTCTGAAGGAGCTAATAAAAAACCCTAAATAAAACAAAAACTCTACGAGTGCAAGTAACCAAGTCGCTCGCGGTTGTTTTAAGGTGCATCTGATCGGTCAATTCGATTGCTCTTTTTTTTTTTTTTTTAAGACCAATCCCAGAACGAAGTGAAGCAAAACCGAAGTAATCTTGATTTACTTTCACACGAAATTTGCCTCAGTTTCAATGTCACACTGTCTCTCTGTATTTTTTATCACTGCGCAGGCGTCACGATAGTGTTATCGCCAGTCTTTACGATGGCACGCAATGTTCATCTTGTGGGCTGCGGTTTCCTGGTGAAGCTGCAAAGATCTACCGTGAGCACTTGGATTGGCATTTCCGTAAAAACCGCCGAGAGAAGGACGGCAGGAGAGTGGCACACAGGCAGTGGTACTTTGTTGTTAAGGACTGGCTTAATTACGAAGAGATATCGGATCCAGACGAAAGAGGTAGCGTTTTGGCGTCTCCATCGGCAATGTTCAGTAATTTTATTTTTTCCGGGGGACTCCCTTAAATTTTTCTGTACTCCTTTTTCTTCCAGATGGGAAGAAAAAAGTAAAAACAAGAAAAAAAAACACACATACATACACACAAATGAAACCAATTAAAAAACCCGAATATTCGAATAAAACAGCGAGTTTTTATGGATAGCGTGTCCGGCAAAACAGATGAAACACATCGAACTAGGTATGCCCACAGATAAATATTGTCTGTATATCCGAGGCAGTTGGTGTATGCCTTACGCACATAATCTGATTTTGAAGAACGACTTCATATGAAGATAACAAGTCGTTATGAGTGCGTGAAACATGTTCTATTGTGCAGTGTCGCATTTTTTCTTCCTACAGCAAAGAGTTCGTTCTTTGATATCAGCAAGGGAGCTGTAGACTCTCCAGATCCACTGAAGGAAACAGAAAAGGAGTTTGCAGATGGTAGCTGTCCTGTGCTTGCTGGTGACACAGAAGCTGAAGCGGTAAGGGTGCTCTGTTAGTTCTTGTTACCGAAGAACCAGTTGGTGAACAAAATACCTTGGTTTTCACCAACGGAGTTGACAATGTAAACTGTCCACCGTAAAGAGTTTCTTCCCTTCGTTAGAGGGAAAGGGCTGTATTTTCAACTCATTTCACAAAACAAAAGTATCTTGTAAAACCCTCCACCGAAGCAGCCCTACAGTTTCTTAACCCTTTCCAGCCCGATAGCTGGCACAGGATGCTAGTACATGTTTAATATTTATTCATTTTTTGTGAAATTTTCACAACCTTAAGGTAAATGAAAGATCTGCACATCGAAGACATAACATCATGGCCCCACCAATTTAAGACTTGGTTTACCACCCCAGCAACTTTGGGAACTTTTTGTCTTTGTACTGTAATGGTTCAGGTGATATCTCACCACAATCAATGTTCTGAGAGCTGCAATTTAGGCTATAGTTTAGTGGTATACCCTAAATATACGAGGCAAACAAAACATTTCCACGTTTTTTATTTTTACTTTGGAAACTTGTGTCTTTTCAGACTTATCCCCTTTATTCAGTTGAGTAGCGGTTTTGACCAACACCTTATTTGTTTCCTAGGAATGCGACATCTGTTGCGAGAAATTTGAGCAATTCTGGGAAGAGACTAATGAAGAGTGGCATTATAAATCTGCCGTTCGCATTGATGGCAAGGCGAGTTACTATTTTTTCCGTTGTTTTGTTTTCTTTTTCTTTAACTAGCTGTTTCGGTTTAGAGGTTTGTTCAATGTTTTTATGCTGAGTTAAAATTGGGTTGCAGACGTACCATTATTTGTGCTATCAAGACGTCAAAGAGGTATGTTTATTTTTTCATGTGCGCAAAGCTGTTGCCCTAAACACATTTGTAAGTCATGGCTCTTCAATCTATGTAGTTAAAGAGATTGGTTGAAATGTCTTTTGTTTGAGTTCTTGCGTTATATTTTGTGTTATTTTAATCAATTTTAAGACATCGTTGTGTACTTTTGGAGCATACGATTTCCTTGTAATCTAGACTTCAAGCAGTTCTCTTTTTCTCAGACCATTGCGGAAGAAAATGGAGGATAAAAGAAAAGAAAAAATTAAAAAGATAACCAAAAACAATACAAAAATCGGTGCCTTCTTTGTGCTAAGTTCTCGCGCAATGCCCCTTGTTGTTGTTGTTGTTGTTGTTGTTGTTGTTGTTGTATGCGTTACCCGGCTGATTGAGTTGGGAAAGATGATCTGCTTTTAGCTGCTGTGGGGTTCCAATCTAATTGAGATATTCTGTTTTTTCTTCCTCCTTGTTGTAATTCTTTGTCATTATCGTTGTATTTATTGAATAAAAATAACAAATATGATGTTCCTAATTCTTACATGTGTTTTACATGTATCCGTTTGCCGGACTGGAGAGAGACTGTATGGTATGCAGGTGTTGCAGTACAAGTCTCCAGAAACCAGCAGGAATCTAGAACAACTAACGAATCCCTTGCGCATTTTCTTTCTTCTTCCCTTTTACTTTGTCTTTGGTACAATCATTGTACGTTTTGCCTTTTCATACCACCGTGTCACGTCTAGACCCAAATTCAAACAGAAGAGGACGAAAACGAGCTGGAGAAAGATGACGAAAACGTTAACACTTCTTTGGAAGAAAAATCGCCGGCAAAAGATGGAGCAAAGACAGAGCAAAAATCTCCGCAAAACGGTGAAGCGAAGGCAGAAGTGGAACACGCGGGAGGTCGTGATAGGGAACCAAAAATACCTCAGAGTAAAGAGGCGTCCGAAAGCAACCCTCAAAAAGGAGAGACTGATAAATCAGATGCGGAGTCTTCGGCATGTGAAGGAAAGGGCGTGGTTAGTTTGTCTAGTAATGTTAATGAAAATAAAGAAAATGAAACGAAGGGTGATGAAACATAGTCACTCTAATTCAGGGCAGTTCCTTGATGGTCGGTCCGTCTTCCATTAGCATTTCAAACTGCCAAATTACATAAAAAAGAAAGAAAGAAAAATTGTTTCAAAATCATTCCCTCCTTTGTCCCCTGCTTGGAATCCCAGCTGTTGATTGTAATTTCAGTTGTTTCCTTGGCGTGAAAAGCGCGAAAGTTATTAGAGACTTGTTCTGTGCGCATGCTTCTTGAAGAGGTAAACCCCCTCGGCAGTTTTGGTTGCCACTGTCATTTCCCTATGTTCCGATAATTTTTTTATTCGTGATGATTATGTCACCTTATCGACGTTCTTGCGCGCGATGGAAGCCTAACATTGAAGCGTCCGGAGCTCCATCAGATACTCTTTATCAAAGATAATTCGGACTGAATTTTGAAGAAACAGGCTGTTTGAATGGAGTTCAATTTAGCTAACTCAAGAATAAAGATAATCTTCTTGAGGTGTGGTAACTCGCAGTAGTTACTGCTTACCTGATGTACAATGCCTACAAGCTGTGGAAATAAAGAATTTCTTAGAACTTGCTGCTGTTGATTTTGCTATGGTTATTTCTCATTATGTTACTAATAGCAGGCTATCGACCTGACTTGAAATTTTTCATGGATTATTTCTCATTACTCAACATTAGACGAGTTGTGCGTGTAGAATTTCCTCATCAGGATTATTTTCAAGTGGAACTGAAAGCCCGGACCGCTGTTTTTACGATAATTTTTGTATTGTGAAGTAGGTAAAACTTTCGCTGAAAACTTTCGCTCTCGCATGAGTAGCAGGCTCATTAAAGGAACAAGGCACCTGATACCCAGACGTGTTTATGGAAGAATTGCTTGTGATTTTCTTCCTTGTACCCCATTTTACTTGTTTCCTGCAGGACCTGCTACTCAGGCACCAATTATGAGGACTTGCGAACGTGTGGTTGTGATGGTTTCCTTAAATGTACTCTGATCACGTGAATGAAGAATAAAACGTTTTGAACTTTACTACTGACTCTGTTTATTGTTTTGTAGAGCTTGTCTTGAGCAATGTTCAGTTGAGTGTCCAAGATAACACTCGATTGCATTGGTATTGGAATGTTTTTCGATTAAGTGTGGTAGAGCCAAAACCAAATTGATTAGCATATGTAGCCCATTAAGTTTAACCGACCAAACTGCGTTAAGCGCGGGAAAACGTGGCGACAAAGTGGTGATTGGTCTTAATTTTGCATCTGATTGGTTGAGAGAGTGGGGCGAGTTTTTTGGATCAATCACAGAGCTAAGTAAAGCGAAAATAACGCAATCACGGATTACTTCGACACTTAATTTAAAATTGCCCCAGTTGAACATGCCTTACAATTATTATAAGAGATCAGCGGCATCTCCTACAACAATGCGCCGTTCACGCTTTGTCGGTAAAGCTAAAATACACGCAGACCAGGACACTCACACAAGAATAGATAATTAGGAACGGAGCAATAGAGGAGATAACAGATCAACGGAAATTCTTAACCGGGTGTCTAATGCATCCCGCGCTCACGTCTATATAAATTAAATCCCACAAAGGAATGAACTCCACGTCTTAAACACTCTCCTGAGCAGGGGTTTCCGGAAGGATTTACAAACGTGCAAAATTTTCTTTAATCCTTTAATCCCTGAGAGTGACTGGTATCGAATTTATAATTTCTCTCTGAATCAAACATTAAGGTCATGAGAATAAAGGAAATGATAATCAACTGAAGAACCTCTTGATTGTTAAACAAATTCTCCTTACCAGTACATCAGGAAATGTATAGAGAACAGTATGGAGAATATGCATACTGATGTTAAAGTGTAAAGGGTTAGTAAGGTGTCTAATCGTTCATGCTAGCGCCCAAATTTGGTGACTTTATTCTGGATATTTAAGAATCGAATAGTGACAATCTTCTGCGCACCAGTACAAGAAGATTTATTACACAAACAGAATTTCCTAAATTTATGATGTAATAACTTTAATCTGAACATATGCAACGATTTGAAGATTAAATTATTTGTATAAGTGACCACATTACCCATATTGCGAATGATCGACTAGTGCACTTTACAAGAAAAGAACTCTCTGCAAATATAATTGTGGGTCCGCTTCAACCTTTTGGAGGGTTTTGCTCATTGAGGGAGGAAAGCTGTAAAACGGGCCGCAACAGTTTCAAGGAGTTTCTCAAATAGTCTGCACTTGTCGAGGAATCAAGATACAATGTTGTTATTAAAGAGCTGACTGAGTCAGGGTTTTCTGAGTCGTCGGCAGCGGTGTTCAAACAACCTGCGAAATGCGTCGCCAAAATAGAAATCTCCTCTAAAACTGCGTCTGTCAATTTACGCATGCATTGCGCACGCACAAGAGACGAGGTTTCCGTAGCCTGCTCAGCTTGATGGAGTAACAGTTCTGTAAACTTGTGAAATGATTCCACGGTACGAGCCGTGAGCTCCGCCAAGCTTGAAACGGCTGTGTTATAAATTTCAACTCCGTCTTTGCTCCCCGGAGAATCGTCCTGTTCTTTAACACAAGAAGCAATCCATTCTCTTGTCTTTTCCTGTGAATAAATGATCTTGTCCGCAGTAAACGGCAGGTTTAGCGACTTGACATTGTCCAACACGACCGATTTAAAGTCTTCAGCCCCTTCGACATCAGCGTCGTTGTCGTCGTCGATGTGAAAAACTTCCTCCACGGCTCGTAACAAAGGCTTCAGCATGTGAAGCTCGTCTTCCGTTAAATCAATGATGCAGGATTCAAGCTGGAGGCAAAAGGTCGACACAAGCTTAAATGAGTTAAACAATTACTGCAAACAATTTGTAACTAATATACTAGTATCTATAATTCATAAACTTGAACATACCGGACAGACATTTTCTGGGTGTTTTCCATGATTGGAGGGAATTATAATCAATCATGTTGTTATGGGGCGCAAACTTTGATATTGTATGAGAGGAGGGTGGGGGGAAATTGCTTCAAGCAATGCTGTAGCTTAGGGAAATCGAAATTGCATGTGGTGCAGTGTTCTCCCTTAATCTAAGCGTGACAAGTAAAAGAAATTTTAAAACCGTTCAAAAAACCATTTACCCGTTGAATTTTTAAGAATTTCAGGCAGTTTTAGGCGGCAATAAAGGGAATAGAAGTGATAAGTTGTAATGGTTACTGCCTGAAAAGGCAGGCATTAGATGCAGTTGTAGCTGGCACATTGCAAGGTGCAAAACAGGTGGAGTTGTAGCTTGCACATTGCAAGGTGCCAAACTTAATTTACCAAGGGGGAAGGAGGATCTAACAGGGACTGTTTAGTGAATTAAGAGCCTAATGTCAATAATTAAGTCTTCCTGTTGCTCACCTTGGCCTCACTGTCACGTGACAGCATCTCTAGTGCTTCTAAGTGAGCAAGTCCTTGGAATTTGTCAAACTCGCCGCATAAGTCTACCATGGGTGTGGTTTGTTCAGCTTCAACTGTAGCTTTTTGTTCAGATGCTTCTCTGGCCTCTCTTAAAACCTAACAGAAGAAAATTTCAATTTCCTTGAGTAAGACAACTGCCAAAAGCTGCTGTTTTCTTCATTGTTGCAGGATGGTTCATACTGGAAACAAAAACTGTGTCCAAGGCGCATTTACTAGCTTATTAGTTGTCACTACAGAGAATGTGTCTCTGGAAGGAGGTTGCTACTGTGGGACAGGGGTGGTTGAAAGTAGATTTGACTTTCCTCTTGTATCCAGAAACCATATTAAAGACCTCCTCCAACCAATCCCTACCAAATTCATGGTTGCCACCCTTAAAATAGCATATCAACATAATATAGCATATCAGTATTAATCTAATTGCATTCTATCACAAATACTGCCTTCTGATTTGCTACACCACTTGCTATCTATTATGTGATAGATGAAGCAAGTCAATTTTGTAGCCTAACACTGTGTGGTGGTTCACAAAATAGAATAAAGACCCTGTCTTGTATTAAGTTTATAATATATCTAAACTAATACAATTAGATTATTTGCTACCAGTTTCTGTGAAAAATTATTGATTTGCATTTGTCCTCATCGACTTTCACACAATAAGCTCCTACTCTTATTGTTCATTATGAACTTGCCTGAGAGAGACTTGGGCCTTTTCCTGCAATTTGTTCTCTTTTTTGCCTTAGTCCTGGATCACCCTCAGACAAAACAGTCATTGTCTTTTTGCCAATAAACTCCAAAGCACCCAGCCCTCCTGATACCAGCTCAATTCCAGTGCTCTGCACCACACTGGTCAGGTTTGATACACCAAATCCAGAGAAGAAAGAATCACTAGTAGCTGTTTGGTGTAAAAGGGAAAAATTAAACAAATAATTGCAACATCACTTGTCATCAGTGTTATGAAAGTGTTTGCTTGTGCAAAATTATGACTTAACACTTGACTAGCCTAAATTGACAACCTCTAACTCTTTAACTTTCAAGATCTAATTGCTAATTCTCCCCTCTTGCTGCTACACATTTTCATGTAAATTAGTTACTAGAATGTGGTGTTAGATCAATACAACAACTTATACCAGATAAGTTTGGGTATTCTCATCACCTGTTTTCTGAACAACATATGGATATTGTAGGAGAAGTTGCATGTTTAACACTTGTGGGAGTTAAGGTTAACACAGTAAAAACAGCAGTAGATGTGTTCAGGGTAAAAAATTCTGATGTTTATTATGTTTTGGAAAATCTATCAATATCCTAATAAATTCCCTTCTGAAGGTGTAATTTTGGTTTTCTAATTTCCCTTGAAAAGGATGCCTCTTAAAATTCGATTTTTCCTTTATAATGTCCAACAACTCTTCTAGAGTTATGAATGAATACAATTTTCTCAGAAACTAATCTAAGATGCTTATTGTACAAGATTTTCATCTCTTGTTCTTCTGTGGGACTGTTTTCACATACAAAAAATTTCTCCAGAAAGCACCAGTATGAGGTTCTTAAGAAACTGCTCCAATATCCACAACAGAGACAGTAAGAATGAAATAGTTCAGTAAGATAGCCCAGAAATTATCCTATCACAGAAGCAGAAACCACATCTACAACTAATGAATAATCTTGGTCTAACATGCAAATCAAGCATTAAAAACCATAATTTACTGACCTTCAGTGGTGCTATCACCTTTCCTTTCCTCTGAATGTTCAGAATTTTGTTCCTCTGTTACTTTCTCCTTTACTTGTTTTTCTTCTGCTCTCACTTTCCTTGCCATCTCCTCTGGGTCAGGAACACCAAGTGTTGTTTCTACTGTTTCAATAACAGAAGACAACCCTGATGTGACAGAAGCTGTTGCTTGAGAGAGCACTGAGCTCCAGCCTCCCCAACCCCAACCTCCAGAGGTACTGGCCTTAGATGCTTCTTGTACTGGCCTCTCCGATGAACTAGTCACAAAAAATATTTATGCAAGTTTAGATCCTATTTGCTAAAAGCAACCTGAGATCACTTTCTCTTCAGTTTTCTTTCACATCTCTCAACCAACACATTTTGGAAACAAAAAAATCCTGATACATAGTCTGACTACAAAAAATGTTTGTGAATAGCCAAATTCACCATCCTAATTTTATAGAAGAGCTGATGATCATGACTTACCTTTTAAATGAAATCAGTCATGTATTCCTAACTTTCTACGCAGTTAATGTACATAGCATTAGAAACAATTAGCAAGCAAAGATACACAGCCAGGCTTTCACTGAACTTAGGCTCCCTTGACCAATAGCTTTTCTTTTCTGCCCCATCCTACCCTAACCATACTCCCCCAACCATACTCCCCCATCCCCCCCTTACCAAACAATTACCTGTCACGCTTTATATCTTCAACTTGATCACCAGCATTTGATTCTGAAGCCTTCGTCTGCTGCTGCCTTTTTTCAGAGTTTCCTACAGCTTCTACTCTTTCCTTAGCTAACACATCAACCTGGTTCACCGCAATCTGATGATCGTTGTGTTCCATTGTCAAGCTATGGTCTGTAAGCTCTTCTGAGTCGAGTTTGATATTGTCTTCTTTCTCGCTTATAGCAGCAGTTTCCTCATCCTCGGAGGACTTTGATGCCCTAGTTTTGGCGTTTTTCTCGATTGTCTCACTTGACTCAGTAGCTTGCGAATTCTCATCTACAATCTTTTCGGTGGAAGGTGAATTCTCGTCCTGTATCACAGTAGATTCCTCTTTTCTAAGGTATCCCTCTACGATGTTTTCCTGCACTACGTTTTCATCCATACTTGAATTTCGCATCTCCAGCTCTTCTTTTTCGGAACTAATACCACCGTCTGAGGTTGCCTGCCTAGTTATTGAGGCATCATTCATGCCAACTGATTCTTTCGACGTGGAATGTGGAGATCTAATGTCAGCTGACGTGGCGACTGCACGGGTAGAATGTTTACCGTGTTTGGTTCCATCTTCTCCTTCATCGGCGCTTTCGAAAGCTTCTTCTTCGTCGCTGCTGCCTCCCTCTGCATTTCTGTTTCTGATCTCTTTATCCATGCGATGTCTTCTATCGTACTTCAAATAAAACCACGAAATTCGTTCAAAGTGTTTACAGCGTTCTTCAGAGAAAGTACTCGGTGATGGAGCGACAGTGTAAAGACTGGGTCCGAATATTGATTGCCATAATAGCGCGCGGGAACTCCCGCGGGTCTCAGCTCCCGAGTGTTCGAGAACGACAGTAAAACCTGTTCTCGTGTTTGGAACTCGTCATTATTCTGGAAGAGCGATGACCCATAATATTTCAAGGAAAGATGTAGGACAAAATGACATGAAAAAGATTATAACTTAGCGAAACAAGTTTTACGTCAGAATTTTTTCTCTCTCTATTTCTTTACCGAGCTTTAAACTTTCCATCTTTCGTATTCTATTTACAAAAAGATAATAACTTATTTTACGATAAGTATTTAAAGGGTTTTAAAGACTTTTAAGCAATTACAGTTGCTACGATGGACTCCAGGCGATAGAGAAGTAGTTTACGTGAGAATAGATTAATCAAAAGGTATACTTCCTCTATAAAACAAGGTCTCCGTTTCATTTTAGAAATCCAATGAAATCTGATTTGCTTTCTGAGAGGAAAATTAAAATCACTTCACAGAGACACCGCTGGCCATGTTCTCAGTCGCGCACGCTTTGATCGTCATTCCATTGCGGTTTCATTTATCAGCTAAAAGCGCGAAGACTGTCATAAATCAAAGCCAATTAATGTTTGATGTCTAAAAATGAGGTTTTTGTTTCATGCAAATTGCAAGATCTTGAAAGGATGTGAGTTTTATTCTACAGCACAAAAAGGTGAGTTCACTTATGATTTTTCCGACAATTCTTTATATGCCAGCATTTTATATTTTTTTTACCATCAAACTCGTTAATTGACCGTTCATAATTTTAAGTCAAAATTGATTGACCATATGGTGAGATTCACACTGAGTGATTCAAGTCTGCTCTTACTGCTATACAAATGGTTAAAAACATTGGCAAAATATATTACAGCTTCCGAAAATATCTGACAAAATTCGTTTCTTTTTTCAATTCTTTTTTATCCCAACTTCTGCCTTATTCACGCCAGCTGGTGGGGTTGATAAAAATAACAAAAAATTTAAAAAAGAGCGAAATTTAGTTTCCTCTTGACATCGATGAATTTTGCTACATCAAAAAACTACTGACATTACTACAACATCACTTTTGCCCACTAATTATTATATGTTTATTTTAAACATTTTCGAGTAAAAACGTGAAAGTTTTGCAATGCATTCAATCACATGAGCAGTCCGTCTTATTTTTTTACGTAAATGACCGCAAAAAAAATTAAGTTTTTCTGTTCCTTCAAACTGTTTCATTTTTTGCTCTTCACAAATCATCGAAACGAGTATAACAGTAAATTTGATTAAAACTGAAAAATGGTGATCTTTGGACCCAAGACAGGAAATAAACAAAGCTAAATTTTTCAAAATTCCCAGTTATCTCTTTGTGAATCAACCCGCAAAATCAAAGCTGCGAAAATATGTACGCAGATCTTTTTGAAAATCCAACACCTTGACCGGCACCGTCTGTTGTATGCCACTTCGGCGGCAATTACTGTAAGAAACAATTGATAACCTAAACTATTTTGTCTTCGCCATGAACATTTTTCTGTAATCAGCCATTTTGAAGAGCATCTGACAGGGGAAACGTGCGCTTCAAATTGCGTGGTATACATTGAGAAGAGACGGTAATAAAAAGGTAAGTTTATTTTTTTGTTATATATTTTCATTGAGAAGAACATTTTCACCCACCTCTCTCGTATCTTTTTAAAACATGGATCGGGGAGATTGAACGGGAAGATCAAGTCCCTTTAGACGTCACGAAGACTATGCACCATGTGATCATGCAAGCGCAGTAAAAGCTGCAATGAGATAACAACCGAGCTATTCAAACAAAATTCGGACATCGGTTTTCATATTACCGTAACATTTTAGTACGCTTGATTTTCACACTTTTTCTGTGAGTATTCCTCTGAAATGTTAAGAAGTTAAACTAGTTTAAATCTCATACAGAATTCAGTCTCTTAAAACAAAGAAGTGGCAACGGACAGAATATGTATGTTCGCAAGTATTGATGGTGGTTTCACATAATATTTTCCTGGTGTTGAATTTTGTGACCCCTCTATCTCAGTTTATTTTTATCCTTAACTGAAATTGGCTTCATGATTTCGACCAATTTAAGAAAAACCCACGACAACTGTCTTGAGAGAAGTCTGTTAAGCCTTTCTAATACCTAAAGTCGGTGCGCACAAAGTTCTTCCTTGTTAATTCACTATAAGAGTAAAAGTTAAACTATGATATTCAACAACGACATTTCTTTCCTTTACTTATAGATCATTTCTGAGGCGACATTCCCTACGGACTCACGACGTAGAAGTGTATCCGGCCCGTCTTTAATCTAATCCTGATTTACTCACAGAAGAAACCTCATTAAGTATGCAGTCTTCATATGATAAATCGTGGAAATATTCCCTGTTTATGAAAAATCCTAAGGAACGCGCGGGAATTTTGTCTCGTCTCTTCTTCTCCTGGATGAACAACTTAATGAACATCGGCAACAAACGGGTTTTAGAACACAGCGACCTTTACCCACTTCTAGATGAGGACAGATGCAAAGGTCTAACGGAAAAGCTGGAACAAACATGGCACGAGGAAATACGAAACTCGCACATCAAGGGACGAAAGGCACGACTTTCCAGAGCAATGATGAAGGTTTTACCGTGGAGCGACTTCGCCTTAGCAGGTCTCTCTCTTTTCATCGCCGTGGCCTGTAATATTCTACAGCCTCTGTTACTTGGCCTTCTGTTATCTTCAATGCTGCATGGTGGGAATGTGCAATACGACCGCTGGCTGTGTTTGTTTGCTGGTGGACTCTGTTGCAGTGCTTTGTTTCACATACTGGCCATGAATCAGTATCAGAGCAAGGTGGACTACATGGGCATGCGCTGGAGGGCAGCTGCCATTGGTGTCATTTACAAGAAGGTACAAACGATTTTAAAAGGGCAAGATACTTAACTTAAGAAAATTAGGTGTAGACCACGAAGAGAATTCCGTCGTAAATCAGAAACCTGCCGCCAGATCAACCTATTCCTAAACTGTCTCTACTGTCGTGGAACCTAGCCACCAGGTTCTCCCTTACCTAAAAAGAGAAATCCCTGAGAACGAGTTTGACTGTTAAGATGAAATGTGTTTGTCCAACATTATTAAAAGCATTTTTATAAAGAATTGAAACTCGCGAAAAGGCCTAGTCATTAATCAACAGATAGATTGCATGTTGCTATACATCTCAGCGTCTGTTGAGTCAAAAATCTCAGATGACGTTGAAATCTGTTAAGAGCAAAAAAGTGGCTTTTGAAGCGACGCTTCCTTGATGAATATGCTAAAATGATAATTTAGCACTGGTTCAGTCAATATCGCGGACGAGATATGCATAAGATATGCATATATGATGAAAAAAGTGGTCTTTTGATTTTTTCGTATCGTTTACAAGTGGAATTACTGAAATGATCTTTTTAGATGTGTTAAAAATATTTATACACAGAGTAACGTTTGAATTACGTGTATTTCGTGTCTTCCATGAATAACTCAATTTGACTGTTTCTTCGAGCTTTAATTCCAGCGCTCTGAATCGTGGCAAAAAGGATGAAATAACAACTTATATGAGAAATGAATATCTCAACTTTTCTTGCATTCTTCTTTCAATATTTATTTTTTCAAGATTTTCAAGTTACGGCTCAAAGATCTCACGCGGGTCCAACCTGGTCACATCATCGCTTTGATTACCCATGATGCTCAGCGCCTGGATCAAATCTTTCAGAAAGTGGGATACACTCTGCAGGGGCTCGTAGAACTTGTCACCGTGACGGCCCTGATCTGGCGCCTTGTTGGTTTCCAAGCTGTATCCGGTACCATTTTCTTAATCTTCCTTCTGGCCTATTACATCGGTATGTGGGACGTATGTATGAAATTACGCCTGCGCATTGCACGCTGGACGGAGCGGAGAATGGGAGTTATGAAACACATCGTTAATGGAATCCGCGCAATCAAGATGAACACGTGGGAATGGCCTTACAAGAGGAAAGTGGAAGAGATACGAAGGTATGAGAGATCCCGTATGACGCGATGAGAACATTTGAGTAAGTGAACAGAGATGCAGAAAAAATGTAGAGAAATTTATAAACAGGTGATAACTCTTACAGCAAGAGTCGTCTTTGGTTCTAGACGTTGGGAGTTAAGATCAGCAGAGTTATTGTTTTGTGTTCTTAGGAAGAACCTTCGCTCTTCACCCAGGAATTTTAATGAATATTGGTGAACTACCAGGGGAACAAGAGAAAATGGTGGGGGGGAGACCTTGGTGGCGGGGAGGGCAGAACAGTAACCCGAGATGGATGGGTGTCCCATTCAGGGGGAGTTGCAATTCTCATAGTCGCATAATATAACAGAAACCGCAATAAGCCACGGTAGGGGCACCACATTTCTCTATTGAGACATAACCCTTTTACCATACGATAGTCATTGAGATTTGAAAGTCTACAAAAGAAAGTTATGCTTTATATAATAATCGTGCTCCATAGTTCAGTGGAGTTTCCCTGCCTTCAAGGGAATCTATTTAACAAAAACTATTCCAGATACCAAGTATACGAAATTTGCATCAGTGGGAACTGTCAAGATACTTTCGGAATGTGACATTTTGGCTACCTCAGCATAAAGGATTCTTTTGCCTCGCTACTTAGACATGTTTAAACAGACAGGCACAACTAATTCTCAATTAGCATTCTGAGTTAGTTAGTTTCAGTTGCTGATAAATGTAGTCGCCCTCGAAAATATTCATCTACTGAATAAATCTTGATCTTCAACAGGAAGGAACTACAGTATGTCCGCCAAAAGAGTGCCATCTTATCAACGTTTGAGACTTTTCTTCACACAAGCTCCATTGTGGCGTGTTTCATATCTCTAACAGTTCTCATCATCACAGGAGTGGAGTTGTCTACTTACAGTATCTTCATGGTCCTCGCACTGATAAGGACAATCCGTCTGTCTGCCTCATCCAAGTTTGCCGCCGGTGTCAATTTCATCGGTGCCGTGACGGGATCCTTAGGGAGAATTCAAACATTTCTGGAGCTCGAGGAATCTGTGTACTCGGAAGACACGTACAGCAGGAAGAGAACCCGCTCGAAAATCCGCTCCTTCTTAGATTTGACTGACGCCGAGATGTCTAAGTACCTGTCTGCGGAAGACGTGACAAAGATCTCCAATGACATAAGATCTGGAAAGAGCGTCCCACAGTATGAGCCTGTACTGATCAAGCAAAGATCTCTCGATGCACCCGACAATCCTTCGAATGATATTCATGTGACCTTTGAAAACGTGTCTTGTCATTGGGGAGGCGGAAATAAGTCTGTCGTGCTGAGGAACATTACTTTCAGGGCGGCTAGCAAGGAACTGACTTTAATCAACGGTCCTGCAGGGTGCGGAAAATCCTCCCTCCTTGCAGCTATCCTTGGGGAACTTCCTCCAACTGAGGGATACATCTCCTGCGTGGGAAAGATTGCGTATGTGCCTCAGATACCTTGGATTTTCTCCAACACCCTTCGTGAAAACATTTTGTTTGGTAAGCCGTACAATCCATTTAGGTATCAGGCCATAGTTAATGCGTGCAACTTACAGAAGGACATTGACAAGCTTTCGGATGGCGACCTGACTTTCGTGGGGAACAATGGCCTCAGTTTGACAGAAGATCAGAAAGCTCGCATGGGAATTGCAAGGGCAGCATATTCAGACGCCGATATTTATCTGTTGGACGACCCCTTTGCACCTGTCGATGCAAGAGTCGCTGAGCAGGTTTTTGGTAAATGCGTGTGCGGGCTGCTTTCAAAAAGAATACGAATTCTAGCGAGCCGCCAATTACAATACGTTGAGCGAGCGGATCAAATTTTGACCATGCGCGCTGGGACAATTGTAAACGAAGTTACGTCACAGGTGATGGGATACCGGTCCGTGAAGCTCCACTCGCCCGGAGAATCCCGTGAGAGGGAGAGAAAGTGTCCGAGTAACAAGACGGTGGAATTTGCTATCGAAGAGGAAATTCAAGAAAAGTATCGCACACGTTCGAACCTGTTTGAAGAAGAAGAAATGATGGGGCCTGTGTCATGCACAATTCTGTGGAATTATCTCAGAACCGGCGCCTGTCTACCATTCATCGTTGTATTTGCACTGTTTACCTTTGTCGTTCAAGGTAAGAAATACAAGAGAAATAAAGTCTTACCGCAAATACAGGGATAATTCAGGAACAAGGTTCTAGACCAGCAGTAGAGTAAGTGTGAGGATCGTCCATGACAAGCATCTTCCTGAAATTTTAGGGGTATTCTGTAATATTTCGCTATAGTTAATAAACACTTTCTTACTAATGAAGAGCGAAACACGTGCATCCTAAGAACTCCTGATTTTTCCATGGGGGTGCACGATTGTTAGCATAACGAAAACTGATTCGAACCAATTTTTCAACAAACTTATATCAGCATGCTTAGCAAGATCGGCATCGCTCTGCTGCTTTCATTTAGCTTTACCTTTACCTATTTAATGAATGCGACTAAAAAAAGTTTGGGGATAGTTAAAATTCTCTTCGTTCTACAGGAGCCATTCTCATCCCGGACATGTGGCTATTGCGCATGAGTGAGTCTGCTACTCTGTTGAACCTCGATCAGACCACTTGGTATATTTATGCCGCTATGGTGGGCGGAGTATTCATGCTGTCAATCATGCGTGCTTCGTTTTTCTTCGCTACCACCTTACGTTCATCCGAACGCCTTCACCAGAATATGGTTGTTTCTATTCTTCGTGCACCAGTCTTATTTTTTGACACGAATTCAGCCATTAGCATTTTGAACCGCTTCTCAAAAGATATCGGGTGCATGGACGAACTTTTACCAAGTGTATTTCTGCGCGCCATTCAGATAACCCTATTCGCCATCTCAGCCTTTCTCCTCCCAGTGGTTCTCAATCCGAGCGTACTTTTAGGTGGAATACCGCTGTTCGTTTTGTTTCTCTTATTATGGGCTTACTCTCTCAAAACCGCGCGCCAAGTTAGAAGACTGGAGATCAGCTCTCGAAAGCCAGTGGTATCTCATTTCTCGGAGACATTGATGGGACTGGTGACGATCAGGACTCACAGTATGCAGAAGTCCTTCACAGAGGATTTCTATGGGTTCGTGTAAATTTTTTCAATTAAATTTTGCATAACATGATTTAGTATTATCTGACGTTATCTTAAACGCTGCCTCATCATCAACTACACCGACACTAAATGACTTAGTATCTTAAACCAACACCTAATGGTGTCTGTATATAATTAACTTGAATAATTCCGGCTATTACTACTTTAAAAACAGTACTTTAATGCTGACAGTCGAATGTCTCTGCATTGGTACTCTTCTAAAGGTGTATTTTTAATGAATCAAAGACAAAGGAAAGCTAATGAGTTATGCTACTCTTTCCTGTGTGTCTTGGGAAACTTTTTACGTTCGGAATTTAAACATATGAAAGCCTTGTCTCTCTCTTTTTCCAAGGACCATGACACAATAATAATTCTATTATGTGATAATTATTCATATCATAATAAAACTCGCGGTTTGATTTCTGTTAGTTACCAAGATTCACACAGTCAAGGATGGTGCATGACTACCTCATGTTGGAGCTGGATCGGGTTCCGCCTCGACTCAGTGTGCGTACTCTTCATTGTTTCAGTGGTTGCTGGAGCGTTTTATGTGAAGCTGGATGCAGGTATTTTTGAATGAAAGTAACTGCCGCTTTTTTCATACAGTAAATTGTTTTTAGAATGTTTTACTGAAAGCTATAGAAACAAAATGAACTGGTCAGGAAGCCGGTACCTGCTTCTCTGTACCTTAAATTTCGATTTTAAAATATAGCTTTGGGCCCTTCAATTTACCTGGACTTTTGAAATTTGACAATCGGGCCCCTGGTCTCAGATTATTTAAAGATAATATGTAATATATCTATTTGGCATCGCCTGAAATCGATTGTATCGACTGGTTACCTCGGGAAACAGTACGAGTACTTTGTGAGGGTGACTTGGTAAACATTTAAGAGATTTTGTTACTAAAAGTCTAATCCTAGCTTTAAACTGTTTCAGCCAGCACCATTCTGTCACTGATCTACACCCTTCAGTTGTTGAATGATGTGTCGCAAAATGGCGTCAAACGTTCCTTTGAAGTTGAAAATTATATGAGTGCTGTTTATCGCAACTTGGCCTGCGCAGAGATTGTATCAGAACCTGGATACGCCATGGAGATCCAGCCTCCAGTGCCATGGCCAAAAGACGGCGCAGTTTCCTTCGAAAACATCTCCTTGAGCTACAGTAGAGAAGGGTCCAGGGTATTAAAAGAAATCTCCTTTGATGTGTACCCTGGGGAGAGGTTTGGCATCACAGGACGTCCCGGAGCTGGAAAGTCGTCTATCATAAATGCACTGTTTCGATTGGTCCCGGACTGTGCAGGTAAGATAATGATTGACGATGTCACTATTAACAACCTTGACCTTCAAAGGAGTAGGCGTGGCATTTCAATTATTACCAAGGAGCCAATCCTCTTCATGGGCACACTACGCATGAACGTGGATCCATTCCTTAGCCATACCGAGAGGGAGATCTGGGAAGTCCTTGAGAAATGTCATTTGAAGTCCTGGGTCGAGAGCCTTCCCAAACAGTTGCAACAGGACCTCGCTGATTGTGGAGCTACCCTGGGTCCAAGTGAGCGCCAACTCATCTCCTTTGCACGTGCGCTTCTTCAGAAAAACAAAGTCATTGTAATAGACGAGGCGTCGTCCACTGTGGATTACAGAACGGATCGCCTCATTCAAGAAATTATCCGAAACTGCCTCCTTGACAGCACTGTCATTACCATTCCTCATCGTCTGAGCACGATTATTGATTACAATCGCGTGATGGTGCTTGACCGCGGAAAAATCGTGGAGCTGGACAAACCGGAAGTGTTATTGAAGAAGGATGCAGGTTACTTCGCGCATTTGTATGGAAATCAATATCCATCGTAATCTCTTGTGCGCAGACCTCCTGCGTGTGCCCACACAAGTTGGACCTTGGTGCGAGATCTAGTGAGTTTTATCTCATTCTACAATAGGGAGTATATAGAGTTATAAGATAGCTAAGGGAAACTATAGTGAGTGCGAAGATTTCAATCTTCTTTGATAGCCAAATTTACTTAAATAAGAACAAATTCTGTTTTTGACAATTAAGATTACTCGTGTAGTCAGTCGTAGTACATAAGGGTATTTTTCTCCTGATCTAAAAAATGTTTTTTATTATTTTTGTGACACTATAATAACCTTGATCTTTGAAGGTTGATTTTAGGCTAAAATGCCACTGGTTAAAAAATTATAACGTCAAAGGTACCTTGTTATTTTCGTCAATGACAGATTAATCTAAATATTGAAGTTCATTCGATCTACGCCAATACATCAAAATGTCATTGAACTGGAGAGCAGAGTTTTGTAATTTCGTTATATGATAATTAGATCATGATCAAGCTAAGAACTGAATAAACTGTTGTCACAAGTGATTTTCCTCGTTAAACGTCCGTATTATTGGTTTCCCTTACGGCCCTCCATTTCATTAGTCGCAATGCGCAATGAGTTATGGCTCTGTTGCATGTACTTGCAATGTTGTATTGTTATCTGCCACATGCACTGCAATCGCGACTTACGTTTTGTGTACATGTTGTTATTTCTGCTGTGCTCCCGTTGCGGTGCTCGCTATGAACCCTTTAACTCGCAGAAGTGATTAACATGTAACTTCTCCCTGTAATATCTATACATTATTCAGTAAAAAGGTTACGAGAATACTCAAACATATTAAGTAGAAGTTGTTATTTTGATTTAACTCCAGATTCTCTTAAATAATTTGCAAGGAAATGTGTAGGAGCCAGAGGGGAGAATTAACAATCAAATCTTGGGTGTTAAAGGGTTATTAGATTGTGTTGGATGCTAAGAACCGATTATAACCTGATTTTTGAGAAGTCAAAGCCATCTGCACAGTTCCTCGACTACACCACCATCAAAGTAAGTATTCAGCCCCGCTCGCCGACATGACGATAGCAAGAGAATAAATTGGAAAGATGTTGGTGACAGTACATATAGGCAACTTACTTTTATTGAACGGAAGCATTTTGGAATGAGATATAACTCTTTTTCATATCTATTTGATAGCTCAACCTTAATTCTAAACAATTACATTAAAGCAATAAAACTAAATGACAGCTGAACACATGTTCCAAGATGATAAAAACCAGAAGAAATCAATATGTTAAGCTGATGTTTCTAAAAGGTATCATGAAAGGGTTTCCCCCAAGAAAAATACTTAAAAGGAAGTCTGCCAAAAATTAGCAATTAACTATTCTAAGAAGTATTTCCTTGTATGATGAAATTTACTCAAAGCCAAACCCTTCGGAAAAACAACCTGAGTTATGCGTTGATTCTTAAAGTGCTTTCATCAGATCATATATAATAACCACTCTTAAAACTAAACGATGAACAGGAAACAATAGGATCCCGCCGAAGGTGACTAAATTAATTTATAGAACTATAATCATAGATAATAAGTCTATTCTAAAATTATCAGAAATTTCCTGAAAGCCGATTACGGATCCGCTTGTCTGTATTAAATCTAATTAGAAGATGTAAAAGTAGCTCTTCGAGATGATTATATTAGTTTTGCGATAACCCTAAACGTGCTATCACCATATAGCATAATAACCACTCTTGTAACTAAACAATGAAAAGGAAACAGTAAATTCCCTTTTTCATCGAAAATTACCGCCGAAGGTGACGACAATGATTCATTAGGGACTGGTCTTTATTTATCGGCCATGGGGGTGGAGGAGTTTGGTTGACTCACGATAAGTTCACCTGCTCCACCCCTAAGGCTCTGTGATATTCTTGTGATCCTCTTCTCCTCATTGGCAGTTCATCGGCAGTCAATTTTCTGTAGTCCGCCCTTTGTACTCTGTTGGCGACGACTGACCCCCCCCTTCTCCCTGAAAATCACGTGATCCTCCAAAATCCTTCGCCCCACCCCAGGCAAAAAATACTAACTGATCCCTTGAAAAAAGGGAATGATTATACTTTTGTTTCAGCCGGAAGTTGTGTTTCCGGCTTCGCTACTGTGAGATACTCACTTTCTTGCACTGGAAATGGCAGTTGATTAGACTTTTCGTCCTTGGCTGGCCTTATACTCCCCTGTACATCAAGCCTTTCCACATCATTATTGCCAGGCTTTTTACATGCTTGCCTTGTACGTCTTTTTTTCACGATAAGGATAAGCGCCACCAGCACTAAGATCATTAATGGAACTCCAATTGCAACGCCAATCATCTTACCATGTGATGAAGAAACATCTTTCGTGGAAGCTGAATCCTTTTTAAAGTGCTCTGTGACTGGAGTGGACGCTTGCACTTTTGTTAAGGTTGCCGAAGATGAGGCGGAGAGATTGGCCTCCGCGTCCAGTACCCTTTTACTGACACTCACATTAGCTATCACCTTGCTACACTTCTCTGATCTAAGCTCGCTGCACTGCTTGTTTTTAGGCACCTCCGGCACTTGACACTCTGGCTCAATGATGTCGTCCGTGTCGTTGCAGCAAGCGGAACACGGTCTACACATGCTAAGCATATCTTCTGGGTAAGCTCCAAGCTTACAGTTCGTCCCGCACACTGCCTCAGAGGTCAGGGTGCAAGGGCTGATAGTCTCTCGATATTCTCCACAATTCATACAACTCTTGCACGCCCCGGCTTCGCTCTTAGATGAATAAGTTCTGCCTAGCTCACATGGCTTACAAACGATGGGTGTCTGTGGCGATATTATATCATCACAGTCCACAGAGAGACCCTGCCCCGCCGGACACACCAAGCAGTCCTGGCACTGAACTTGCCCCGTTACCGAATCCCAGATGGTTATACTGTTACCTGGACATGATGAGGCGGAGGCAGACATCCAGAAGACAGACACCACGGTCATGTATGGTATGCCGAAAAGTCGATTAGAAGAGCACATCAGAAATCTCAAAGCTAAAACTTTTAGAGCTGTTCAATTCAGGGCTTGGGGTCGTGCTGAAAAAGAAAGTCATTTTGAGTCAAGTGAGCTCAAAAGCAGCTGCTTTATTGGCAACAGATGGGTTGGTCAGAAGAACAAACGTGAGTAAGATCTGAAACATTGAGCGACAACGCGGCATTACAATTTAATAGTTGGTAGGATGTCCGCATGCAGTAGGGTATGACATGATATCGATTCATCTGTATTATCAGCTGGTAAGACCCCTATTTCCTCGAATAAAACAAGGTGTTCGGCTAATAGGTAGCATCCTCATTAAAAGGAAAGGTGCTTAATTGGAAGGCATTGATCATTGCTGGAGCTAAAAAGCCCTCAAATGAGAGAAACAGAAAGGTTTTCCTTCTGCCCCTTTTATCATTTTAACCAGAAAAGACATTAGGAGGGGAGATGGCGCCTAATGGAGAGTGGGTGCTAATTTCCCATTTTGGTCAAGGTGTGTAAACGTCTGAGTCCTTGTCGGTTGCAAATCGTATCGTATCGTATCGATCGGCGGCGAAAATCACATGCGATATAAACCAACGATCAAGTTCGCAACGATCAACGATTAATTAGTGGACATTTGATTTGATAAACTTTAACATAAAGCAAGTTTATTGATTAATGAATTCACAACGAAAATCAACAGCATCCCCTTCTTGGAGTTTTCATATTGGGTCAAAGAAATGTATCAAAGAAAGGCCCTTACATTGTTTAAAGCCTTGCTTAAATTAAAGCGAACTGAGTCCTGAAATCTTGGATCGCTTGCTAACGATAGTGTTTTTATTTCCTTTCGGGAATCCAGCGAACTGAAATATAACAGTAAATTTTCCCAAATACATCGATTAAAAACAAGACAGGGACCTGGTTATCCTGGAAACGAGTTCTGAAATCATTCCAAATAGCATTATCTCGTTTGCAAGTGCGCAACTAATGCAAATCCCAGGCGTTATGATTGCGACGGGGAAACCAACGAAATGATGAGGAGGACGGAAACGCGAACACTAGAAGTCGAAGAAGAGTCGTGTCCAGACTCTCCGCGCGCTCTTCCGTTCTCAAATGACGCTCCCGTTCTCTTGCTAAATCTCTTGTATGGATGGACGACGGCTCTCTTCCTTAGAAAGAGAGGAAGTTCTCAGAGGCATTTCATCGTTTGAGCAGAGTCGGATAGATAGCACACAGTTTGCGATTCCTTTTGTCTTCAGAAAAGGTAACAAAAAGCTCAGAATCTACAATGATTATGGCCTTCTAAGATCTAACACGCTTCACGACAACGTGAAGGCAATATGCTGGGGTCAAAGCTGATTCGACATTCCTTAAATGATCATAACCGCAAGGGAACCACTATGCAGCGCTTCCAACCATACAGGTTGTATGTGTTTAGAGGCAAATGTATGAAGCAGTTAAGCCTAAATGTTTTAAATCTATCTGGGTAAAGTCATTCAACACGAATAGACCAGAAGAAAGTGAGATTTCGGTATCGTCTTAAAATCGTTTCACATCTAAGCCTCTATGTCAGCTAAGGTATAAAGCAATTTTATATTCCGTTTACAGCTGTAGATTTTGGGTTTCCCAAATGCGGTAATGACACGCGACACGCGGGTTATCGGGAAGATTTTTTTAAGGTCAGTCGCAAACAAATAAAGTTTTCTGATTTTGGTTGTTGCGCACTTGCGTTACAAATCGTCAAAAACTGACAAATGGTATCAATCATCACTGTAACATTTTTTACATTCAGTGGTTCCGGAAGTTGAAACCGTACATTGCGCAATTGACGTGAGTCGGTTAGAGGCATTCAGGCTCCTTTTATTTTTTTCATCTGTTTGCGCATACAGCAATTAGATAAGAACAAAATTTGTTTTAAAAAGTTTTTAAGGCCTAAACCATTCTGAGAAGGAAAGATAAATAATTGAAAATTGGAGGGCATCTGTGACCCTTGTAAAAAATATCTTGCATACCGTGACCGTGGAGAACATCTTTAAAATTTACCTACACTACTAAAATTGCGGCGAACACAACTCGAACTGGATAAAATGTGAGACTTGTGAGGAAAGCCAGTAAATTTAGACAAGGCCAGGAACAGAACATCTCACCAAGACAGTGAGCATTTCGATTGAAAAATGGAAAACAAAATACAAATAAGTCATATTTCCGGCTTATGTAGCAAAGTCACGAAATTACACCAGCTGGCTTACAGGCCCGCCATAAACAGAAAAGTTCGAGTCATGATTCTGAATAACAACCAGCCTAGTGGCGACATGAAATTCTGAATTAACTCAGTCACAGTTTCTCGGGGAAAGGTTGAAATTAATCTTGAATATCAGGAATATACTATAAAACAGCGAACGCAACAGTGAAAGTGATTGATTCGCGTGACCACTATGGTTAAATGTCTCTTCTCATTTTCAGCTGATCCAATGAAACTTTGAGTTTCCGTTTCTTGTACAGTCACTCTATTCTCTTTTGTTATTCTACCTTTGGACGGAATTCGAACGCGTTCGAAAAGGAAATTGCAAAATAATCTTCAAGTTCTTTAAGCCTCAAAATCAATAAAGTTGAAACCGCAAGAATAAGAATGTTTTGCACATTCAGCGTTTCAGCAGTAAATGTACTTCATCGTCTATATCCCTCACTTGCGCAATCCAAGCACTTTGTCAGAAGATTCTTGTTGCTTGTTTCTTGATTCCCTCTCAACAATGGATGATTTACCAATAATCGGATCCTTGCTTTTGCGCACAGATTTTTGGGATCGCCACGTGGCAAACAATACAACTCGCTAAAAAGGGATGTATCATGAAAGGTTTTTCCGACTTCCAAAAAAACGATTTTGATATGTTTGTGGAGTTTCTTGTTGTTTTCTTCTAATGTTCGATTCGGTCGATCGAGACGTTAGCAAGAATAAAAAGCTAAGGGGTTGTCCTATCTGTCACTATGTGGGCACCCAGATCGCCAACAGGGAATTGCGATAAATTTAGGTCGCGAGTTGCGAAAAAAATCGCATAAGTCCTTTACCCTATATGGAAAGATTTTCTCAAACTTTCAACTACTCAAACACTAAAGTCGCGAAGCGCCGGATGCAGTGAAAAGGATGTCATAAGCAATATATGCGCTTAGTCAGCAAAAACCAACGGCAAGTGATTGAATCATTTAATGTTTGTAAGCTGCACATGAATTTTCCTCCTTCATCAAAGTTAATACAAAAGGTGATGCTATTATCATCAAATCACCTGCAAAATATTCTCGGGTCCATTAACAAAATTGTTTCAGCAATGTCTCAGACGTCTTAGGACAGCAACGTATAAAGAGTCTTTATTTTTACAAACCGCAAAAGATAGTCAGCGCTAAAAAAAGAGGTAAAATATCTCGTGATACATGTCGCAATCTTGCGACACAAAAGAATAGACTAGCATGCCCAGACAAATAACGTCCCTCTTGCCGCTGTCTAAGCGAGGATGTTGAACTCCCTGCGCAAAGTGGTCCAGTGGCACGCAACACACGGAATATAAGTCTTTTAGGAAGCTCTTATTTACGGTATAAAGAGAGCACAGTTTTCAGGTCTTGATTGAATCACTCGATCATTCTTAACGCAACCACTATTCCAAGCATCGAAACCCAAATACGGAAATACCAATCATGCCAATTCCATTACTATGCTCTTATTAAACCTCGGTGTTTCCCATACCATACTGAAACTGTTGCACAATATTTGAGATTAAAAACTTTTAATGCTGTTCGTTTGCTTTCATCTTCTTTCGCACAAAAAAACCGAACAATTAAAAAAACACTAAAATTATTTTAAGGCTTAGACTTCCTAGGAAGTAACAGATTTTCGCAAGGACATAAAACCTTGACTTACAACTTCATGAAGTCTCGCTGATGGAAGTTAGACGTATTTTTTTTTTCTTGCTTAAAAAACCGGGGAAGGGAAAATGGAAAGAATCAGCCTACCTCTGTGTGGTCTAAAATCGTCGAGCTAACACAGCAAATGGACTGTTAAAAGAACGCCTTTCTGATCACGAACACGCACATCGCAAAGAAATTGTGCCCTTTCGTCTGATGGTCTTTACCATGTAATAAGAGATTATACACTGTATACAGTTGAATCTGTATTAAGCAGTTACTCACGAGGAATGCTGGGGAAAAAGTGATCTTTGGACCCAGGACATAAAACAGGAAATAAACAAAACTAATCAAAAGGGTTACCCCCGAAGGATCGCCACCTTGTTGTGGTCGGCGGGCTTGAGTGCCTCAGAGACCCTTAGAGCCATGCCGGCGGGAGCTTCGTCTCATGGTAGGGCCACCTAAGCCGGACAGGTCGAAGGGTAAAGGTTCGACGAAGCGCGATCCACCGGTCCTCCAGGTTAGGGGTTTGGGCACAGAGCTAACAGCCCTGTCCCGTAAAACACCCACGTTACGGAAACGGCAACGAAGAAAATCATCACTACTGGGCGAGACGGGCTTTCAGAGTCATCGAAACATATTCGTATGAATGACAGTGGTGAAAGCCGAAAGGAAACCGCTGACAGGAAGATGGAAGACTTGAGCGCCAAATGCAAGACCAGAATTGGATTCTGGAATGTAAGAACTGTATACGAGACAGGAAAGCTGGCTCAAGCCACAGCTGAGATGGGACGTTACAACCTACACGTCTCTGGAATTAGTGAGAGCAGATGGACAGGTTCAGGCAGACACAAAATCAACACAGGAGAGACAGTGCTATATTCCGGAAGAGAAGACGATCAGCACCATGAGGGAGAAGCCATCATCCTCAAGAAAGGTCTCGAGAAGTGCCTGATGGAGTGGAAGCCAATCAACAGCAGGCTCTTAAAAGTAAGATTGAAAGGGAGACACATCAACACAACTATGATCCAGTGTTACGCACCAACAAACGACTCTGAGGAAGACAACAAGGACACTTTCTACGAACAGCTTCAAGCAGAACTGGAGGACACACCACGTCATGAGATGAAGATTATGATGGGAGATCTCAATGCAAAGGTTGGAAATGACAATAGGAACTACGAAAGGGCCATGGGGAAAGAAGGATGTGGCACCATGAATGACAATGGAGAGAGGCTACTGGACATCCACACCACCCATGATTTTGTCATTGGAACGTTCTTTACACACCGGGACGTCCACAAGCTGACCTGATACTCCCCCAATGGAAGAGACGAGAACCAGATCGACCACCTGATGATCAACGGGATGTGGAGGCTATCACTGCTAGACGTCCGAGTGAGAAAAGGAGCTGATGTGGGAAGTGACCACCACCTTGTGACTGCTACACTGAAGCTGAAGCTAAGGAAGACCGGATCCAGTCCGAGAGAGCGACAACACTTCGGCGTGGTGAAGCTGCGAGACCTTAAACTAAAGACTGCCTTCACACTACAGCTGAAGAATAAGTTCCAGGTACTGGCAGATGCTGAAGACCAGACGCAAGAAGGCTCTGGAGATATCAATGCGAAGTGGCAACAGCTTAAGATACCCTACGAGCAGACCTGCAAAGCCTGCTTTGGAACAAAGCAGAGGAAAAGGAAGAAGTAGGTCACAGAGGATGCCTGACAAGTCATTGAGAACAGAAGAACTCTCAAGAAGAAAGTCTTGGGGGCCGAATTAGAGCAACTGAAAGAGAGATACAAGCAACAATGTAAGGAAGCGAACCGAACAGTGAAGAGGATGACAAAACAGACAAGCGGAGCCACATAAACGACCTTGCAAGCCAGGCAGAAGATGCAGCAAGCAAGGGAGAAAGGTAGAGTCTATAGGATCGCCAAGCTGGTGTGTGGTAGTTACAGTGAAGGCACTGACGCTCCGATCATGGACAAGCAGGGACGACTTCTCACGACAGAAGCCGAGCAAGACGCACAATGGACGGAACACTTCAATAAAGTTCTGAACAGAACACCACCACCAACGGAGGCAGATATACAAGAGGCAGAGACAAACCTGGATGTCAACCCGATCCCCCAGGAAAAGAAGAGATCATAGCAGCTATCAAGTCCCTCAAGAACGAAAAATCCCCTAGACAAAATAATCTCGGTGCAGAAGTATTTAAAGCAAATCCACAGCTAGCAGTATACCTGCTCTTTACAGGTATCTGGGAGGGGAAGAATCACCTGACGATTGGACAGAGGGAGTCATTGTGAAGATTCCGAAAAAACGTGCCCGCAACAACTGCAATAACTGGCGAGGAATCGCCTTACTATATAGCTATCTGTACCCAGCAAGATCCTGGCCAAGATCATCATCCAGCAAATAGCCGACACAGTGGACCAACAACTGAGAAGAGAGCAGGTAGGGTTTTGGAAAGGAAAGGGATGCACAGATCAGATCTTAATCCTGCGTAACATCATAGAGTAGTGCACAGAGTGGCAGAGACAACTCTACATAAACTTTGAAGACTTTGAGAAGGCTTTTGATAGCGTGCACCGGGAAGTCTGTGGCGCATCCATCGGGCCTATGGGATACCACAGCAGATTATCGACATCATCAAAAGCTTCTACAACAACTTCACATGCAGAGAAGGCAACAGCGAAACCAACTTTGAAGTGAAGACTGGCGTCAGACAAGGCTATACAATGTCGGCGATGCTCTTCAACATGAGTACTGACTGGATAATGAGGCGCACAACAGAAGATCAGTCACGGGGCATAAGTTGGATCCTCTCCTTAATGCTAGGGGACCTAGATTTTGCAGATGATCTTGCCTTGGTCTCCCATACTCAACAACACATGCAGGAAAAGACGACCCGACTCAGCACTTGCGCACAGCAAGTTGGCCTGACGATCAGCCAAAAGAAGACAGAAGTGATACTGCTGAGCGTGTCCAAACCTAGACCAGTTTAAGTGAACGGAGAAGACCTGCCAACGACTCAAGAGCTCACTTACCTGGGCAGCACAATAAGGCATGATGAAGGAGCTGGGAGTGACATCAAGAACCGTCTCAACAAGGCCAGAAACGCCTTCAGAAGCTCAACAACGTGTGGAGGTCCTCTCAGTACAGCACCAAGACCAGGCTGAAGATCTACCAAAGCTGTGTGATATCCACCCTACTATACGGCTCTGAATGCTGGAGGATGACAGAGTGCGACATCACCAAGCTGTCAGACTTCCACACTATGAACCTCAGGAGAATCCATACAAATGGTGTAGCGTTTCGTTGAATAGCTTGCCATCATCAGACGCTCTAGTTGAATATTAAATTGCTTAGGATTACGTGAAATATTTCGATGTTGTGGCGAATCGTCAAGCTTGCTTGTGGCGTGACGCGAAGGCTATCTCGCGGAAACCACCAAAAATACAAACCGTAAATGGAACAGCGATTTGCTGGGGGGCATGATATCCTTGATCTGTTTTGACATTTTTCAATCAAAGTAGTATCAGAACGCTTTAATTGGTGTACCGGTATGTATCCGCGCTAAACCAACTCGGAAAAATTATTTCTTTTGCAAACACTACTTTTGGAACGCGGAAAAAAACCGTAAGTTAACTTACTAAGTTAACCTAACTGAATTTACAAAGTCTACATGCTAATGTTAATACCATACCTGCCTACCTTACACTTCTACAGGAGATAGACAACTCCTTGGAAATGCAAAGGAGGAGGTAACAGCAATATATTTGTGTTTTCCAGTATTACAACTGTAAAATCCTCCAATTCCATCGCACAAGTTTCCAACCCATCTTAATTTTTAGTTGAAGAAGTTATGATTTTGTTTTATAGATCATTTATTTGTAATATTATTCTAGCTCAAATGAATTTAACAACCCATCAAATTATAGTAGTCAGATAACCCACATTTTAATAGTATTATCTCAACATTATAGGAAAAGCTCGCGGATGGACAAATGGAATTGGCTGCCTTTGAGAAAGCCAATGGACCACCATCAGTTCATTTGGATGAGGTTCTCAAGAAAACGAATGTCGAGAGACAAGCTTACCAAGGAAAATCATTCATTGGTAACCATATACACACTTGCTGCAAGGTAACACAAATTCTACCCTTAGAGAAGGAATTTGTTGAGTCACAAAATTTTATTAAATTGTTGCGGTGTTTTTTTCCGTAGGAAGACAATATCATTGAACTTTGCAGTGCTGTGGTGACAAAAACAGAGGAGCTGTGTCCTTCCTTCCTTTCTCAAGCTAGAGAAAGAAGTGTTAAATTTGAATAAGTTTTCAGGTTATGTGCTGCTTGCCACTTTTTCTATGACAGTGCAGACTATCTCAATGATGGCAAGATTGATAAGCTAGGTACGTGAAAGAAAAAACCTGACTTTCATGGAAAACATGAATACAATAATAAGATCATGTCTTAAGTCAGTTCCGCCTTTTCTTGTTTTCTTGTTGCAGCGGAAGACATCACAAATTTTCTTCAGTTCATTAGGGAAAAATTCCCAGACATGACGATCACACCAAAACTCCATATGCCCTTTTCTTCGACAATGGCACATGAGCCTTGGATTCTAAGATGAACAAGGGTGTGAAGGAGTACGCTCCGAATTTAATACCCAGTCCCAGCATTTTGACCATCTGAAGAAAAAGGACACGAGATTACGTCAAATCCTTGTTAACCACCACATTGCCACGAGTGCGTAACTGACAGGGAAAGTTCCCAAACCTAAAGAGAGAAATTTAAAACAAAAAAACCAGTGAATAAAACTCTTTCCTTTCACTAACAACGTATCGGTTCGTTGACTAAGAGCGAGTACTATTTAGGTAAATCTAGTGTAATTTATTTGCCCAAGTTCTAATTGAGACGAATAAAAGTGTTACCGAACTCTTTGGAACCAAAACTAAAGCTTTCCAGTCGTTTTCAGATTGTTTTGCTTGAAATTCAGTACCTCCGAAATTCAAAACGAAGTCGCATAATGGCCGATCTTAACTTATCAAAAAGGGCCTCGAATGGACTCTCAAACAATTCGGATTAAAACACTTACCTCTGTCAGTTGTTCAATAAGGTTTCAAGTCTTCTCTAGTGACTCTTGGTTTGCTGGGAAAAATTGGGGCCTTTTCCAAATTGAAATCAAAGTTTTCAGTCGATTTCGTAGGGTATGCTTGTTGGACTCCAGTACAGCAACGTGTTTTCGTCGAACACAGGCAAAATTTGACCGATTTTACTTAAATGTTCGACAGCAAGCGCCTCTTTTATGTACATGCATCCGCGTGCTAAATTTCGCTCGCATACATTGCATACGCAGCAAGATTTCATTGGCTAAACTAGATCTTGGCCCGAGGGGTTGCCATGGACGCTTGATTTATGCAAAAAACATAATTTGGTATTAACCAGAGAAGTAATTATTAACTCGATGTTTCTTGTAGACCGCATGCGCGAACTAAAATTTCCATCCATTAAGTTTGTCCTCTTTTTTCCTTGCCGATATTGCATTTATTCGTTGTCGTTCATAAAAGTGTTAACTCGTTGTCAGCCAATGAGAAGCGCGCAATTTTATGTTCAAATCATGGTATGGCATATTTGTAAGCCCCTAAAGAAAAAAAAATAAACAGGCAGCGACTGTTCCATAGAAAATTAACTACAAAGCTTTTTATTCATAATCGCACTTAAGGTAAACTCGAGATGCAAGGTAACCCAAAACCATTACGTTCTAACACGGGTAAAGGACTAGACCCTAATAGAAGTAGCATATTATGCTACTAGCATTGCTATGCACTTTTTTCCGTAAAGTATGCTTTTCAAAAAAAACACAAATAAGTCGAAACTATAGAGTTTACATTGGACAAAGCGATACAGTTATGCCCCAATTTCGATCAGGCAGTAAATTGCTTATTTGAAAATGTATCCAAATGGCAAAAAACTTAAGTGAATCCGTTAGAGACTAATCAATCACATGAATGACTAGAAGAGTTATTCCCATTGAAATTATGTTATTTTTCTCCGAATGTGCCAGTGTCATTTACTGATTAAGATCACCGTTCACTTAAAATCACCAGGCATAAAATTTACCATCTTCATTTACATAATCATTGCGCATAAACATTACATATCGACAATCCTATCCTAGCAACAGCTAAGCCTGCCGCGAGTCTCCCATAGCTCAGTGGTGGACCAAAGAAATTCATTTATATATCAAGCAAAGTTTGACTCACAGTATTTAAAGAACTGTTGTTAACTTAAAAACGCATAACACTCCGTCTAGTTTACGTAGGGGGCTCGTTTCTCGAAGGTCCCGGTAAGTTAACGGGCCTATAAAGCTGTTATGTTTTTATTCTAGATGGAAGTTTTAAAATTTTTGAAAAATTATGCAATAAAACTATCAGCTAAGGAAACAAGATGGACAGGTTAAGGTGAAATGACCAGCCTCTCTATTCCTTAAATTTTGATTTTTAAATAAGGCTTCGAACTTGTTAAGTCAGCAGGACTTTCGAGAAACGGACCCCTAGCCTGCTAAGTATTCATTAACAGAGTATCGCTTTGTCATAAATGTTCGTTCGTTTAGACACTGCGAGATCATCACCCGAGATCATCATCCGATGGACAATGAACACATTCAAATGGATACAAAACCGGTGTCATCGAATTTCGAGACTGAAAACCTGAAGTATTATTATCTATACAACCGCTCTTCATTCTTCTCCATACCCTGTAGGTTCTGGACCAGAACTACAAGTTGAACAGTAAGTCACGGTGTTTATAGTGGTCGTCTTCACCACAGTGTGACAACTGTTGTCTTTGGGAGCCTTCTTGAACAGCTGGTGCTCTAAGATAAAAGACAGAAAAAAAGAAAACTCAAGAACCAGATATATATACTCTTTATTGTTAACCAGTTGGTAACAATGAACTGACAAAAAAACCTAAGATTTTTATTGTTTTATTTTCAAATTTCTCAAACTCTCGGATGTGATCACCGTCGTTGTTTTGACCATACACGACCTTACCTTATTGCCGGGTTTTCTCTAAAGTTATACTCCAATAGTTGTAATGATTTTATCACTGACCATCGAGGGCCTCAAGTAAAGGAAGGAGCGGGTGGGCGGGAGGGAAGAGTAACTGGATCCCCTCCATCTGGGAGAAGAAGTAATTTTGGAACCCTACTCATGAAAATATACACGACCTGGATGCCTCCTCTAACTACTTTCTTATTTCCTATAAGCCTCTACGGCATGTAGACCAAAGGAAGTTTATGATAAAAAGATAAATCAAGGAGATTGGTCAGACTGTCTTCTATAAAGAGCACGTTTGAAAACATCGTAACTAGTGCTTAGATCACAAAAAGGGTTTACCTGTGTTGTTGTAGTCCGGTGGCTGAGTTTCTTCGACACTTGGCGAAGTAGCCTCACTTTCCTCTATTGATAGCTTGCAGGCATCTGGAAATATTTGAGTAAAAAAAGGAGATATCAAGTTGAGAGCATTCCCTATGATGCTTTCAGTGAAAATCATGTTCAAAGCTTGATTAGTCATGTAGGTTCACTGACCTGTACTGTTCTGGACAAGTATTTGAGTTTCCTTGGTCCCTGTTGATGTGGCGTTACTATCTTCTGCTGGCTGTGACCTTTCTGTGTTTAACCGTTCTAAATCAATTCTTCTAGACTCTTTTTTGCTTCGTGTTTCTTGCGGCCTTTCGGCGTCATTAACCCTCTTATTTACTCGGTGATTGCTCTTTTTTTTAAGAAAATAGCAAATGACCAACAGCAACAGGACTACAGCTAATGGAACACCAACAGCAGCACCGATGATTGCGGCTCTCGAAGGACGATCAGCCAGCGGGGTCTTCTGATATGCAGTGCGCATGCTCAATGAGGTGGTTACTTGGCTTGTGGGAGACGGCACCAATACCAGTGATGCTGTGTGGTTTGTTTCCACAGAGCTGACTGAGCTGAAATTTGTACGAGTTATAACTTTGCTGCATACGTGTGATCTGTGAAAACTGCACTGCTTGTTTTCAGGCATTTCTTGGCACTGCGGCTCGACTAGATCATCTTGATCATCACAACAGCGGGAGCAGGGCTGGCACAATCGTGTTAGGCGGTCATCTTGGTAAGCGCCAGGCTTACACTTTCCACACACTGCCTTGGAAGTCAGAGTGCAGGCTTTTATGGTTTCGCGATACTCTTCACAATTCTCACAGCTCATGCATGCCCCGGCGTCTTTTCCAGATGAGTATGTTTTCCCAAGCACACATGGCTCGCAAACTATGGGTGTCTCTGGGCTTTGAACAGAACTGCATTGCACAGAGAGGCCTCGTCCCTGGGGGCATTTAACACAGGCCTGACACTTGACCGCTCCGCTGGTAGAGTTGTATATCGCAATACTGTCACCGTGACAAGGGGATACGAACTTGGAAAAAGACATCTGGAAATGATCAATGAATATTGATCAAGGAATGTTTACAACGAATATCAAAACTATTGGTACGCAAAAGACAAGCCTTTCGATAACATGGAATGTAAAGTACATATTTTAAATGATAGCAGCGAGTTTACTGAACATTTGACTTCCCTTCTCCCAGCCATTCAGCGTGTATCTTCCCACCTACCAGTAAACCAAAAAATTGCATTCGAGCATACACCCTTTCGATAACAGCTCCCAGTACTGCTCCTAGTTTTGTTGTGCAATAGACCGTACTTTATTTCGGTTTACAGGCGACAAAACCCACTTAGAATGTTGGGAGAACGTCGAATGTTCTAAAACGATAGGTTTTTGATCTATGAGGGGCTCTCAGTATCTAGAGTGGTAGTGATATAGAATGATGTTAAGGAGTTATTAATGAGGTGGAACACTTTACAGCCTCCGTTATGTCTTGTTCCAGTTCCGCTCGTGTTATTGGTTCAAATTTTGTTCCAAAGATCAAAATTAATCGAATTTACCATAAAGTTCCAAACGTTTATTTAAAGAAAAAATCAGAAGCGTTTCTTGATCGGAAATGCTGAACACCGCTTCCGAACGTTTTTTAGGGACAGTCGTTATTTATTGTCTTCTTCCTGTTATCGAGGTTGCTAAGCTCAATGGCGCATTTCCGGTGGTCACTGACTCCGAAAAACTAAAAGCCTCTCTTTTTATTTGCCGCCTGTGTATTTAAGGCACGATATCAATGGCTTCAAAAATCAAGCATTGAAAAATATTTAAAAAAAAAAAGACGGAATAAACTGGCTAACACCCGTAATACTGTTGTTAAGATATAAATTTTACAAATGCCTTCAAGCCCATAAAGCAAACAGGAGTTTTCAATGAGAGGCGGGTTGCAGGATTTCTAAGCGACGCTTGGTGCCTCTTTTGACTCGCAATATTTGCTTGAGGCCGCGCTTAAACCCTGTCAAGCTCTGGGTCGTTTGAAAATTAAGCCACAATTAATGTTTTTTTCGGAAATGTATTCCCTGTAGACGTAAATAAAACCAGAATTTACCATAAGCTAAGGTATAGTGACCTATTAAATGTTGTTGTTTCCGCCGCTGTGTTTGTCTTCAGTGCATCGCATGTGCATGATAACAGATCTATTTCTTTCCATAACAAACAAAATTATTCTCTATTTTTGGTTGCTTTTCATACCAGCGGCAGATTTTGATAAGCCTTCAGTTTCATTGTAATGACGAAGAAGTTTTGCGGCCCCAGAGCACATGGCAGATGCTCATAGAAAACATTTTAATTAATCAGTTAATTTTAAGAATTTGAATTTGTTTGCTGAAACACTTTGAACAAGTCAACTCCCTTCAGTGACGAACGAAAGTTTAAGTTTTAAGAGAAAATAGACAAAAAATAAAGAACGCCAAGGATTCCAACCTCAAGTCAAAACAGTTATTTGTGAAAATAACTTTCGCTGCCGTGCTTGATCTCCAGGCAATCAAACCTCGTACATAATTTCATGTAAATGTAGAATGATTTCCCTTCTCTCAGTCAAAGCGAAAGAAGAAAGGGAGAGAAAGTGGTACTTACTGTGTGATAATTCAGTGCTGGTCAGTTTCTCACTGATAGAGCTTATAATAGTAAATGCAGGTAATAAAACTTCAAGATGTAGATGTGCCTTGGTTGGTTACTTTCCGGTATGACTGACTGGTTTCACAAGTTTGATATTTCAATTCTCTTCAATCCGCATCCGGAGAGACATGACCTACTAATTCACGCCTATCGGCAATAGATGATCATGAGTGGTAGTCATTGCGGTCGGAAGGCTTCCAATGGCAATGTCATCTATTGGTAGACATTACAGTGTTTAAGATATCTTCTTTTTAACTACAGAAACATTGCCTGTTCAAACTTTAATTCACCTTCAATGTTCAAAGAGTCCTTGACGGTTGGTTTTAATTCTCTTTAATCCACATCCGGAGAGACATACTTACTAGGTCACGCCTATCGGCAATAGACGAGTGGTAGTCATTGCGGTTGGACGGCTTCCAATCGCAATGTCAACTATTGGTAGGTAGATATTACGGTGTTTAAGATATCTTCTTTTTAACTACAAAAACACTGCCTGTTCAAACTTTAATTCACCTTCAATGTCCAAAGAGTCCTTGACGGTAGGTTTTACAAAACTTCAAGATGTAGATGTTCCTTGATTGGTTACTTTCCGGTATGACTGACTAGTTTCACAAATTTAAATCTTAATTCTCTTTAATCCACATCCGGAGAGACATACTTACTAGGTCATGCCTATCGGCAATAGATGAGTGGTAGTCATTGCGGTTGGAAGGCTTCCAATCGCAATGTGAACTATTGGTAGACATTACGGTGTTTAAAATATCCTCTTTTAAATACAAAACATTGCCTGATAAAACTTTAATTCACCTTCAAAGTTCAAAGAGTCCTTCACGGTAGGTTTTACAAAACTTCAAGATGTAGATGTTCCTTGATTGGTTACTTTCCGGTATGACTGACTAGTTTCACAAATTTAAATCTTAATTCTCTTTAATCCACATCCGGAGAGACATACTTACTAGGTCATGCCTATCGGCAATAGATGAGTGGTAGTCATTGCGGTTGGAAGGCTTCCAATCGCAATGTGAACTATTGGTAGACATTGCGGTGTTTAAGATATCATCTTTTTTTTATCTACAAAAACACTGCCTGTTCAAACTTTAATTCACCTTCAAAGTTCAAAGAGTCCTTGACGGTAAGTTTTACAAAACTTCAAGATGTAAATGTTCCTTGGTTGGTTACTTTCCGGTATGACCGACTGGTTTCACAAGTTTAAATTTTGATTCTCTTCAAGCCACATCCGGAGGGACAAGACCTACTAGGTCACGACTATCGGCAATAGATGAGTGGTAGTCTTTGCGGTTGGAAGGCTTCCAGTCGCAATGTCATCTACTGGTAGATATTGCGGTGTTTAAGATATCTTCTTTTTAACTACAGAAACATTGCCTGTTCAAACTTTAATTCACCTTCAAAGTCCAAAGAGTCGTTGACGGTTGGTTTACAAAACTTCAAGATGTAGATGTTCCTTGGTTGGTTACTTACCGGTATGACTGACTAGTTTCACAAGTTTACGTTTTAATTCTCATCAATCCACATCCGGAGAGACATACTTATTACTAGGTCACGCCTATCGACAATAGATGAGTTGTAGTCTTTGCGGTTGGAAGGCTTCCAGTCGCAATGTCATCTATTGGTCGACATCACGGTGTTTAAGATATCTTCTTTTTACCTACAGAAGAATTTACTTTAAGACATACTTATTACTAGGTCACGCCTATCGACAATAGATGAGTTGTAGTCTTTGCGGTTGGAAGGCTTCCAGTCGCAATGTCATCTATTGGTAGACATCACGGTGTTTAAGATATCTTCTTTTTACCTACAGAAAAATTTACTTTGAAAAATAAAGAGATAATAACCGTTAGCCGTATTTTGGCCAAACTTTTCCGTAGCCGTTAGCCGTAAAATCTATCACCCCATCGAGACCCTCTAAAAAATCCCAGGGAAGAGAAAACGGAAAGAATCGGCCCACATCCTTGTGTGGTCTCAAATCGACGAGCGTACACTGCAAATGGACTGACAACTTCGAGAACGCCTCTCTAACCACGAATGCAAAGAAATGGGAAATGGAGACTTTTTTTTCCTGGTCTTTATCATGTGACTTGAACGGCCTCTCGCGCTTGTACTAGGAAACATTAGACAAGAATCCCTACATACGGTCTTGCAAAATGCCGAGCTGAAAGAAGAGAAGAAGACAACGGAAAAGTGACGATCATTATGATAAAACGCTAATTGACTGAGTTGAGGCGGACCGAGTGGGAAAATATTTGGCCCTCGGTTATAATGCATGTATCGCGCTCGACCACTTGACGTGATGACCTCGAGCCAATATATCATCAGGTACATTGACAACCAACCTGTTTGCAGTGATACGTTAATGTATTTGTCTTACGTGCGGTTGAACCTTCGAAAAAAAATGCTGCACGTTTGTCGAATGAAATATTACAATTTTAGCATTATCTTTGAAATGTCAACCAATTTCAGTGTTAAAAACCTGCCAACTTGCGCGGGCAAGTACGTCGAAAACTGAGGGAAACTCATCGAAATATAAAGTGAAATAGTTTTAGGTTAAGTGTTCCAATCTGGATTTCCTTGTTATGAAGAACTGCTAGAAGGTGACTTCAGATTGCATACATGTTATTTCTACACGATTTGATTGAAACTGCTCAACTACTCAAGCGCGAATACAATACCTTCCTGGTGGGTAAAGTACAAAATGAGTGGTTGAATGGAAAAGTGTTTTGTGCAAATTACAAAATGAGTGGTTGAATAACAAAATGTTTTCACATCTGCGAGCACAGGTAGCGTCGAGATATACTCTTCCCACAGCCGCTGAAGTTTTTTTGCCTTTTTCTCTTTTTTTCTAGGAAGGGAAAAGAAATGACATATTTCAAAGCGATTTCGTTGTGCTGTTGATGAATGATGATCACAACTTGTTCAAGCAAAATTTCTTGTTTCAGTTTCCGTCTCGTGACTGGTTTGTTTTGCGAAGTTAAATGATCTCGAACTTTGAAACCGTGGAGACATGTATAATCAAATACAAGTTCTACTTCGACGAGTTTAACCCTCTTTGTTCACATGACAGAGTATCACTGAAAACAACCGTTACAATGGGTGCGTTGAACAGAACAACTCATGTTTACAGCGGGGCGATGATAAATGTGTACAGACTAATATTACAGCTGACTGAAAAAAGTGCGTACGACTGAAACTGATATTTTCAAGTGACCTAAGCTCGCCCTGGGAAAAAATAAAAACGCCTATTTGTTGACAATGTCAACAAGTTATTAAGGAAATGAGTTAAACTTCACGAATGATGGGAAAACTTTTAAAAGTGAAAACAAAATTTGGAAAGCTTTTAGAGGGCTTTATGATCCGCCGATACA